CTCGGTGTGTGTGAGTGCGTCTCTCTCTCTCGGTGTGTGTGTGCATCTGTGTGTGTGCGAGTGCATCTTTCTCTCTCTTGGTCTGTGTGAGTGCGTCTCTCTCACTCGGTGTGTGGAGTGCGTCTCTCTCTCGGTGAGTATGAGTACGTCTTTCGCTCTCGGTGTGTATGAGTGCGTCTCTCTCTCTCTCTCTCTCTCTGTGTATATTAGTGCGTCTCTCTCTCTCGGTGTGTATGAGTGTGTCTCTCTCTCTCGGTGTGTATGAGTGCGTCTCTCTCTCTCGGTGTGTATGAGTGTGTCTCTCTCTCAGTGTGTATGAGTGTGACTCTCTCTCGCTCTGTGTGTGAGTGCGTCTCTCTCTCTCTCTCTGTGTATGAGTGCGTCTCTCTCTCACTCTGTGTATGAGTGCGTCTCTCTCTCTCTCGCTGTGTATGAGTGTGTCTCTCTCTGTCTTGGTCTGTGTGAGTGCGTCTCTCTCGCTCTGTGTGTACGAGTGCATCTCTCTCGGTGAGTATGAGCGTCTCTCTCTCTCTCTCTGTGTGTATGAGTGCGTCTCTCTCTCGGTGAGTATGAGTGCGTCTCTCTCTCTCTGTGTGTGTGAGTGCGTCTCTCTCTCGGTGTGTATGAGTGTGGCTCTCTCTCTCGCTCTGTGTGTGAGTGTGTCTCTCTCTCTCTCGGTGTGTATGAGTGCATCTCTCTCTCTCTCTCGGTGTATGAGTGCGTCTCTCTCTCTTGGTGTGTATGAGTGCGTCTCTCTCTCTCTCAGTGTATGAGTCCATCTCTCTCTCTCTCGGTGTATGAGTGCGTCTCTCTCTCTCTCTCTCTCTCTCTCTCTGGGTATGAGTGTCTCTCTCTCTCTCTCTCGGTGTGTGTGTGTCCATCTCTCTCTCGCTCGGTGTGTATGAGTGCGTCTCTCTCTCTCTCTCGGTGTGTGTGAGTGCGTCTCTCTCACTTGGTGCGTGGAGTGCGTCTCTCTCTCTCTCTCTCTGTGTGTACGAATGTGTCTCTCTCTCTCTCTCTCGGTGTGTGTGAGTGCGTCTCTCTCTCTCGGTGTGTGTGTGCATCTGTGTGTGTGCGAGTGCATCTTTCTCTCTTGGTCTGTGTGAGTGCGTCTCTCTCACTCGTGTGTGGAGTGCGTCTCTCTCGGTGAGTATGAGTACGTCTTTCGCTCTCGGTGTGTATGAGTGCGTCTCTCTCTCTCTCTCTCTCTCTGTGTATATTAGTGCGTCTCTCTCTCTCGGTGTGTATGAGTGTGTCTCTCTCTCTCGGTGTGTATGAGTGCGTCTCTCTCTCTCGGTGTGTATGAGTGTGTCTCTCTCTCAGTGTGTATGAGTGTGACTCTCTCTCGCTCTGTGTGTGAGTGCGTCTCTCTCTCTCTCTCTGTGTATGAGTGCGTCTCTCTCTCACTCTGTGTATGAGTGCGTCTCTCTCTCACTCTGTGTATGAGTGCGTCTCTCTCTCTCTCGGTGTATGAGTGCGTCTCTCTCTCTTGGTGTGTATGAGTGCGTCTCTCTCTCTCAGTGTGTATGAGTCCATCTCTCTCTCTCGGTGTATGAGTGCGTCTCTCTCTCTCGGTGTGTATGAGTGTGTCTCTCTCTCAGTGTGTATGAGTGTGACTCTCTCTCGCTCTGTGTGTGAGTGCGTCTCTCTCTCTCTCGGTGTGTATGAGTGCGTCTCTCTCTCTCTCTGTGTATATTAGTGCGTCTCTCTCTCTCGGTGTGTATGAGTGTGTCTCTCTCTCTCGGTGTGTATGAGTGCGTCTCTCTCTCTCGGTGTGTATGAGTGTGTCTCTCTCTCAGTGTGTATGAGTGTGACTCTCTCTCGCTCTGTGTGTGAGTGCGTCTCTCTCTCTCACTCTGTGTATGAGTGCGTCTCTCTCTCTCTCGGTGTATGAGTGCGTCTCTCTCTCTTGGTGTGTATGAGTGCGTCTCTCTCTCTCAGTGTGTGAGTCCATCTCTCTCTCTCTCGGTGTATATGAGTGCGTCTCTCTCTCTCTCTCTGTGTATGAGTGCCCCCCTCTCTCTCTCTCTCTCGGTGTGTGTGAGTACGTCTCTCTGTCTCTCGGTGTGTGTGAGTGCGGCTCTCTCTCTCGGTGTGTGTGAGTGCGTCTCTCTCTCTGTGTGTATGGGTGTGACTCTCTCTCTGTGTATGAGTGCATCTCTCTCTCTCTCTCGGTGAGTATGAGTGCGTCTCTCTCTCGCGGTGTGTGTGAGAGCGTCTCTCTCTCTCGGTGTGTGTGAGTGAGTCTCTCTCTCTCTCTCGGTGTGTGTGTGTGAGTGCGTCTCTCCCTCTCTCGATCTGTGTGAGTGTGTCTGTCTCGCTCTCTCTCTGTATGTGTATGGGTGCATCTCTCTCGGTGAGTATGTGTGCATCTGTGTATGTGTGTGTGTGAGTGCGTCTCTCTCTCTTGGTCTGTGTGAGTGTGTCTCTCTCTCAGTGTGTATGTGTGCGTCTCTCTCAGTGTGTACGAATGTGTCTCTCTCTCTCTCTCGGTGTGTGTGAGTGCATCTCTCTCTCTCGGTGTGTATGTGTGCATCTGTGTGTGTGCGAGTGCGTCTTTCTCTCTCTTGGTCTGTGTGAGTGCGTCTCTCTCACTCGGTGTGTGGAGTGCGTCTCTCTCTCGGTGAGTATGAGTACGTCTTTCTCTCTCGGTGTGTATGAGTGCGTCTCTCTCTCTCTCTCTCTCTCTGTGTATATTAGTGTGTCTCTCTCTCGGTGTGTATGAATGTGTCTCTCTCTCTCGGTGTGTATGAGTGCGTCTCTCTCTCTTGGTGTGTATGAGTGTGACTCTCTCTCGCTCTGTGTGTGAGTGCGTCTCTCTCTCTCTCGGTGTGTGTGAGTGCGGCTCTCTCGGTGTGTATGAGTGCATCTCTCTCTCTCGGTGTGTATGAGTGCATCTCTCTCTCTCGGTGAGTATGAGTGCGTCTCTCTCTCTCTCGGTGTGTATGAGTGCGTCTCTCTCGGTGTGTATGAGTGGGTCTCTCTCTCTCGGTCTGTGTGAGAGCGTCTCTCTCTCGGTGTATGTGAGTGGGTTTCTCTCTCTGTGAGTATTACTGCGTCTCTCTCGGTGGGTGTGTGTGAGTGCGTCTCTCTCTCGTATGTATGAGTGCCTCTCTGTGTGTATGTGTGTGTTTGTGAGTACGTCTCTCAGTCTGTGTGAGAGCGTTTCTCTCTCAGTAAGTATGAGTGCGCCTCTCTCTCTGTGTACGAGTGCATCTCTCGCTCGGTGTGTGGAGTGCGTCTCTCTCTCGTGTACATGAGTGCATCTATGTGTGTGTATGTGTATGAGTGCATCTCTCTCGGTGTGTGGAGTGCGTCTCTCTCTCTCGATCTGTGTGAGTGTCTTTTTCTCTCTCGGTGTGTGTGAGTGTGTCTCTCTCGGTGTGTATGAGTGTGTGTCTCTCTCTCTCTCTCGGTGTGTGAGTGCATCTCTCTCTCTCTCGGTGTGTATGAGTGCGTCTCTCTGTGTGTGTGAGTGCTTCTCTCTCTCTCTCGGTGTGTATGAGTGCGTCTCTCTCTCTCTCGAGCTCTCTTGGCGTGTATAATAATAATAATAATAATCCTTGCATTTGATATAGCGCTTTTCACGTCGGGAGGACGTCCCAAAGCGCTTCACAGAACACACTGTAAAGTGAATTGACTGTATATTTGTGGGCAAACGCGGCAGCCAATTGCGCACAGCAATGTCCCACAAACAGTCGTAGATTGAAAATGACCAATTTATTATTATTTTTGTTTTTTTTGGCGGGATTATTATTAGGCGTGTGGAGTAAGGAAACTTGCCCAAGGTTTCGCCCTGCCTGGAATTGAACTCAGGTCTCTCGCTTGCAAGAGTGCGTCTCTCTCTCTCGGTGTGTATGAGTGCGTCTCTCTCTCTCGGTGTGTATGAGTGTGTGTCTCTCTGTCTCATTGAGTATGAGTGCATCTCTCTTTTCTTTCAAAGGTCCTTGAATCGTTGCTTTCCAGCTTTGTTAATTCCTCTCCTACCACTCCATTCATGAGCCCCTCCAACTGGGTTTCTGTGCTGCTCACAGCATGGAAACTGATCCAGTCAAGGTGACAAACAACATTTTGTCCATCTGTGACCAGAGCTTCCTATGCCTCCTCAACCTCTCTTCTGCCTTCGATACCGTGGATCACTCCATCCTCCTCCACTGCCTCTAATCTCACCTGAATCTTCAAGGTTCTGTCCGCAACATTGCCCGACTCCGCCACTGCCTCACCCCTCAGGCCGCCGAAATCCTCATACACGCATTCGTTACCTCAGGCTCGATTACGGAACCTTCCTCCTTGTTGGCCTCCCAAACACTTGCCTCCACAAGCTGCAGATTATCCAGAACTCTCCTCTCCTGAACAGGCTCCTTGACCCCATCATCCCCACCCTCGCCCAATTCCACTGGCTCCCCATCCCACAGAGGATAGAATTCAAAATCCTCATTCTCACTTTCAAGGCTCTCCACTGCCTTACCCCCTCCTACATCTCTGACTTGCTGACCTCCTATCAACCTGTCCGCTCCCTCCGCTCAGCAGCCTGCTCCATGTCTCCCACCCGACCCTCCCACCCGGCCGAGCTTTCAGCCCCCACTCTTTGGAACTCCAACCAACATTCCCTTCACCTCACTTCCTCTCTTGCCTCCTTCAAGGCATGACTCAAGACCCTCCTTTTTGACCGTGCCTTCATTCGCCCTCCTACCCCCTCTGCCCTCCCTCATCTCAACCCTGCCCCCACACTCGGGTCCTGATCCGATTGTTCAGCACCTTGGGACGTCCTCCCGAAGTGAAAGGCGCTTTACAAATGTAATTTTGTGTTGTGTTTGTGTGAAGGAGAGATAGTGAGAATCCTAGGATCAGTGTGTGTGTGTGTATAATAGTGAGTGCTCTGAGATGCTACTCGTGTAAAGGGCACTATATAAACTGCTGTGTGTGGATGCAACAGTGAGAGATCGGAGATCAACACTGTCCTGTAATTGTGTGAATGGCTAGGTCCCTTGCTCACACACCTCAGACTTTCCAGGTGTTGCCGCAGCTGTTGCTGAGCGGGGATGGCAGCCTCCAGCTCCAGGGTGACTGCAGACAGCTCGGTCTTCAACTCAGTCACCAAGGCTCGCTCAGCCTGCACGTCCTGCTGCAGCTGAGCTGCTGTGCTCTGCTCCACACGCAGCGAGCTCTCGATCTCCACGGCCAACACTTGCTCTTGCTGGAGCTGAGACTGCAGCAGATCCACTGAGTGAAGAGGTCAGAGGTCAACACACAAACAAAGCAGCAATTCTCAGGATACCCCCCACCCTCAATTTTACCCTTGCCAGCCCAGGCCTGCTGGACCCCACTGCTCCACCCACCCTGCTCACCCTGGTTCGGTGGTGTCCATACCTTGCCTGCGGAGGGGGCCGGCCTGCTCCTGGGAAGTGCTCAGCACTTCCTGGTGCTGCAGGGTCAGGAGGCGGAGATGGGCGTGCAGAGCCTGCACCTCGGTCAACAAGCTGCTACCATCTGCCACCAAAAGGTACTCCACACCTGTTCTCTGCTGCTCCTCCTGCAACCCAACAGCAGTTGAGTGTGGACACGCCGCTCCGCAACAACTATTAACACAACCTGTGCTTCAGTGAAATGGTTACATCCAATGTCCCCGGGCGTGGACTATGGGGGCCAAGGGGGAGGAGGGAGTCCTGGGGGAGGAGGGAGTCCTGGGGGAGGAGGGAGTCCTGGGTGAGGAGGAAGGAAAGGGAGAGAGAAGATGGAGGAAGGGAAGGGGGAAGAGTAGAGGGAGAAGGGAAGGGGAGAGGGATGAGGGGTTGGCTAGTGGGGCGGGGCAAGAGAGGAGGAAGGAGGTGCATTGGAGGTTTGGCCGAGAGGGGAGTTGGGGGAGCTGATTGTAAGTTGAGAGTTGGACAGATGGAGAGATTGAGGGACAGATGGAGAGATTGAGGGACAGAGGGAGGGAGTTTCTTGGTCACCACTACAGGACAGGGACGTGCACCAACCCTAAATTAGCCAATCAGAAAAAGAGTCCATCAAGACGTTTTGATGATGTGATCAGGTGCGAGGCCAGGTGCCAAGCTGTGAACGGACAAGAGCCGAGGAAAGGAAACCCGGTCTGTGACAGTGATCTGGCCTCAGTGTGAGGCTTGCTCTGCACACGCTGAACCGAGCTCACCTGCTCTTTAATGAATTGCTGGAGGGCGAGGGTCAGAGAGGTGTGTTTTCCCGCCGCTCACTGCTTCAGTAGGCCAACACCCACTCTTGCTCTTAGCTGAAGATGGCTGGATAGCCCAGAGGTAGTCAACAACAATAACAACTTGGATTTACATAGCGCCCTCCACGCTGGACGGCATCTCAGAGCGCTTAGTCACCTCATACTGGTGCAGGCTTGCCACACAACACAAGAGGGAAACACCCACATGCATGAAAAAAGTGGCATATCTTTTCCATTCCCCACACAATATGTCAGCACAGGGATAGAATGGCCCAACACTCAATATACCCTGTTGTGTAAGCAAATGAACGAACATGGGGAAGGGATCCTGTCCAGCAGGCAGGCAGCGTTACTCCGGCACATTGAGTGGGATCCTTTCGCTAAATGCAGGCAGCAGTTACCTGGGGGATGGAGGGGCTGTGTAAGGCCGCAGTTACCGGGTGGTGTGAGGCTGGAGTTACCTGGTGGTGTGAGGTTGGAGTTACCTGGGGGATGAGGCTGGAGTTACCTGTGAGTGTGAGGCTGGAGTTACCTTGGGGGTGAGACTGGAGTTACCTGTGGGTGTGTGCAGGCTGCGTGAGGCAGGAGGCTCCTCAGGAGCTGAATGGTCTGGAGCAACGATGCCTTTTCTCGCTGCCATTCCTCCAGCCGTATGCGAGAGCCACAGGCAGCCTGAGAGCCAGGCCATGCAGTCAGAGCCAGCACCCGGCACCCTTCCTCATGTACCTTCCTGAGCAGCACCTGAGGGGGAGAGAGAGCAGCACTTTCACTCACACGTTGCCCATGTTCAGTAATGAAGAAATCATTCTTCAAACAACTGAATCGTCAGCATCATGTTGTTGGGGGGAACATTCTATCAGATGTGACGCTGTTAGACAACACGTGGCCTTTTCTCTACATCTACAGCGCCTGGTCAGTACTCACTCACCTTGTCGGCTCTCATGCTCGTCCTAAAGATTGGGGAAAAGAGAAGGGAGATTCTCTCCAGAACAACAATCCTCATGATGAAATGGCTGTTCACCTTGTGGCAGCTTTACAACATTGCTGATGCACAATGGCTTCTATTTGCCTATAATACAGTTATGTCACCTCCCAGCAATTAGCTATGAAACGATGAAGACATCTGACATGATAAACCTAATGGTCTTCCTTTTGATATTGTGCAAGATGTTCACAGGGCTGAAAACAAGATTGCCCAAGCCTGGGATCAGACAGGAGGGTATTGAATAATAATAATATTCATAATCTTTCCATTTGATATAGCGCCTTATCACGTCATCAAGATACCTCAAAGAGTTTCACAGAACATACTGCAAAGTGTTTTGATTTTTTTTGTGAGTGAAATGTGACAGCCAATTTGCCCACAGCAATGTCCCACAAACAGCCATGGAGTGAGTGATTAATTTTATTTGGGGGAGTGTTGGCCAGGACACCGGGAGAGAGAAACTCCCTTCTGGTTTTGAATAGAGCCTAGCCCAAACAGGCAGACAGGACCTTGGTTTAATATCTCATCCGAAGGACGTCACTTCCAATGTTGCAACACCCCCCAGCGCTGCATTGCGAGTGTCAGTTTAGACAATGTGATTCCAAGTCCCTACATGGGGCTTAAACCTTCTCACTCAGAGGCAGGCTGGTCACATGAGAAAAGGAAGCAGATATTTAGGGGATTTCTCTCTTCATGACATCCACGTCAAAACCATCTGAATCACAGATCTGCTCTCACAAGGCTGTAATAGGGCCCAGACCTGGAGATGTGGAGAAAGCGCTCCCCCCTCATTGGCATCATTGGTCAGGGTAGAGTCTCCCTCTGTCAGCACTTCAATTCCATGCTGCTGTAGATATTCCACAAAGCTGCTGTCTAGCCGTTCTGTCCTCTCTAGCTCCTGATTCAGTCTCACTCCCAGATCCCAACTGGCATCTGTGAAAGGAAATGTAAGCAACAGTTCATTGGTCGCACCTTTCCCAGAGTGCAGTCTATGCCTTCCACTGAGAGCAGAGCGATGATCAGGGTCTCTGTCACTCTGGCATCACATGAACCTCACTTGGAAGCACACCTGACCTCCAGCCTACAGGAGCCAGTGGGGAGACATGATAAGAAGCTCCAGGTGCCCTCAGCCAGAGATCCCTTGACAACATGCAACCCAACACTTAAAGGAACAGTGCCTCAGATTGTTCCTTTGCTCTCAGTGGAAGGATAAACTGCACTGAGAAAGGTGAAGCTGGGAAATGGTTATTCCTCTCCCCAGTGTGCGTTCTTATTTGATTGTATTCCCCCACACACACAGTCAATGTATTTGATGTCCATTTCCCCCCACACCCAGTCAGTGTATTGGGTGTGTATTCCCCCTCACACAGTCAGTGTATTTGATGTGTATAGACACACACACACACCCTCTCCCCTGCCTCCTCCCATTCATCCACTCCTTCTCTGTGAAACTCTTGGGAGATATTTCCGCACATGAAAGCCTTAAACTGCACACTATTTAGACACGTCATAGGTGGCAGGGCTCCCCTTCACTGATACTCACTGCTGCTGCAGCCATCGCTGATCCATTCCGGGATGGATAACGTTGATGACCTCTCCACTCTCAGCTCATTCTGTGGCTGGAGGCAGAAACAGAAACCATCATTCATAGTACAAGGGTCAAGCCTGACAAGCCCTCCACCCCCTGCCCCCACTTCCCTGGCACTCACAACCTCCCTGGCACTCAAATTCGCACTCATCGACCTCCCTGGCACTCACACTCACCAACCTCCCTGGCACTCAGCGCTTACAGCCCAGGGATAATAGCCAATCGGTGGGTGGGTCAACAGGTCACAAGAGAGGTTCAGTGAATGTTTGGCTATTTAATCTCATTCCTCCAGAATCCCCAAAGAAGTCTTCCGATCACAGCGTCAAGCTGGGTTTCAAAGGAATCCAGTGTCCTGGCCTCAACGACCTTTCCTGGAAATCTGTTTCAGTCATTAATTATCCTCTGGGTAAAGAAAAACTTCCTGGTGTCTATCCTGAAACTGCCCTCAACCCGCTTGTCCACTACCTGGTGTGTCTGACATGACTGTTCGGGGTTCACTTTCTCATTCCCAGTTCACACAGGGACTGAATCATTACATTTCCAAAGAAAATCCCCCAAAATAAAGTTAACTATTGTCTGTCTCTCACCTTGTCTGTCTCAGACTCTGTCAGAGAGTGTGCAGACTGGCCCAGGGCCTCAGTGTGCTGTGGTGGTGACAGCGGCTGTGGTCGCTGATGGCTCTTCCCAATTGCTTTGTCCTGTAGCGAGGCCCTGCTCAGGCTTATGCTGTGTCCGCCACTCAGCTCCGAGATACGGGTAGAATGCAGCTCTTTCATCCACTCCATGCTCTCCTCATACTTCCTCATCAACTCTGGAGAGCTCAGAGAGCTCTCAGCCCCAATATGGTTATACACAAAATCAGGCTGCTTCTCCTGACCCATAGCCAGAGATGGCGCTTGGAAATTCATTTCCTCAGTCTCCACAGCAGAGAACCGCTGAAGTCCCTGCTCCGGCCTATCTTGCTTCCTCATCACTTCCATCTGACTGGCCTGGTCAGCTAGCTCCTCCTCCTGCCTCAGTAATGCTGCCCGTAGCTGACTGACCTGGGTCCGCAGGTTACACTCGTGCACCTCCAGGTCAGCGATGGTGCGATCCTTCTCCTGAACAAAACAACAAGAGCATGAGTTCAGCAAAATGTGCCCTCACTTGGTTATCATCAGTACTAAAGAAACTCTCAAAACCGGGAGCTGAGCAACACTGGGAGCTTCGGGGATGTATGGTGGTCAGGAACTCAGCATTTTGTTTTCACAAATTAAATTGAACTGTTGCACGACTCAACTTGGGCCCAAGAAATCTTCAGTGACTGTCTCAGGTCAACAACAACACATGGTGAAGTCCTCATCCACTCCTACTGAATCCCAGGGAATCTCACTGCCTCACACTGAGAGTTTCTAGCCACAAAAACTCTCAGTCATAAAACCAAATCCCCCGAGTCCCCCCATCCATTTAGATTCTCCATGGCACTCGTTCCCCTCCACACTGGGACTCAGTTTGACCTGCATCTGTTCCAATAGTATCTGGATGCTCTCGGTGTTGGAGTTCAGTTGCTCTTTGGCCAGAACCAGCTCCTCATGGGTGGCCAGGAACTGGCTCATCTGTTGCTCCTGGTGCTGCCCATCAGTCTGTAACATAACATAACATAACATAACATAACATGTAGGAGCAGGAGTAGGCCATTTGACTCTTCGAGCCTGCCCCGCCATTCAATCATAGCTGATCTTCTAATCTCACTCCAGCTAATAACCTGACCCTGCCTTATCTTCATATCCCTTAATCCCTTTTGCAATAAGAAATCTATCTATCTCAGTCTTGAATATGTTCAAGGACTGAGCGTCAACAGCCCTTTGGGGTAGTGAGTTCCATACATTCACCACCCTTTGAGTGAAGAAGTTCTTCCTCAACTCAGTGCGAAAGGGCTGGCCTCTGATTTTAAGGTTGTGACCCCTGGCTTTAGTTTCTCCAACCAGGGGAAACAATCTCCCACTATCTACTCTATCATGCCCTTTGATCATCTTATAGGTTTCTATAAGATCCCCTCTAATTCTTCTATATTCTAGAGAATATAGGTCCAAATTGGTCAGCCTATCCTTGTGACTCAACCCCTTCATCCCTGGTAGTAACCTAGTAAATCTACGCTGCATCCCCTCCAAGGCAAGTACATTCTTCCTTAAATAAGGAGATCAAAACCGCACACAGTATTCCAGGTGTGGTCTCACTAGGGCCCTATACAGTTGCAGCAAGACTTCCCTACTCTTATACTCCAATCCTTTCATAATGAATGCTAACATACCGTTCGCCTTCCTAATTGCTGCTGCACCTGCAGACAACTTTCTGTGATTGGTGTACAAGGACATCCAAGTCCCTCTGGACGCTAACACATTCCAATCTCTCCCCTTCTAAAAAAATAACCCGCTCTACTGTTTTTGCTACCCAGGTGGATGACTTCGCACTTCCCTACATTATACTTCATCTGCCACCTACCTGCCCAATCACCTATCTATGTCTCGCTGCATTTTTTTAATGTCGTCCTCTGTGTTGGCATTTCCTCCTAGTTTTGTGTCATCCGCGAATTTAGATATATTAACTTCGATGTCCTTATCTAGATCGTTGATATAGATGGTAAATAGCTGAGGCCCAAGGACTGATCCTTGTGGCACTCCACTGGTCACATCCCGCCAATCTGAAAAGGACCCGTTTATCTACTCTTTGTTTCCTACCCGTTAACCATTCCCCAATCCACGTTAATATGCTCCCCCAATTCCATGGGCCCTTATCTTTTGGACTAACCTTTTATGCGGCACCTTATCGAATGCCTTCTGGAAGTCCAAATAGACCACATCCACTGATTCACCCTTATCTAGTTTACTGGAAATGTCCTCAAAAAACTCTATGAGATTTGTCAAACATGACTTCCCTTTTGTAAAGCCATGTTGACTTGGCCTAATTATATTGTGCTCCCTAAATACCGCACTACCACATCCTTAATCAATGATTCTAAAATTTTTCCTATCACTGATGTGAGACTAACTGGCCTATAGTTCCCCATCTTTTCCTTTCCACCTTTTTTAAATAGTGGTGTGACATTTGCGATCTTCCAATCCATGGGGACTGTTCCAGAATCCAAGGAATTTTGGAAGATCAGACATAAGGCCTCCACTATCTCATAAGCTCCCTCTTTTAAAACCCTGGGATGCAAGCCATCCGGACCAGGGGATTTGTCACTTTTTAGTGCTAACAGTTTCTCAGCACCAATTCTCTACTAATGAAAATTTCCCTAAGTTGCTCCCTGTCCTTATCCCTTTGGTGCATCTCTATTGTTGGCAGACTTGTTGTGTCTTCTAGGGTGAAGACAGATGCAAAGTACCCATTTAGGGACTCTGCCATGTCCTTATCCCCCATTACAACTTCTCCCGTCTCTGACTGAAGTGGACCTACATTTACCCTCACTAGCCTATTCCTCTTAATATATTTGTAAAAACTTTTACAATCAGACTTAATGTTCCTAGCTGGCTTACCCTCATACTCCTTTTTCTTGCTCTTAATTAGTTTTTTTTGTTTTATTTTGCTGGTTTCTAAAACTCTCCCAATCTTCAGATTTGCTGCTTTTCTTGGCAGTTTTATAAGCCTTTTCTTTTAATTTGATGCTTTCCCTAACTGCTCTAGTTAGCCACGGATGAATTGCTTTCCCTGTGGTACTCTTATTCCGCAAGGGAATATGCGACCGCTGAGAATTTTGCACTACATCCTTAAATATTTGCCACTGTTGGTCTACATTTTTACCTCTTAATCTTATTCTCCAGTCTATTTTACCTAAATCTTTCCTCATACCTACAAAATTAGCCCTATTTAAATTCAGAATACTTGCCTCGGATTTAACTATATCCCTCTCTAACTTAATGCAGAATTCAATCATATTGTGATCACTCTGCCCTAGAGGATTCTTAATACCTACACTGCCAACTAGCCCTGTTTCGTTACACAAAACAAGGTCTAGGATGGCCTGTCCCCTAGTTGGTTCCTCGGCATGCTGCTCTAGAAAGTTATCTCTCATACACTCAATGAACTCTTCTTCTGACCTACTTTTGCCGATTTGGTTTTCCCAATCTATGTGGAGATTGAAATCACCCACTATTATCGCTTTACCTTTCCTACATGCTCCACTGATTTCTTGATTAATACCCTGTGCTATATTGTGATCACTGTTTGGGGGTCTATAAACCACTCCCATTAATATTTTCTGCCCTTTATTATTTTTTATTTCCACCCATATTGTCTCGACCTCCTGGTCATCGGATTTCAGATCCTTCCTCTCCACTGCTTTTATTTCATCCCTAATTAACAGGGCTACTACACCCCCCACCTCTTTTCCCACTGTGCCTATCTTTCCTGTAAACTGAGAACCCTGGAATATTTAACTCCCACCCTAGATCTCCTTGTAACCATGTTTCAGTGATGGCTACTAGATCGTATCCATATGTGTCTACCTGTGCTTTTAATTCATCAGTTTTATTCCGAATGCTTCGCGCGTTCAGATATAACATTTTTAATTTCCACTACTCTCTGATTCCATATCTATTTTGCCAAGCTTCTTACCCCTAGTTAATATATTCCTGTTATCTGACATGCTATTCTGCACTGTCATCTTTACTTTTTCTAATGCTAACTTATGTTTTCTCTTATCTATATATTCCCCCCACCCCTTTACTAGTTTAAATTCCTATTTATTTCCTTGTTAATTTGTTCAGCTAGGACATTTGTCCCAGCATGATTTAAATGCAGCCCTTTTCTCTGAAAGAGCTCTCTTTTCCCCCAGTACTCGTGCCAATGGCCCATAAAAAGACACCCCTGAGTTCCCCACCACTCTTTTAGCCATGCGCTCAAGTCCTTAATTTGTTTGTTTCTGTAATAATAATAATAATAATCCTTGCATTTGGTATAGCGCTTTTCACATCGGGAGGACGTCCCAAAGCGCTTCACAGAACACACTGTAAAGTGAATTGACTGTATATTTGTGGGCGAACGCGGCAGCCAATTGCGCACAGCAATGTCCCACAAACAGTCATAGATTGAAAATGACCAATTTATTATTGTTTTTGGTTTTGGAGGGATCATTATTAGGCGTGTGGAGTAAGGAAACTTGCCCAAGGTTTCGCCCTCTGCCTGGAATTGTCGTATGGTACAGGCAGTAGTCCTGATATTACCACCTTCGATGATCTCGACAATTTGGACCCCAGCTCTTCGAATTCCCTTCTCAAGTCATCTTGGCCAACTCTACCGATGTCGTTGGTACCTATGTGAAGGACCACCAATGGATCCTTACCCTCGTATTTTAAATTATCTTCTAGCCCTGCCGAGACATCCTTCACCCCGGCCCCAGGGAGGCAACAAAGCCTTCGGGTCTTCTGGTTGGTGTTGCAGATGATTGTGTCTGTCTGCCTAATAGTCTCATCCCCAATGAAGACAACCATCCGTTCTTTTGCCCCAGTGTTAGAGGTAGTTTTTCCTTCCACCTCACCAGCTTTCTTGTCGATACAAGTTCCAAGGATTTGTTGTTCTAGGTTAATGCCGGATTTACTGCCACTCTTTCCGTTGTCCCCCTGATCTCCTGACTGTCCATTGACCTATCCTGACTATAACCAATGTTGACTGTATATTCCCTCAGGGGAGTGGATGTAGCTATCCAGGAAGCACTCACTGTCTCTGATACTCAGCCACTCTGAGCTGCGCTGCCTCAGTTGCAGACATCTTCTGCAGATGTGGTCACCCGGGATCAGGCTGCCCTTCATCAGCTCCCACATGTCACACTCCTCACATAACACCTGCCAGGCCATTATCACCTCTTCCAACTTGAGTTAGTTAATTAGTTAACTTCAGTTAATTAAGTTAATTAGGTTAAGTTAATTATGTTAAGTTAATTAAGTTTTAATTAATCAAGTTGATTCAATTAAGTTGATCAAGTTAAGTCCGTGGTGTGTGATGTGTTGATAGTTTACTGTTGATATTGACGTCGCTCTGACGTCACTTTTTAATTTTCTTGCTGATGTTTTATCCTCTGACACGGCCTGCTCTCCTCGCCCCACCACTGACTGACTGGCTGCTGCTCTCCTCGCCCCACCACTGACTGACTGGCTGCTGCTCTCCTCGCCCCACCACTGACTGACTGGCTGCTGCTCTCCTCGCCCCACCACTGACTGACTGACTGGCTGACTGCTGCTCTCCTCGCCCCACCACTGACTGACTGGCTGACTGACTGCTGCTCTCCTCGCCCCACCACTGGCTGACTGACTGCTGCTCTCCTCGCCCCACCACTGACTGACTGACTGCTGCTCTCCTCGCCCCACCACTGACTGACTGGCTGCTGCTCTCCTCGCCCCACCACTGACTGACTGGCTGACTGACTGCTGCTCTCCTCGGCTGACTGGCTGCTCTCCTCGCCCCACCACTGACTGACTGGCTGACTGCTGCTCTCCTCGCCCCCCACTGACTGACTGGCTGCTGCTCTCCTCGCCCCACCACTGACTGACTGGCTGACTGCTGCTCTCCTCGCCCCACCACTGACTGACTGGCTGACTGACTGCTGCTCTCCTCGCCCCACCACTGACTGACTGGCTGACTGACTGCTGCTCTCCTCGCCCCACCACTGGCTGACTGACTGCTGCTCTCCTCGCCCCACCACTGACTGACTGGCTGACTGACTGCTGCTCTCCTCGCCCCACCACTGGACTGACTGGCTGCTGCTCTCCTCGCCCCACAACTGGACTGACTGCTGCTCTCCTCGCCCCACCACTGACTGACTGGCTGACTGACTGGACTGGCTGCTGCTCTCCTCGCCCCACCACTGACTGACTGACTGACTGAACTGACTGGCTGACTGACTGCTGCTCTCCTCGCCCCACCACTGACTGACTGACTGCTGCTCTCCTCGCCCCACTGACTGACTGACTGCTGCTCTCCTCGCCCCACCACTGACTGACTGGCTGCTGCTCTCCTCGCCCCACCACTGACTGACTGGCTGCTGCTCTCCTCGCCCCACCACTGACTGACTGGCTGACTGACTGCTGCTCTCCTCGCTGTGGCTATATCCCCACTGCTCGGTCTAGGCTCCGCCCCTCGCTCGTGTGCCGCTGACTCTGCACAGACAGGATCAGAGTTTCCACAAGCCCTGGACAATATAATAATCACCTGACCAGCCGCTCCAACAGTAAATACTCTGTCAATTTTGTAGACAGCCGGAGCAGTCAGATTGTGAACAAGGAACATCACACAAACATCGAGAAGTGAACGTAGGTGCCAAGCTGGCCCAGTCATTGAACTCTCACTTCCGAGTCAGAAGGTCGTGGGTTTAAGTCCACAATGGAGCCTGTAAGCTCACAGTCTAGGCTCACACTGCAATGCAGTGCTCTGCGGTGGAGAGGTGCCAACCTTCAGATGATACATTAAGGTTCCACTTGCCTTTTCTGATGGATAATAAAGAGCCCATGGCTGTGTTCAAAAAGAGAAGGGAGTTTCTCTCTCCCGGGGCCAACAATCCCCAGATAAAACTGGTCATTCACTCCACAGATTTGTGGGACATTGCTGCGCACAAATTGGCTGCTGCGTTCGCCCACAAGATACACTCTGGCTACACTTTACAGTAAATTGTGTAAAGAAATCTAGGATGTTTTGATATACAAAAACATCAAGTTATATGATAGAATTATTTTAATCCTTCCTGTAGTTGATGGAGGGTGGGTCCAATTGTGGATGAACGAAGGCCTAGTACAAAGTCATTCTATCGTATTCCTGGTCTCTGCATAGAAAACAGAGTATTACAATATTTACTTCAGGCAGCATCTCTCATAGCAGGGGGACATCTCAAAGCTCTTAATAATACTAGCTGGACACATGAGCTGGGAATGGGGGAGATGACCCAAAGCATGGTCCAAGAGGTAGATCTTGAGATGGAGCTTGAACCAGGTGAGTAAGGGAGCGAGTCAGAGAGATGGAAATGCAGATCAGGGGGGTGGGGGGCAGATAAGCTGATTTCACAATTTTACTGAAAATTTCAGGGATTTTGCAAAATCCCTGGTTTCACAACTGCTGTAACATATATCCAGCCTGGCCTGGGGTGGACACAGACTGTTCAGTGATGGTGATCCCTACATTGACCAAAAGAGGGCAATAGGAAGAGTGGAAATTAAATCAGCTTACCAATCCATCTCCTGCTCCGATTTGCGAGTGTGCGGTTGGCAGGCCATTGTTGGTAACTCCCCGCTCCTTCTGCAGTTGCTTCACATGTTCTTTCAGCTCCTCGCTTTGTGCCTCCTGCTCCGCCAGCTCTTCTTGCAGCTTCGCCAGCTCTTCCTGGCAGGTTAAATACTTCTGGATGGCGGCTTCCAGCTGTGAGTCCCGCTGTTTGAGCTGCGAGTGCAGTGTCTGCATTTCAGCGCTGGCTTGCTGCACACCGGCCGTCTTTTCCGACACTTCTTGTTCGAGTTCCACCAACCTTGCAGGCAAAGCCTCCACTTGCTGTAGCCGCACCTGTTCATATCTCAGCTGCTCCTGTAGTTCCTGCACGCGGGTGGAGAGCTGCTGCACCTCAGCCCCATGCTGCGAGATGTGACGTTGCAGCAAACAATTGTCCTCCCACAGGGTATCCTGTTGCAGGTGCAGGGAGGCTAGTTCCTCCCGCTGCTGCCCATTGACACCCTGCAGATGTTGGAGACTGGCCTGAAGAGCGGCCTCCCTCTCTTGGAACTCAGCCTCCTTCTTAGCCCAGGGCGGAAGGGATGCAGCGGGCTGACTCAACACTGCCTCCTCCTGATGCCGACAGCCAGGAGCACACTCCTTGCACTCTGCAGGCCGCACTGCCAGGAATGCCAGCTCTTGCTGTAGGTTCTCACTGTGTCCTGTCCAGCGTGGTAAACCCAGCCTGGACTCCTCCAGGAGGCCAGACTCCTCCTGCATGTCACTCATTTCGTGCCGGTTTGGGTTCAAGAGCAGCAGCTCTTGTTGGAGCTTCTCGATCACCTCGTGGAGCTGCTCTGTCTCTTCCTCTCGGTCTGCCCGCAGCCTCTCTTGCTCCACAGTCAGCCACTCAATTTTGCCTTTCAGCTCCTCAATTTCACTTTTTTTCTCTTCAAAAACCTAATGAAACAGCAACAATGAGCAGACAGCACTCGTCACATCAAAGAGCAGGAGCGAGTACAGGGCCTGCAGACTTGATCACTCAGTGCTCAACATTGGTAAATTAACAGACAGTTTTATATTTCCCATCCTTCACCCAGCACTGAGTAATGACCACCTGCACAATACCATCAATGTTCAACCTTTTGGCTGCACGGCCGGATTCCCTATTTGAGAAAGAAAGGTCCACGGGCCACATCTAGCGTGGGCCAGCTGGCGGGCCACATCTGGCCCGAGACCATTTCCAACATTCCAACCCGCTCACTCCCTGGCGAACGGCAGGAGCAAGTGATTCGAAGGATGAAGCCCACAGAGCCTTTACTGCAGTCTGTCAGGAATGCAAGAGTGTCTCTTACCAACTCTGTGCTTAGCAACCAACTGCTGTGTCCTGCTGCTGAAGATAGTGACCCGCACTTGGGAGAGAAATGGGGAGAGAGGGGTGGTGGGGGTAGAGAAGAGGGAGGGGAAGGAGGCGATAGAGGGAGAGGGGGTAGAGGGAGAGAAAGAGGGGGGACGAAGTGGAGGAAAGAGAGTAGAGCAGAGACCATAGCAGTGTGAAGAGGAAACTGAGTGAGGTGGAACCAGCTGAGAATTCTGTTAAGGAATTTAGTGAGAGTGGGAATTCAGTGCAGTGGGGGAAGGAGTTACATAATTATAAAATATATAATAGTTATATTAGAATAATATAAAACATGTCTGGGAATATGGCAGGACAGCTGAGACTGGTTGCATGAACAACGTGTGTCATGTGGACTCCACAATGCTTTGTTTGCCCTGGACAAACATGTGTGCAGGAAATGCCTCCGGCTGCTTGAGCTTGAGCTCAGGGTTTTGAGCTAGAGGAGAAGCTGGTATCATTACATAGCATATGGGAGGCTGAAGAGTTCATGGATCAAATGTTTTAGGAGGTGGTCACCCCACAGCCACACAGCGTTCAGAAGGAGAGTGAGTGGGTAACCACCCGGCGTGGTAGGAAGAGGGGACGGGCAGTGCAGAGTGTGGCACTCATAAACGGTTTTCTGTACTGAATACCGGTGAGGTGATGACACCTACGGGGAGAGGAGTCAAAAGCAAATGGATGCACAGGGGGACACCAGGAAGAGTGTCAATGGGGACACAACAGTGAAAGGAGTAGACAAACGTTTCCTCACCAAAAATGTGACTCTCGCATGGGATGTTGCCTCCCTGGTGCCAGGGTTGAAGACATCATGGAATGGGTGCAAAATATTCTACAGGAGGAAAGGGAACATCCAGAAGTGGTGGTCCATGTTGGGATCCATGACGTAGGGGGAAAAAGGGCTGAGATCCTACAGGAGAGTATCAGAAGCTAGGGAAAAAGCTAGAGTAGGACCTCAAAGGTGGTGATCTCTGGATTACTCCCAGTGCCTCATGCAAGTGAGCATCAAAACAGCAGGATCAAACGCATGAATGCCTGGCTGGAGAAATGGTGCAGAAAGGAGGGCTTCAGATTCCTGGAACATTGGGTCCAGTTCTGGGGCAGGTAGGACCTGTCTAAGGTGGATGAGTTACACTTGAACAGGGCTGGGACCAATGTCCTCGCAGTGAGGTTAACTAGTGCTGTGGGGTTTAAACTAATTTCGATGGGGGAAGGGAATCAGGATATAGCATCTGAGAGGAGAAACAAGTTACATAGAGGGCTGGGAGAGACGAATAACAATGTAATAAGTAGTCCAGAAAAAGCAGGGATTAGACGGGGGAGAAATGCAGCGCAGACTCAGTCGGTTTTGGAGTGCATGTGCGGAAAAATGCAGAAATAGGAGCTGAATATTCCTGGCTGTAATGTATTCAGGAGGGATAAGGAAGAAAAAAAAGCAGGAGGAGGATGACAATATTGATTAAAGATACTGTTAGGGCCCTGGAAAGGGACGATGTCCTAGAAGGTCCAAAAACAGAATAACATAACATGTAGGAGCAGGAGTAGGTCATTTGACTCTTCGAGCCTGCCCCGCCATTCAATCATGGCTGATCTTCTAATCTAACTCCAGCTAATAACCTAACCCTGTCTTATCCCCATATCCCTTAATCCCTTTTGCAATAAGAAATCTATCTATCTCAGTCTTGAATATGTTCAAGGACTGAGCGTAAACAGCCCTTTGGGGTAGTGAGTTCCATACATTCACCACCCTTTGAGTGAAGAAGTTCTTCCTCAACTCAGTGTGAAAGGGCTGCCTCTGATTTTAAGGTTGTCACCCCTGGTTTTAGTTTTTCCAACCAGGGGAAACAATCTCCCACTATCTACTCTATCATGCCCTTTGATCATCTTATAGGTTTCTAATTCTTCTCTAATTCTTCTATATTCCAGAGAATATAGGCCCAAATTGATCAGCCTATCCTCGTAACTCATCCCCTTCATCCCTGGTACTAACCTAGTAAATCTACACTGCACTCCCTCTACATCCTTCCTTAAATGAGGAGACTAAAATTGGACACAGTATTCCAGGTGTAGTCTCACCAGGGCCCGATAGAGTTGCAGCAAGACTTCCCTACTCTTATACTCTAATCCTTTCATAATGAAAAAGTATCTATTTGGTTAGAGTTAAGGAGCAGAAACGGAGCTGTTACTATACAAGGTGTATACTATAGACCTCCAAATAGTGGGAAGGAGAAAGACGAGCAAATCTGCCAGCAGATTTTAGAAAGATGCAAAACCAATAGAATAATAATGGGGGACTTCAATTATCCTAACATAGACTGGCAAAATAACATCGACTGGCAAAGTAAAGGGCAAAGAGGGGGAAGGATTCCTGAAATGTGTGCAGGATAACTTTCAGGATCAGTATGTTTCCAGCCCAACGAGGAAGGAAGCAGTGCTGGATCTAGTTCTGGGGAATGAAGTGGGGCAAGTGGAGCAGGTTTCAGTCAGAGTGATCACAATATCATTAGGTTTAGAGTACTTATGAAAAGGACAAGGAACAATCAAAGTTGAAAGATACTCAACTGGAAGACGGCTAATTTCAGTAAGTTAAAAAGAGACATAGCCAAAGTGGACTGGAAACAAAGATTGGCAGGTAAAACCGCTAATGAGCAATGGGAAGCCTTCAAGGGGGAGATAGTTCAGGGACAGAACAAATACATTCCCAAAAAGAAGAAAGGTAGAGCATCCAAACCTCCCTGGATGAATAAAGAAATTGGGATTAAAATAAAATAGAAAAAGGAGGTTTATGATAAATGTCAGGTCCAAAATACAAAAGATAATCAAATAGAATATAGAAAGTAGAGAGGAGAACTGAAAAAGAAAATAATTAGGGACCAAAGAGGAAATCTTCTTGTGGAGGCAGAGGGCATGGCTGACGTACTGAATGAGTAATTTGCATCTGTCTTCACAAAAGAAGAGGATGCTGTTATTGCCACAATATCAGACGAGGGTAGAGAAATTGGATAGGATAAGAATAAACAGAGAGGAGGTACTAAAGGCATTGATGGTGCTCAAGGTAGTTAAGTCACCTGGTCCCGGACGGGATGCATTCCATGTTATTTCCACCCTTACTTCTCTCAGGCTACAATTTCCAAGTTTGCAGATGGTATTAAGCTAGAAAAATTAGTAAACAGTGAGGAGAATAGTAGCAGACTGCAAGAGGACATACACAGTCAGGTAAAATGGGCAGACACATGGCAGATGAATTTTAATATGGAGAAATATGAACTGATGCATTTTGGGAGGAAGAATGAGCAGAGGCAATATAAACTGATGGTACAATCTTAAAGGGGGTGAGGGAATAGAGAGACCTGAGGGTTCATACAAGTAAATCTTTGAAGGTTGCAGGACAGGTAAATAAAGCTGTTAAAAAAAGCATTCAGGATAGATACTAGGCTTTATAAATAGGGACATAGAATACAAAAGTCAGAAAGTTATGGTGAATCTTTATAAAACACTGTTAGGCCTCAGCCAGAGACTGTGTTCAGTTCTGGGCACCAACACTTTAGGAAGGATGTTAAGGCATTGGAGAGGGTGCAAAGGAGATTTACCAGGATGGTACCAGGAATGAGGGAATTCAGTTATCAGGAGAGGCTGGAGAAGCTAGGATTATTCTTCTTGGAGCAACAACAATTTGGATTTATATAGCACACTCCACACAAGACGGCGTCTCAGAGCGCTACATAGTAATGGATCCCGGGGCCGAGCCAGGGGGAGGAAGGTGACCAAAGGCGCGGTCGAAAAGAAAGCAGAGCAGAGAAAGTCAAGAGGAGACCTAACTGAAGTTTTCAAAATTATGAGGGGATTCGATAGGGTGAACAAGGAGAAACTACTTCCACTAGTGGGTGGGTCGGTAACGTGAGAACATTGATTTAAAATAATTGTTAAAAGAAGCAGAGGGGAGGGGAAGAGAAATGTTTTCATACAGAGAGTTGTTCGGATCTGGAATGCATTGCCTGAAAGGGTGGTGGATAACAACTTTTAAGAGAGAAGTAGATAATTATTTGGGGAGGACAAGTTTGCAGGGCTGTGGGGGGGAGAGCGGGGCAGTGGGATTGAATTGGATAGCTCTTTTCAAAGAGACGGCACAAACACGATGGGCCGAATAGCCTCCTGCTGTGCCGTATAATTCTATGATTCTAAAGAGAAGGTGGAGAGAAAGAGAGGGGGAGGACACTTTCTCTTTATTATTCTCTGTCATTCCCCTTCTCGCACCCTCTTACACTCTCTCTTCCCTCTCACACTCCACCTCCCCACTCTCAATCACTCTCTGCCCCCTCTCCTCTCTCACACACTCTCTCCCACGCACTCTTTCTATCCCCTCTCAAACTCTCTTTCAATCACCCGCTCTCAATCTCCCCCCCGTTTCTTTCTCTCCCCCTCTCCCTTACATTCACTCCCTCCCACCTTACATTCTTTTTCACACACAATCTTGCTCACAATTACTCTCTCAACAACAACTTGCACTTATATAATGCCCTCCACCCAGGGTAGCGCCTCAAACGGCTTGAGTGTCTCACTCCCCTACTCACACCCATCACCCTCTCACACTTCACCTCCCCCCTCACCTCTTTCCCTCCACTCCTCCTTTCTTTCATACACAAACTCTCTCTATCCCCTCTCAAACTCTCTCTCAATCTCCCCCTTTCCCTCACATTCACTCCCTCCCACCTCACACTCTCCGCCTCTCTCACACTCTCACCCTCTTTCAATCTCTCTGCTCACCCTAACCCTCCCCAACACCCCCCTCTCCCGCAGCAGCAGGAGCCAGCGCTTCATTGCTAAGGATGTGGCTGGTAAGAGACGCGCTTGCCTTCCTGACAGACTGCAATAACGGCTTTGTGCGCTGTGTCCTCCCAACCACTGGCTCTTGCAGCTGCCCTGTGAGGACCTTCACCAAGGAGGGAGGAAGTGAAAGTTGGAATGGTGGAAATGGTCGCGGGCCGGATAAATTCACAGGCCCGCAAGCCACCTATTGGACCGTGCTGGCTCACTATCCAGTGCACAGTTAAAGTGATCACAATTAGATCTCTGGGCAAAATATGGACATTCAGAGCCAGTGTTAAAGAAGCAGAGGCGACAAGGCAACTTTAAGTTAATATGCTGAACTTAAATATATGTGCTGGGGCTTGTTTTCCACTCTAATCCTATTCCCTGCTTTTCCCTCCCTGTTCTGGTGCTGCCGATACTCCCCATTGAAGTTTTCCACTCTGCTCCTGCTCCGACTCTTTCCCTGAGCTGGGATGAATGAAGGTGGCTTGCAGAAGAGGAAGATTTAATGCCTGAATATTTTGCAGGTCTTTTCTCTGGTGTCTGTACCTTGTTATCTAAGGTGACTGGAAATTCATGCTGCAGTTTGAAGATCTGTTGGTTTAACTCATCAATTTCCTGGTTCTTCTCCTGGAGCAGAACCTGGGGAAGCTGTAGTGCCGGTCCTTGACCACTTTCTGCATTCAGACCCAAACGCAGACGCAAGCCAGCTACATCCTCCTGTTGGGAGGGAGAAACGCGGCAAAGGCGCAGGTCAGGGGAGACTTCTTGGAGCATTTAGCAAGGAGACAGGCTAAGACAGAAGTGCTTTACAGCCAGTCAGAGGGCTGCAGATTACACTCATCACAATTTACACAGAGCCTTTCACATATTTAAATGTTTCAAGGTTCTTTCCAGAGGCAGAGAGGGAGCCCCGACATGGTGCAAGATGGCAAAAGGGAAGTTTTCAAGATAGGATTTGAAATTAGAGAGGCTGGTGGAGGAATTTGTGGACAGAGCTCCAGAGAATGGGAGCAAGAGTCTGGCTGAAGTTTTGTGCACAGATGGAGAGCGTGGGTTGAAATAGGACAAGTGGACACCATGTCGTGTGGGACAAGGGCATGGAAGTATTTGAAAGTTAAACAAAAATCAGAAAGTTGATCTCCAGGGAGTCTGGCAAGGATGTGGGTGATGGACCCCTGAAGCTACATATAGGAAAGGAGGCCAGTCGGAGAAGGTATGGCCACCGAGCTTACCTCGAGTCGCAGGTTGTCCTGGTTGAGCTGAGTGAGGGCCGCGGATGAATGCCGAGTCTGGACCTCCAGCTGCATGCTCAGTTGCATGACTTCATCCGTCTTATTCATTAGGTTCTCCCGGAATTGATCAAGCTGCTCTTCCAAGCTGTGGATCTGAGCACAGATGTAAGCAAGACAGTTTCAAAGCCATTCATCAGTTGCCTTTAGTTGTTGGTAGTCATCTCTTCCCATTTCCATGTCCTGCCTTGGGCAGCTAGCTCTTCACTATTATAGTAACAAAATATCCCTTTCCGTTGTCAATGGGGTTTAAAGTGCTGGCTGGGCTGAAATCCCATGGGCTACCTCCACAGTTCCTCTTAGCACTTGTATATTTGAACATGGCTCTAGCACAGCCAACATTTTTGACCCCAAAAGTTGAGTATCGGGCTCAGCATCTAGCCACACCGCTGTTAAGCACTCTGCTTTATCTGTTTGATAACTTTAAAGTTTGGATTATCTCCGAGGATAAATTCCAGGTGCAGTGAGACTGTAGAGGAAGGAGGGAAGGGCTTTGGTGGTGGAATGGGAGATAATCTACAGGAAGAGGAAAATCTGTGCATTTGGTACAGCAGAGAAACTGCCTTCTCTTTTCCAATAGTGATGGTACATTTAATGTCCATCTGACAGACATTTCGGTTTACAGTCTCACCCAAAAGCAACCCCTCAACATGGGCTTAAAACACACCTTCTGAGTTAAGAGTGTCAGTGACTACAAACATCAAATATTCTTCATTTGTTCTTCACCCACCTACAAGGTACTGAGGAAATGGAGGTGCCTGATGACAATGTTGACATGAGAGACGCTCTAATAAGTAAATTGTTGAGCCCACCATAGCTGCCTGAATTGTCAGAAACAACATCACTGAAGGAAGCCGCCATTCAGCTGATCGATCCATCTCCTCAGACTCAAATTCTCTGTGTTCCTTTTCAAAGATTTACCCAATTCCCTTATAACTGTCATGATTTCCGTTTCAACAGCCACGTGTGGCAAAGCATTCCCCTCGATACCAAAATATTTCTTCTCATCTCCTCTCAACTCTCTCAGTGACAATTGGAAGTTTTACGGCTTGTTACCCATAACTGAGGTCAAGAAACACTCGCTCTGCGCGTGAAGCTGTTGTAGTGGTTAGTATGTTCCCAGAGACAGAAGCAAACAGGCAAAGCCAAGCGCATGATCTATAATAATAATAATCCTTGCATTTGATATAGTGCTTTTCACGTCTTCTCGACGTCTCAAAGCGCTTCACAGAATTGACTGTAAAGTGAATTGACTGTATATTTGTGGGTGAAACGCGGCAGCAATTGCGCACAGCAGTGTCCCACAAACAGTCATGGATTGAAAATGACCAGTTTATTATTGTTTTGTTTTGGAGGAATTATTATTAGGCGTATGGAATAAGGAAACGTGTCCAAGGTTTCGCCCTGCCTGGAATGAACCCAGGTGTCTCGCTTGCAAGGTGAGTGCTCTAACCACTGAGCTACAGGACTCTGATATAAAGGCCTGTGGAAGATGTGTTGTGAGTGACAATTCTGTATCCCAGACACTCTCTCTTCTACCCTGCCCCACCCATTCCAAGCAGTTTTGTATGCAGTACAGGGAAGTCTGACGCTGACCTCAGCCTCCTTGTTGCACAGTGCCTGCCGTTCCTCCTGCAGCTGCTCCTTCAGTGTCTGCTCTGACAAGCCTTCAGTGGGGACTCTGTGCCTTGCCTGGTCCAGCTTGGACTGCAGAGCAGAGATCTGCATCAGGTTATTGTAATGCTGCTGCTGGAGCGATTCTTTGTCCTGTCAAACAAAATGCATAACGGTCACTGCCATTTCTATAGACAAACAGTATGAAAACTCTTGAGTTTAACATTTACACTCAGAGGATGCAGTGTAGAGGGTGCATACCAATAACTGGGTAAAATAAGAACTCTGTTTTTAACCCTACACCAACAGAGGAATATTAAGAATGTGGGAGAGCGAGAGGAATAGTGGGGTTAAAGTGGATTGCTGATGAGGAGAGAATGGCACAGAATGTGGACTCTGGATGGTGGGGTCTTGTCACTGGTGCTGAACTGTGATAACCATAACCTCACAATGGGTCTCAAGATACACAGATCTGGTTAGATGGTATGACTGACACGTTCAGTTCCTCACAGTCTAGTTTCTCTGGTGTACAGAAACTCATTCTGCTTGTGTTAAGATGAAGGAAATCCTTCTTTTCTCTTCAACCACAGCAACTTGCACGTACATAGTGCCATTCACATGGGGTAGCAAGTCGTAATGCTTCTCTCGGGAAACCTCACACACCGTACTCTCCCTCAAGAGCCTGGCCCAAGTGGCGATCTCAGTGCACGAGGCTAGGCAGCGAGTGTTAGGAGGAGGATAGCCACAACCGCGACACAGCCCAGCCAATGCATACCCTTTTAAACACGGAATCTAGACACCAATGGGAGTGGCTAGCATTTCCCTTCCTTACTCAGCTCATTCAGCATAAGCCAGAGATGGAACACGTGTTTAACACTGGATAAAAGCTTTACCTACAGCCTCAACAAAAAAGATAACATGCATTCATTTACTGACCCGCAAACCCATTCAGTGGGGACTCGGTGCTTTATAGCAATGTTGCTATTGGAAAACAGAAGTCTTCAGCACCAGCTATACATCAGGGAAAGGCTGCCCCGCTGCTGGGGAAAACCTGCTGAACCTGTCAGAAGCCCCACAGAGCAACATTTGATTGGGATAAGCAGACCTGGGTGAACTCCTCCTCCAGCCGTTTCATCCTCTGCACCTCCTGCTCGAGCTGGCTGGCCCGAGTCTCTGCAGTACTATGGGGCAGCAGAGCCTGTTCAAGCTCCTTGATTCGCGTATTCAGTTTGCCCAGCTCCTCCTGCTGCTCTGCCACCTCTTGTTCCAGGTGTTCCTTTGCCAGCAGCAAGTTATTATAATCTTCCATCCTGGCCTGGATCTGGGCCTCCAGCTTACAGGAAAGCAAAGCAACATAAAAACAGGCAGCAAGGTTAGAGCCACAAGCCTAGGGGACAGGTCCTCCCTTGCCATTAAACCTCGGCTGAAATACTGGGCTCTGACACCTCTGACACAAACAACTTGTAACTTCACACTAAAGAATAATTGAATAGCAGAAAGTGCTACATTTATATCAGAGACTACTAGTCACTTGTCCCAAGATCTCTCTGGTTTATCCCATCAGCCACACAGGACAAATGCCACAGATCAGGAATTTCTGATTTCAGTAATGAAAGCTACTTGTTTTATTCATTTCCTTCAATCCATCCAGGTTAAACAGTTCATCCTCCATTGCCCTCAACACTGGCTCCCAGAGGTGTTCTGGGGAAGCTAGATGCAGAGGAGCTGATCCACCAAAGAACAAGTGATTTTAGACATTCCCGAGAGAGTGTCATTATTCTGGTCAGGTTTCGTTCTGCCCCCTCTGGGGCTTTCAGGCCCTAATCTGAACCCAGCTTTCAATGTTCAGCATTTGGCTTTTCTATCACAAAAAAAATCTGCTTGATTTGGTTACAGAACAAATGAATTAGTGACACCGAATGTGGCTCCAGAAACATGGGACAGACCCAATTAGGCTGCACGGCTGCAGTATGACCGCCTTTACGGCTCAGGACAGAACATATATGACACCTTCTATTGCAAAAAGTTCTTGCATCCTGGGTGAAGCAGCAGCAGAGAGGAAGATGTTGGAGAAGAATGCCATGCAACAGGGTGACTGCTGAGGAATCAGAGAAAATGAATAGTTTCTCATACCTGGAGGCTCAAATACTCCTAAAACCGCCAAGTCAGGAAAACAGAAAAAAAAATCTTTAGGAAGATTCTGCATTACAAATTGCACTTTCAAATAAGTGAATAGAACAAGGACAGGGAGAATTGAGAAGTTACCTACCTTGGAATCGGCACAATCACTGGCTCCCTGTGATTTTACTGCTACTTTTAGCCGGGTCTCCAATTTTGTAATCTCGGTCTGAAACTCGTCCCGTTCATGCTCCCTCTCTGCTGCTTGTTCCTGGAGGCAGAGCAGATGATTAAATCCAGGAGTTCGGCTCCTGTGTCCCCAGTGCATAGCTCTCCTTCTGAGACAACCATGAGCCCCAGAGACGACAACAAAAAGTCTCAAATCGTTCAAGTCATTTTAGCCACATCCACACACTCAACCCCTGAATTCCACCCTACCGTGCACACAAACACACACACTCTCTTGGGGAGTTTGACTCCCCCACACATTCTTTCCCGAGGGGGACTCAGTCCCCCACAGTCGGCTCCCTCTAATCCTTACGTCCATAAACTGCCGGTAGTTCTTGAGCTGCTTCTCCAGAGCCTGGATGTGCTGCTGCAGGTCAGTGACCTCGGAATGCCACTGGGCCTCCAGTGGAGGGCCACGGATTGTCTCCTCCTCCAGCTCCGCTTCCAGCCTGGTAACGCGGGACAGGAGCTCAGCACAATCCTTCTCCGCTTGACACTGGATTTCCAGCTTCTCCCTGGACAGCCGCTCAGTCTCCTCCAGCAACCCTGAACACAGCAAATGGTGTTTCCTCACAACAGCAACAACAACTTGCATGTATATAGTGCCTTTCACATCGGGAGAACAAGACAACAAGTAGCATATCACCACAAATCTCAACGATACCACTCCTTCAGAATTGAGCAGAAAATGGATCTGGAAGCTCAATGTTCATTCACAGATAATCTAGTGTTTGGCAGACACAGTAAAGACAACATTCCTTAATAACTGCCAACTCCGTGTTGTCTCATTCCCCCTTAATTTCAGTGCGTCACATACAACACCACCAACAACAACTTGCACTTATATAGGCACCCTCCATGCAGGGTAGCATCTCAGAGGGCTTAAAAAGTGCTCTGAGGTGATACCCGAATTGTCACATACCACAAGGATGAGACAAAATTGTTAGGCAGGTATAAAGTACTGTGGGGGGACAGACCGGATACGTTCCTATGCTGTTACGTCAGACTGGCTGAATTAGGGACAGTCACCATTGGTCACCAAGAGGCTATACAGACTCAAACAACTCTGACCCCATTTCCACCAACCTCCATGTCTGTGCATTTCAACTAAACCAATGATGTATTACACAGAAAAACCTGCCTCCTCTTGGATTACTGCTGGTGTTTCAACTCCTGAGAACCAGAGAATCAGAACACAGGCATCACCAGGGTGTCTGTGGCACACATTCAGTACCTCTGAGGGCAAGGAGAGAGCCAACCACTAAAGTCTGTGTGTGAACTGTTTATGAGCGAGAACCCCTCTCCGCTAACCTCCTCAGGCCCAGGGAATGGAATCCCAGCCAGCCAGCCTCTTATCAGAACTTCAGACCAAGTGTCAGAAACAGCAGTCAGTCCTCCCAAGGAGCTCTGCATAGGCGATACAGCACTTTTTACTGATATATTCACAGAAAGCTATTGTGACTGCTTTCTGCACTTATAATTATTATTATTATAAACTACGTTATTGGTTTATGCACTGTCCCCTCACCTCCAGACCATCACCAACACTCAGAACGCCCCCCGACATTGAGACCCCCTCCCCCCCCCGACACTCAGACTTCGACCCAGACATTCAAAACCCCCTCCGACATTCCAAGCCCCCGCTCCCTGTCACTCAGCCACCCCACCCTCTCTCCCCCCGACACTCAGCCCCCCACTGGCACTCAGAAACCCCCGGCACTCAGACAACCCCCCCCCCAGCATTCTGACCATCCCCCCACTGGACACTCAGAACCACCCCCCCCCCAACCGACATTCAGACCACCCCCCACCAACACTCAGACCTCCCCCTCCCAACACTCAGAACCCCCACCGACACTACGACCTCCCCTCTCCCAACACTCAGACCCCTCTCCCAACACTCAAACCGCCACATCGACACTCAGACACCCCGACACTCACACTACCCTCTCCCCCAACATTCAGATGCCCCGCAGCACTCAGATGCCCCCGGCACTCAGAACCCCCTCCCCCCCTGACCCCAACACTCAGACCGCCCCGACCCCCAATAGTCAGACTTCTCCCAACACTCAGACCCCTCTCCCAACACTCAAACCCCCACATCGACACTCGACTCCCCCCCCCCGACACTCAGGCACACCCTGACACTCAGACCCCCACACCATCAACAGTCAGACCTCCCCAACATTCAGAACCCCCGCCCCCGACACTCATAACCCCCACCCGACACTCAGAAACTCCACACCGACACTCAGACACCCCCACCCGGACACTCAGACGACCCCCACCCGTCCCCCACCGACATTCGCACCCCTCACTCCTCCTACACTCGCACCCCTTACACCCCCAACACTCGCACCCCTCCCCCCCAGACACCCCTCCCCCACCGACACTCAATCCCGGCCAACCGACACTCAGACCCCCACACCCCCGACAATCAGACCTCCCCAACATTCAGAACTCCCGTCCCCGACACTCAGAACCCCCCACACCCCGACACTCAGACACCCCCATCCTGACACACACACCCGCCACCGACACTCAGAACCCCCACCAGCCCCACCCTCCGGCCCCCAGCCCCACCCTCCGGCCCCAGCCCCACCCTCCGGCCCCCAGCCCACCCTCCGGCCCCAGCCCACCCTCCGGCCCCCAGCCCCACCCTCCGGCCCCCAGCCCCACCCTCCGGCCCCAGCCCCACCGACCCACAGGCACCCCACCCCGACGCTCGACCCACCCTCGACACTCAGACCTCCCCACTCGACACTCAGAATCAACCCTTACACTCAGAACCTGCACCTGACACTCCGACCCCTCCCACCGGCACTCCGGCCCCCTCCACCCGACACTCCGGCCCCCTCCACCCCATACCCAGACACTCCCTCACCGCATCCGACATCTGGTTAGCTGGAGCTGCTCACCTTGCTGCACCTGGTTGGCAGCCATGGCCTGGAGTTGGTGTGTGAGGAAGTCGCGCTCTTTCCGCAAGGCGTGCTGCTCCTGTCTCAGAGTGAGTAGCTGCTGGCTGAAGCTCTCCACATCAAGGACCAAACTGTGTTCGGATTTCTCCTTTTGAAATAAGGCTTCTTCCAACTCTGCCTTGTCAACCACATAGCCCTCGATCAACCCTAACAGAAATTGCATGTCAACAAGAAGCAGCTACAGCCACCACTCACATAGAGTTGCCCACCTTCTAGCTCGTGGATGGCCACATCAGGGACCTCAGCCGTCTGCATGTTTAAAAGCTCTCAGTTTAGAAAAGACACCGATGAGGATATCTGCCTGCTCATTCTGCCTTGATCATTCATCAAGCTGAAGACACCGAGGTCAAAACTGTAACGATTTCAAGTCCTGTAGTGGTTAGAGCACTTGCCTCACAAACAAAGAGACCTGGGTTCGAATCCAAGCAGGGCAAAACCTTGGGCAAGTTTCCTTACTCCACATGCCTTATAATAATCCCTCAAGAAAATACAAAATAGTAATTTGGTCACTCAATCCACAACTGTTTGTGTGACACTGCTGTACACAATTGTCTGCCGCGTTTCACCAACAAATATAGAATCATAGAATTTTACAGCACAAAAGGACGCCATTCGGCCCATCGTGCCTGTGCTAGCTCTTCGAAAAGAGACATCCAATTCAATCCTACTCCCCTGCTCTCTCCCCATAGCCCTGCAAACTTGTCCTCCCCAAATAATTATCTAATTCACATTCTATACAGTCAATTCACTTTACAGTATATTCTAGAAGACGGGAAAAGCGATATATCAAATGCAAGGATTATTATTATTATAAATGCAACTTCTTCTTAACAGCTGAGTGACATTTATCCCAGTAACTGGGTTCGTCACTCCAGCCTATGGGACCTCTACTCCAAAAAGAAGAGGGCATCAGAGCAGTGTTCTCCTGGCTCCTGCAGAGCGATCCACACAGGCAGCTTTACCAGCTGGGCTCAGCAGCACTGCCTTGTAGAGAGAGAACGGGTCCGAGGCCTGTGCCTGGACTGCTGCAGCCTCGTCAGCCACACACACACACTGATCCCCAGAGTCTAGGATCGCGCAGATGAGTATCAGAGCTTCACAGGTGCATGTAACTGTCTTCAAACATCGCTCTCTGAAGATCACACTGAGATCACAGGCTGACAATGCCCACACAGCCTGTGTACAGCTCCTCTTCCAGTACAGACTGACTGAGAGACCTTTACATTCTCAGCCACAACTTATCCTTTCCTCTTGAGAACTCGGCTATTAGAGACGGTTTGTTCTCAGTGTCAGTAAAATAAATGGTATTTGCCTTTATAAAAGTGGCTCTCACAGAGACAATAAAGAGCACGATGCTCTGCTCATTTCCACTCGCAAAGCAAGATTGGGTGCTGACTATGAGGCCAGGTTTAATGTCTGGTTTCTAGCTCACAGCTCTTACCCTCGGCTTTGTGCAGCTCCAGTGTGAGTTGCTTCTTGCCTTCAGCCTCCTGGCTCAGATGGTCCAGCAGCTGCTGGTGCTGTTTGCCCACGAACTGCACAGCCTCCTGGCCTCTGCATGTCAACTCCTCCTCCAAGTGCTCCTGGATGCCATGGGTCTGAGCCAGCTACAGGAGAGCACAAACAAGTATCACTTTCTCATTTATATCCAATCAGTGAAACATGCCCCAGTGAGAAAACAAATGCCATTCAGCTCAGCCAGCCCTACTGTCAGCCCATACCACCGGTCCTCATCTTCCTATGAACTAGCTGGTGCTCTGGAATCAGTACCTCTCCTTCAGCAGATTCACTGCATGATAACAGCCTATTGCAGAATGAATACTCCAGATTCTCCAGTTATTATTTTAGCCCATGGTTCTGCCCTCATGGCTGGATTCTCCTGGTATTGCACATAGCACTCAATTTGCTTTCCACCTAATCCAATTCCCTTTGCAATCTCAGCTGCTGCTTTACTGGTCTCCCACTAAAGTCACAAACAAAACAAACACATTGAACATCAAGTCACACCTAAATGCCAGAGCTTTGAGATACTGTCTGGATTCAGTTTGTGTATCAAGATAACATGAGACTTAAAATGATGATCCTCGCAGTTTAATATAATTCAGAGACATTATACTGTGCATATCCAAGCCAGTGTAGAAATCTACATTACAAAATAGCAGAACCAGCAAACATCTATATAGCTATGTTAAAATACAGGAGCATCAGAGCTTAACAATGGAAGAATTTGGGTCCGGATCAAAGAGATTTTAGGTGGTAAAGTGCTAGCGGGGAAGTATTTGGCGACAGGTCCAGAGGAGAACACAGTGGTGGCTGAAGATTCAAGTCTCCGAGTGAAGCACAGGAGGTGGGGCTCCAGCAGGAAACACAGCTAGAGCCAGTGCAGTCTGGGGGCAGCAAGGGTTCAGGTGATTATACTCAATCTGCAGAAGGCTGGGATGGACAGGACAAGGTTAAGTGGTCAAAGAAAGAGCCTGGGAGTAAGAACAACAACAAAATTACATTTGTATAGCACCTTTCACATCGGGAGGACATCCTAAGGCGCTGGATAATCAGTGTTTCGGACCTGAGCTGGGGTCGGGATCGGGAGGGGTGGAGGGCAGGAGAGTGACCAAAGGCACGGTCGAAGAGGAGGGTCTTCAGATGGGTCTTGAAAGAGGCAAGGATTATGGGATGGAGTTCCAAACGTTGGGGCAGAGTGACAGAAGGCCACCCACCATTGGAGGGGTGGGCGAGGGGGGGTGGGGGGGAGAGACGTGAAGCAGGCCAGAGCCCGCTGAGCAGAGGGAGCGGGCAGGTTGATAAGGGTTCAGGAGGTTGCAATGGTGGAGTCAGGCGAGGATGACAGTGATTGAGGAGCCTGGTGGGGGAGAGGACACGGGCTGCAGAGGGAAGGCAAAGCGGGACATGGCACGGATGTGGGGTAGTTAGGATAGTTGAGGGTCAAACAATATGTCAAGGTTCCGGACTGGCTTAGTAAGGTGGAGTGTGAATTCTTGCATGGTGATGCTGTCATTGCCTTGAGTGTGGAAGTTGACCATGTCTGCGGATGATGTCATCAAGAGGAAGAGTATAGATATTGAAGAGGAGGGGACCAAGGACAGAGCCCTGAGGAATGCCGTACGAGACAATGCTGGGGCTGGAGAAGAAGCCGTTTTGGAGATGAAGTAGAGATTGTGTGATAGGTAGGAACTGAACCATCATGAACAGAACATTGAAGGTTGAGGTGAGAGGCGAGGCGGTGGCGGAGGATAGAGTGGTCAATGGTATCGAAGACAGCAGAGAGGTCAAGGAGAACGCGGAGGCAGAGGGAACATTGAAGGTTGAGGTGAGAGGCGAGGCGGTGGCGGAGGATAGAGTGGTCAATGGTATCGAAGACAGCAGAGAGGTCAAGGAGAACGCGGAGGCAGAGGGAACCTTGGTCGCAGATGGACAAAATGTAATTTGTTATTTTGACTAAAGCTGTTTCTGTGCTGTGGGCAGCACGGAAACCCAATCGGATGGGTTTGTGAAGGGAGTTGTGGGAGAGGAAGGAGCGAAGCTGGGAAGCAACGACTCGTTCCAAGACCTTTGAAAGGAAAGGGATGTTGGAGTGGGATGTTAGTTTGAGAGCAGGGATGGGTCCAAGGAGGGTTTTTTAAGGATAAGCGTGATGACAGCTGTTTTTAAATGGGTGGGAACTGAGTGGACAGGAAGAGGTTTATGATCTGTGAATAGGGGGAAAGGAGATGGAGTAAGTAGAGGGTAGGGATGGGGTCAAGGAACTGGGTGGTCAGTTTCATGTGAGTAATGGTGGTGATGAGAAGAGGGGGAGACAGGTTCGGGGGTGTGGAGGGAGGAATGGGTAGGGCCATGGTGTGAGGGGGAGATGGGGAGGGGGTACAGAGAGGATTATGAAATTCTAAGCGGTGACAAACAACAACTTGCATTTATATAGCGCCCTCCACACCAGTTGGCATCTCAGAGTGCTCAACAATGGCGAAGCACGAAGCCAAGCCAGGGGGAGGGGGAAGATGACCTTAGGCGTGGTCGAAGAGGAAGGTCTTCAGGTACGACCTGAAGATGGGAAAGGTGGGGGCAAGGCGAAGGGGTTGAGGGAGGGAGTTCCAAAGTTTCGGGGCATAGTGGCTGAAGGCACAACCGCCGATGGTGGAGCAGAGGATTTGGGGGACACAGAGGAAGCCGGACCCAGTAAAGCTGAGGCAATGGGTACTGCTGCGGGGAGAGAGGTTAGAGAGATGGGAGGGTGCCAAGGAATGGAGGGATTTAAAGACTGGAGTGAGCATCTTGAAGTCGATCTGCTCTGTAACAGGGAGCCAGTGGAGTTTGGCAAAGACTGGAGTAATCTGGGTGTGAAGTTTGGTGCAGGTGAGAATGCAGTGGTTAAGTTTTGAATGAGCTGGATTTTGTGAATAGTGGAGGAGGGGAGACCGGCGAGGAGGGTGTTAAGAGTATTCAGCCGAGAGGAGCTAAGAGATGGACAAGAGTTTTGGCAGCTTTTGGGGTGAGATGTTGTCAGAGACTGCAACGTGGTGGAGGTGGAAGAAAGCAGTGCTGGTCAGGGACTGGACGTGGCGGAGGAAGGATAACTGGGAATCGAACCTGACACCTAAGTTGCGCACGGGTTCAGAGAGTTTTAAGGACATGTTGGGTAGGTTGAGGAGGTCGGAACAGTGGGACAGAAGACGTCGGCGGGAGCCAAAGAGTATGGCTTCTGTGTTGTTGGCGTTGAGTGAGAGGATCGGGGTGCTCACACCTAGTGTATGAGAGGATCAGTGTGCTCACACCCAGAGTGAGAGGATCGGGGTGCTCACCCCCAGAGTGAGAGGATCGGGGTGCTCACCCCCAGAGTGAGAGGATCGGGGTGCTCACACCTAGTGTATGAGAGGATCAGTTGCTCACACCCAGAGTGAGAGGATCGGGGTGCTCACCCCCAGAGTGAGAGGATCGATGTGCTCACACCCAGAGTGAGAGGATCGGTGTGCTCACCCCCAGAGTGAGAGGATCAATGTGCTCACACCCAGAGTGAGAGGATCGGGGTGCTCACACCTAGTGTATGAGAGGATCAGTGTGCTCACTCCCAGAGTGAGAGGATCGGTGTGCTCACACACAGAGTGAGAGGATCGGGGTGCTCACACCCAGAGTGAGAGGATCGGGGTGCTCACACCCGGAGTGAGAGGATCGGTGTGCTCACCCCCAGAGTGAGAGGATCAGTGTGCTCACACCCAGAGTGAGAGGATCGGTGTGCTCACCCCCAGAGTGAGAGGATCAGTGTGCTCACACCCAGAGTGAGAGGATCGGGGTGCTCACACCCAGCATGTAGATGAGGAAGAGAAGGGGGCCAAGGATGATTTCTTGGGGTATCCCTCAGGTGAGCGAGTGGAAGCGAGAACCCATTTGCTGAAATGTAGTGCTGGCGGTTTGTAAGGTAGGACTCGAACCAAGCAAGGGTGGTCCCACTGACGTGGATGATGAGGACAGGCGGTGGAGGAGGATGGCGTGATGTGTCGAACGCGGCGGAGAGGTCCAAAAGGATGAAGAGGCAGAGGGAGCCCTGGTCACAGATAGAGAAGATATCGTTTGTGACTTTCACAAGCGCAGTCTCTACTCTGGGCAGGGCAGAAACCGGACTGGAGGGGTTCAAGTAGGACGTGGAGGGAGAGGTGTGTGCGTAGAAGACAACAGTGAGTTAAGGGTGGCGAAGTGGTGTCAGCAATCATTGTTGCTCTGGCGGCTGAAAGTCCCTTTCAGGAAGGAGAAATGTCTCAAAGCACTTCACAAAACTAGAGGACTTGCTAAACAATAAAATAGGACATCAACTGATAAGCAAGAAGATATAGGATTTTAGGAGGCAGGCAGGAAGAGAAGGAACAAGGTATAAAGTGGACCTGCTGGTCCCGGCAGCAAGTAGAGCCTGGCAAAAATGAATAGCAGACTGGTAGGAGAGAATACAGGCTGCAGAATGTTTGATGATTCACATGAAAGGCTCCGCAATACAAATAGCATTTGTTACACTGAAGTGTCAGAGGCAGGGATGGTGCCGGTCACCTTATTTGTGATGACAAAGCTGATAATGTAACAATCCAATCTTTAAGAGGCAGAGCAGAGGAGGGCTGCTGCTGCCTCCACTCATTGGCCCAAACCAGAAACTCTGCATTGCTGGTATTAATGAACTATTGTGTGTGGGTCCGAGGATTAGTATGCTCACACCCAGAGGGAGAGGATCGGGGTGCTCACACCCAGAGGGAGAGGATCGGGGTGCTCACACCCAGAGGGAGAGGATCGGGGTGCTCACACCCAGAGGGAGAGGATCGGGGTGCTCACACCCAGAGGGAGAGGATCGGGGTGCTCACACCCAGAGGGAGAGGATCGGGGTCCTCACAACATCCTCATAGTACCAACCTACTTTGCTGGCGAAGTGCTTGGAGTAGTAGGAGAGGTTGCTGGGTCCCGTGATACAAGTTCTGCAGAGAGATCCGACTGGACTTACCACCAGTGACCTCAGCTGATCCTGGGATCCTGTCAACCAAACAAGAACGGGTTGGGTGGTGCTGACCCACCGCATTGCCCGTGGCTCTCCTGAACAATACTCACTTGTCTGGTCGACTCAGTGACCAACTCCAACAACTTTTCCACTGCAACCTGCAGCCGGGCACATGTGCTCCGCACCAACTCCTGGTTTTCAAGCCCCACCTCAGGCCCAGCAAACATGCTCTCAGACAACCACTGCGACAGCTCCTGGCCCTCATCTGGCATTGCTGACCATGCACTGTTCTCCTCTGTCACACTCTCACTGACCTGGCTTGTGTCCAGTGACTCGCCTGAAGAAACAGCACAGGAATGGTCAGTGTCTTTCCTTCATATTGTTACAAGCTGTGTGTAGTGTGGACAACAGACAGAATTACCTGAACACTTACTAACCCTTATTTTAGATACCTTCCACATGATAGATTACGCCAATCTCAGGTACAGAAGAATCCCACAAAACGGCACTTGGTTATAGTGTCGCCTCACTGATGAGCCGGCGCCTGCACTAAAAAACAACAGACTTCCACGTCCCTAATAATTTCACTCCTCGTACACTGCCATTTCCCCCTCCCTCGCCACCGTTCCCCCCACCCCCACTCACCGCCGTTCTCCCCCCCCCCCTCGCCGCGGCCACCCTCTCTCTCACCGCGGCCCATCACTGCCGCCGACCTAAAACTGCAGCCTCTCTCTCGCTGCGGCCCCCCTTTCTCGCTGCAGCCCCCCTCACTCTTAGCGGGTAATATAAAAGGGAACACTAAAGTCTTTTCTAAACTTATTAAGAGTAAAGGGATGGTCAAAGGAAAGATGAGGCTGATTAGGGACCAAAAAGAAAAACTTCTTGTGGAAGCTGAGGTACTGAATGAGGACTTTGCATCAGTTTTTCCAAAAGAGGATGCTGCCAATGTCACAGTAAAGGAGGAGGGTAGAGACTTTAGATTAGATAAAAATAGGCAGAGATGTGGTACTTGATAGGGGAAGCTTAGCTATGAGGACAGGCTGGAAAAGTTAGGACTTTTCCCATTAGAGCAGAGAAGATTACGTGGGGACCTGATAGAGGTCTTCAGGATCATGAAAGGTTTCGACAGGCGAGATAGGGAAAAGCTGTTTCCGCTGGTAGGTCTGTCTGTGACCTGTGGTCACAGTCTTAAGATATCTACCAAAAGAAGCAGAGGGGAGGTTAGAAGAAATTTTTTCACTCAGCGATTTGTTCGAATTTGGAATGATCTGCCTGAAAGGGCAGTGAAGTCCAATTCGATAACAGCTTTTAAGAGAGAACTGGATAGTTATCTGAGGAAGATGGGTTTGCAGGGTTATAGGGAGAAAGCTGGTGAGTGGGGTTAATAAAAGTCAGTTGCTCTGTCAAAGAGCCGGCACAGACTCAATGGGCCGAATGGCCTCCTGTGCCGTAACATTCTATGATTCTATGATAGGTTAGCCGCGCTCAAAGTAAAAAAAGGCACCTGTAGAAGTAGAAAAGTAGAAAAATGGGATGCATCCTGGGGGAAATAACGGTGGAAATAGCAGAGGCTCTGGCCACAATTTTTCAATTCTCCTTGGATATGGGAGTGGTGCCTGAAGACTGGAGGGCTGCAAATGTTACACCCCTGTTCAAGTCTATTATGTGGCACTTTCAAAAAGTTTTGATAAAGTGCCACATAATAGACTTGTTAGCAAAATTGAGGGAACAGTGGCAGCATGGAACCAAAATTGGCCAGGAGACAGAAAGCAGAGGGTAGTGGTAAACAGTTGTTTTTCAGATTGGAGACAGGGAAACAGTGGTGCTCCTCAGCGGTTGGTATTGGGACCTTATCTTTTTAATGTATAGAGAGCAAAATTTTAAAGTTCGCAGATGACACAAAACGTGGAAACGTAGTAAACAGTGAGGAGGATAGTAGCAGACTGCATGAGCACATAGACAGACTGGTGAAATGGGCAGATGGAATTTAGTGCAGAGAATTGTGAAGTGATGCGTTTTGGGAGGAGTAATGAGGCAATATGAGATAAATGGTATAATTTTAAAGGGGTACAGAAACAGAAAAACCTAGCGATTCTACATACATAAATCTTTGAAGGTGGCAGGACAGGTTGATAAGAGCTGTTAAAACAGGCAAATTGAATCCTTAGCTTTATAAATAGAGGCATAGTATCAAAATAAGTTATGTTGAACCTTTACAATCGTTGGTTAGGCCTCAGCTGGAGTATTATGTCCAATTCTGGGCACCACATTTTAGGGAGGATGTCAGGGCCTAGGAGAGCGTGCAAAAGAGATTTACTAGAATGATACCAGGGATGAGGGCTTCAGTTATGTGGAGAGCCGAGAGCCTGGGATTCTTCTTCTTTGAACATAGAAGAAATTATGAACGGGGTTTTGACAGAGAAATTGTTTCCACTGGCGGGTGGGTCGGTAACCAGAGGACACAGATTTAAGATAATTGGCAAAAGAACCAGAAGGGAGATGAGGAGAATTTCTTTTAACCCAGAGATTTGTTACAATCTAAAATGTACAAAGGGTGGTGGAAGCAGATTCGATAATAGCTTTCAAAAGGGAATTAGATAGGTACTTAAAAAGAAAGAATTTGCAGGGTGTCACCTGAAAACTTTAGCTTACATTGGGTCTGTGAATACAGGACAAGGAACAGGAGGGGTCCTTACACCGATCCCTGAGGAACCCATTTAATGACCAAACTCCTCTTAATTTGCCAATTACTAACCCACATCCATGTTTTCCCCTCAACACCAACAGTCTGTGAAGGAGTCCCTCACGTGGTACTTCATGAAGGCCTGTTAAAGATCTAGCTACACTAGGTCACAAGGCATCCCACAGCCAGCTATAAAATCGCCTCCTCAACCTGTCAGCTCAAGCACTTGAGGTCATCCGTGTAGTCTGACTGATTCCCTCACCCACTATCAGCATCCAGTTATGCATCAATACAAGTTGTATTTTCTGAACTATTGAGTAAGTTGTCAGCAAGAGAAAAACATTGATATGAACAGCTGGAGCAAGAATGGGGCAGTGACACACTTAATGCAAGCAACTTGAAAAGCTCAAAACATCTTCTCTTCAACTAAATACACGTGGTAGGCAAAGTACATAAGGGAGGACATAACGGGGAAGGGCGAGGAAAGGAGCAATGCAGTTTAAAGTGCCTTGGGATGTGCTCTATCGCCTTGGGACATTCTCCCGACGTGAAAGGCGCTATACAAATGTAATTTTGTTTTGTTGTCGTAATGAGTGGGATACCTGCGTCTTGATTGAGCAAAGTTTTAGACTTGTTGGTCAAGTGTCTGGTGGCTGGGCTCTGGTTGTCCTGCAGACATCGGGCCCGGTTGTTGTCCAGGCAGATTCCGATCCGTCTGCTGATCAGATCTTCTGAGGCAAACGTTGTCCTCACCACATCAGATAGGAGCTTCAGCGCTCGCTCGTGCGAACATTGCAAGTCTTTCCTAAATGGTGTGGGAGGATGTGGGATTAGTTTGATATTCTTACACTGAACAGGAGTCCTGTAGCTCAATGGTTACAGCATTCGCCTCGCCAGTGAGAGAAGAGACCTGGGTTTGATTCCCTGGAGGGCGAAACCTTGGGCAAGTTTACTTTCCAAATGCCTGATAATAGTCCCTCAAGAAAAAATAAAAATAAATTGGCCACATCAGTCCACGACTGTCTGTGGGACATTGCTGTGGGCAATTGGCTGCCGCATTTCACCCAAACATAGTCAATTCACTTTACAGTATATTCTGTAAAGCGTTTTGAGACATCTAGAAGGCATGAAAAGCGCTATATCAAATGCAAGGATTATTATTATTATAAACATCCCGAGATGAGAAAAGTATGGAGTGGAGGACTCCATTCCAAATGGTGGAGTCGTGCATTGATTAGTGCACTCGCCTCACAAGTGAGATGACCCAGGTTTGATTCCTGGCAGGGCAAAATCTTGAGCAAGTTTCCTATTTCCACACCCTTTTGTTTGTCTAGCAGTAAGTAGGAACCTGATTGTAGGAACATAGGAATTAGGAGCAGGAGTAGGCCATTCTGCCCCTTGAGCCTGCCCCACCATTCAATAAGATCATGGTAACCTAACTCCATCTGCTCGCCTTATCCCCATATCCCTTAATCCCTCTATCCTTTAGAAATCTATCAATCTCAGTCTTGAATATGTTCAAGGACTCAGCATCTACAGCCTTCTGGGGTAGAGAATTCCACAAATTCACTACCCTCTGAGTGAAGAAGTGTTTCCTCAACTCTGTTCGAAAGGGCTCTCCCTTAATCTTAAGACTGTGACCTCTAGTTCTAGATTCTCCCACCAGAGGAAAAAGTCTCACACTGTCTAGTCTGTCAAGCCCCATAAGAATCTTATATGTTTCTATAAGATCACCCCTAATTCTTCTATATTCTAGAGAATATAGGCCTAGTTTACTCAACCTATCCTCATAGGTCAACCCCCTCATCCCAGGAACTAACCTAGTGATTCTACGCTGCTCACCCTCTAAAGCGATCACGTCCTTTCTTAAATAAGGAGACCAAAACTGCACACAATATTCTAGGTGCAGTCTCACCAAGGCCCTATACAGTTGCAGCAAGACTTCCCTACTCTTGTATTAATAATAATCCTTGCATTTGACGCAGGTATCCCACTCATTACAACAACAAAACAAAATTACATTTGTATAGCGCTTTTCACGTCGGGAGGACGTCCCAAAGCGCTTCACAGAACACACTGTAAAGTGAATTGACTGTATATTTGTGGGCGAACGCGGCAGCCAATTGCGCACAGCAATGTCCCACAAACAGTCGTAGATTGAAAATGACCAATTTATTATTGTTTTTGGTTTTGGAGGGATTATTATTAGGCTCTGTGTGAAGTAAGGAAACTTGCCCAAGGTTTCGCTCTGCCTGGAATTGAACTCAGGTCTCTCGCTTGCAAAGTGAGTGCTCTAACCACTGAGCTACAGGACTCCACGACTCCAGTATTCTAACCCTTTTGCAATAAACGCCAACATGCCATTAGCCTTCCTAGTTGCTTGCTGTACCTGCATACTAACTTTTTGTGACTGGTGTACAAGGACACCCAAATCCCTCTGAACACTAACACTATCTAGTCTCTCGCCTTCTGGAAGATAATCTGCTTTTCTATTTTTACTACCTGGTGAATAACTTCACACTTCCCCACATTATATTCCATCTGCCACCTTCTTGCCCACTCACCCAGCCTATCTATATCCCTTTGCAATCTTTTTGTGTCATCCTCAGAGCTTACTCTCCCACTTAGCTTAGTATCATCTGCAAATTTAGATATTTTAAGTTCTATGTCCTCGTCTAGATCATTGATTGTTAATTGACGGATCGCTTTCCAAGGGCAATAATCCCTCCAAAAAATAAACTGGTCATTCAATCCAGTTTACAGTATAGAGTGCACAGGCACCAAACTAAATTTGAGTAGGGGAAAGACGGGAAAGCTGGGACAATGCTCAGTTCTCCTGTGACTTAAATGAAAGTCGTCATCACACAAAACATATTGTATATTTCAGAACATTTATGGTGGATTTTTGGCAGGGCAGGATGATGTGTGCAGCGGGAGGCTGCTGGTGCTGCACTTTCCCACTCACCGCTCACGAGTCAGATGCTGAATGTCTGCACGGAGCATGGCTTCCAGGTTCGATCCTTCTTCGTTCTCACGGTTGCGCCGCTGCAGCAGTGTGTCCAGCTCAGACCTCTTGTCCTGCACTTCCGCCTGAAGCTGTGGGAGTGGCACCAGTGAAACAGAGACAAGAAGCCTGTCATTCTCAGAGTTTACTTAAAAAGTGGAAAACACAACCAAGAAGGTGACAGGCACCTGAACCCGTGGACTCAGCATGAATCTGACCCAAACAGAGCAAACACCACTCTACCCTTCACACAAGCACTCCACGGGTTCTCAGGGAAAACAGTTCAGATATTGACCAGACCACAAAATACTCACATTTCACACACAGGCCTCAGATCATGTCCTCTCCTGGTCAGAGCAGGCAAGTGGGCAGCAAAGCAGAAACCATCTGAGGTGCACAGCCCAAATCCAAAGGGATCCGTTAATCCCAGGGTTCCTCCGCGAACAAGCATAAATTGCTTAACAACGTTGAGAAGAAGCACCACCCAGCCCACCCCGTGCACTGCATGAACTCACTACCTATTGGCATGACAACAGCCCGCCTCTCTGAAGTCAAGCACAGTTCCCTCTTGTTCTGGAGAGATTGCTGATCTGTGAAATCATTGCACATGGGAGTCTAAAAGTTGGGAACTGCCTGGAACAGTCACATTAACACATTGCAACCAATTCTACTGAAGGAATAGCACCTCATGACTCAGTGCCTGCTGCAGCTCTGCTCACACAGCTCTGTGGGAACATGGCACATGCAAAAGCAAGACAGAGATAAACAATCAAAACAACCTGTCCCAAAACCTTTTCATGGCAATTAAATGGAGCTGACCAACTTGCTGAATCAACATTGAAAGTCACTCCCATGCTTAATTTCTTTTAAATTATGTTTTAGGACCAGCTGGGCTAACTGATTCCAGCTCTCAGCTGTCCTGCATGTAAAGCAGAAGTGCAAACCAACAGCTCAGCACATAAAGCACACCATGAGCCACAGGAAAATATCTCACCAGCCAGTGAGTGAGGCAAACATCACAATTACCACACAGAATTATCTGTCTCACACACACCAAGTTTTTCTATCGTTGGAAAGTTCTCATGAAAAAANTGTGTGCCACATAGAATCATAGAATTTTATGGCACAGAAGGAGGCCATTTGGTCTATTTCTTTGAAACAGCTACCACCTAGTCTCATGCTTTTTTTCTTTTTTAAGTACCTATTTGAAAGCTATTATCTAATCTGGTTCCACTGCCCTTTCAGGCAGTGCATTCCAGAAAGTGACAACTCACTGGGTTAAAAAAATCTCCTGTCTCCTCTCCGGTTCTTTTCCCATTTATCTTAAATCTGTGTCCATCTGCCAAAGGAAACAGTTTTTCCTTATCTACTCTATCATAATTTTGAAAATGTCTATTAAATCTTCCTTCAATCTTCTCTGCTCTAAGGAGAATAATCTCACCCTGTCTAGTCTCTCCACATAATTGCAGTCCCTCATCTCTGGTATAATTCTGGTAAATCTTCTATGCCCCTTCTCCAAGTCCTTGACATAATAATAATCCTTGTATTTGATATAGCGCCTTATCACTTCTTTGAGACTTTTGAAAGCGATTCACAGAATATGCTATATAATTTGTGGGTGAATCCCTCCTAAAGTGTGGTGCCTAGAATTGGACAAAATATTCCATTTAAGGCATAACCAGCGATTTGTAAACGTTCAACATAACTTTCTTGCTCTTATACTCTATGCTTCTATTTATAAAGCCAAGAATCCCACACTTTTTTTAAAACACTTTGTCAACTTGTCCTGCCACCATCAAAGATTTGTTGTGCATGTTAACACTCCAGGTCTCTCTGATCCTAACCCCCCGTTAAAATTGTACCATTTATCTTATATCATCTCTCCTCATTACTCCTTCCAAAATGCATCACTTCACAATTCTCTGCATTAAACTTCATCTGCCATGTGTCCTCCCATTTCACAGTCTGTCTATGTCCTCCTGCAGTCTGCTACAATCACTGTTTATTACGTTTCCAAGTTTTGTGACATCTGTGAACTTTGAAATTTTCTTCTTTGATACCCAAGACCAGGTCATTAATGCATATTAAAAAGAGCAGTGGCCCTAATACCGACCCCTGGGGGACACCATTGTATACCTGTCTCCAGTCTGAAAAACAACCGTTCACCACTACCCTCTGCTTTCTGCTTCTCAGTTAATTTCAGATCCATGCTGCTTCTGTTCCCTTAATCCCATAGGCTTCAATTTTGCTAACTGATAAAGTGCCACATATTAAACACCTTTTGAAAGTCCACATACGCAACATCATCGGCACTACCTTCATCAACCCTCTCTGTTACTTCATCGAAGAACTCATTTCACATAAACTTTATACATGTTATATATGTCACCCCCACCTACCTATCACACACTTTGCTCAATCCCCATATGAAGCAAGTCTGCACCATGGGCAATAAACACCCTCAGATCCAGGGAAGACACTCATGGGTTACATTAGGCTTCACCTGTGTGACATGCTCGACCTGCTGCTGGAGCTGTGCTGCCATCTGCCTCTTCTCCTCCTGGTGCAGCTGCTTCTCTTCCTCTAACTTTTGGGCGTAGGCCTCCTCCAACTCCCACAACAATCTGCTCTTCTCAACCCTAAAGTCCTCCTGCACAAAAACAAAGTAGCTCAGGGCACTGCAGAGCTCTGTGATGCACTTCAAGTGGCAGAGCAGGCACAAGGAAGGGCCATTCCTGATGAAGATGGGGTGTGGCACTTCGTACAATGATGGAACCTGGACTCACCTTCCAGAGAGTAAACAAATGCTGTTCAGATACATGCAGTCACACAGGAAGGAAAAGCTATGACTGAAAGGTGCAAGCCTTTCCCACTGGCAGATGGAATCACAGGACTTCATGTTACCAAAGCTAAACATTTTAAAGGAATATCATATCACAATTCTCTCAGTAGAATATGAAAATTGCAAATTAAAGTGCTGGGATGGACATGAGGACACAAATTGGGCCGGTGACAAATTGTGAGAAATCTTTTAAAGACTTATAAGAGGACACTGAGACCAGAAAAATGCGATACAAATGGCAGATGTAGTTTAACACTGATAAATGCAACATTTGGGAAAACGAATAGGGAGTGAAATTATTGAGAGACGGTAAAAGTCAGGGGAGTAGAAGACTGAGGGATAAGAACATAAGAAATGCTAAACGAAAAAAGACTGAGGTCCATCTAGTTCGCCTTCCACCTCCCTGGCGGTCGCATACACATATGTCCCAAACTACCTATGTATTATTTCCTAAAAGAAAACTATCTAATCTGTGTTTGAAAAAATCAACACTTCTTGCTTCAATCGTCTCCCTAGGAAGCTTGTTCTACAGGGTCACTATTCACTCACTGAAGTAGTGTTTGAGTAATTTGTTCTGAATTTACACCCCTTCAATCGCAAGCCGTGTCCTCTGGTTTTACTCTTCTGGACAAGTTGAAACAGCCTGTCGTGATCTATATTGTCTAGCCCCTTTAGAATCTTAAAGATAGCAATCATGTCATCCCTCAATCTTCTCTTTTCCAGCATGACCATGACAAATTTACTTAGTCAGTCCAGTCCTTTCATTCCCTCAATCATTTTGGTTGCCCTCCTCTATACCTTCTCTATTTCTCCAATACTTCTTCAGTACTCTATGTATGGTCTCACCAATGATTTATCCAGTGGCAGGATTACCCCACTATTGATCTTTTGATACATCCCAACATCTGGTTTGCTTTACTCACTGCCACAGAGCATTGTTGGAAGAGCTTCAACTTATTGTCAATCAGGACCCTAGGTCCTTTTCATTTTCCATGTTTATTTTTTTCCTTCCGTTTAAATAATAGTCCCTTCCAGGATTTTTTGTCCCCATGTACTTTACATTTCTCCACATTGAATTTCATCTGCCACCGATTCCCAGTTCCCAATTGTGTTCAAATCCTCCTGTAACCAATCTTGTTCAGCTTCGCAATCTACCACCTTCATTAGTTTGGGATCATCTGCAAACTTAGCCACTGTGCTTGTGATTCCTAATTCCAGATTATTTATAAAAATATTAAACGAAAGAGGTCCCAAAACAGACCTTTAGAACTCCACTGGTAACATTTTCTCAGTCTGATGACATTTCCTGTACCACCACCATGATGGGTTCTTCCAGTCAACCAATTACGTATCCATTGTAATATATCTCCACTGATTCCCGCTTTCTTTACTTTCAGTACCAGCCTCTCAAGAGGAACTGTATCAAAGGCCTTACTGAAATCTAGACATACAACATCCACAGCCTTACCCTTATCAAGCTTCCTGTCACACTGTCAAAGAAAACCAGTAAATTAGATTGGCAAGACTTGCCTTCATGAACCCATATTGCCAATCATTTATGATTTTATTTCTGTCTAGCTGCTCCATGATTTTATCCTTTGGGATGGGGGAAACAAGAATGACTCGTTTATAAATCAGTAACAGTGAGACGGCAGAAGCAGGAAGCAATCAAGGAGGTAAATGGGTGTGTGGGATTTATTAACCTGGGTGGTGAAGATAAAGATAGGGAAGTTATGCTGAAATTTACAGGACTTTGGTTTAGTCACAAATTAAATGCTCTGCTTACTTTTGGGCTCATTACAGGGAGATTGTCAGTCAGGGAGGGAGGCAGTGCAGTTTCACTGGGTGGTGGCCATGTATGAGACAATCTATACTAATAAAAACAAAATGTCTCTGTGTCTGTCTGCCAAGAACACAACAACTGATTGACTTAGAGAGATCATCGGAAAGGTCTTCCATGGGGAGTGTCATGGGCATATTTTCAGGGTGATCGGCCATCATTGATGAGCTATATTAAAAAATGATTTCATTAAGCCCCCAAAAAGTATGCATGATATTCTGCAACAAAGTAGTGACAGAGGAAATCACACACCCTTCCAGAGAGATACATCTATACTAATAAAGACAACATGTCTGTCTGTGTCTTGTCTTTATTAGTATAGATAGTCTATGTGTCAACAATGCAATAACCGATTGACGTAGAGACATGATTTATACCTAATCGAAAAGGTCTTGCAGGGTAGAGTGTCATGGGCATATTTGTTTTCAGGAATCCCCTATCGTGACCTAAAGAAGCTCATCATACATGTATGGACTCCAACAAGGAGTCCTCCCAGCAAGGAGTCCTCCCACAGGAGTTCTTCCAATACGAGTCCTACTAAAAGGATATGTTCCACTGAGGTCTTCCACTGAGTCCTCCCAACAGGAGTCCTCCCAAAAGATATGTGTGCAAATATGTGAACAAGGGATGCTAACAAGCTGAATGACACATTTTCTTAAATCTTAAGGGATAAAGATGCCTAAGAAGCAAAAATGAAGCCTTTCAAGGAAAAATAAAAATGCCAGACGAAAGAGAGAAAGCCGACAGTGGGGGAGGTTAGAGGAGAAACAGTGGGGAGTTTAGAAGTGAGACAGTAGGGGAGGTTAGAGGAGAAACAGTGGGGAGTTTAGAAGTGAGACAGTAGGGGGAGGTTAGAGGAGAGACAGTGGGGAGTTTAGAGGCGAGGCAATGGAGAGGGTGGAGGAGAGATGGGGACAGCTTAGAGGAGAGGGAATACTTTCACTCGGGATTGTCAGTGTTCAGAATCATTGACATAAGTTGCTCTTGAGGCTATTCAATAGAATCTTTCAATAGGGAACAGGCTCAGCAGCAAAAACATTAAAGATTTGCAGGAGAGAGAGAATTGGAGAGTGGGATAGATTTACAAAACAGTTAACAGTAGCGAAGACACAATGAGGCAGGTTGTTGAAGCCTTTGTAGCTTTCAAAAAGTACCTGAATATATGTAAATGCAGGGAGTGGGGAAAGGGCAGGTCAATGGGACTGAAAGAGGTGCTTTTGAACAGCAAGGACACGACAGAACAAATGGCCTTCTTCTGTGCTGTAAATTTCTATGGTTCTCTGGATGGGTTAATTGGCTGTAAATTTCAACATAAACATAAAAAGCATAAACTTTATATATCCTTAGCTGCACACATCCAACTAATACAAAAACATTCATCTCAATGCTCCCCTGAATTGGGATGTGAAGCCACATCAGCTGCTTTGGTTTGCCCATCACACTGTCAGACTCCAGCAATAACAGCGCTACCTGACTTGCTGACAGCATTTACGTGGAGCTGTTTTATCTGTTGCTCGAGCAGCAGCTCAGACTGACACTTCAGCAGCTCCATCTTCTCCTGGAACTGACATAGCTGCTTGCTTTTCTTGGTTTCGACCTGTGACCGCAGCATCTCTTGTGCCAGCAACATCCCTGACACCGATCTCTCACGCTATCAGCAAAGGACAGAGAAATCCAGGATAACGGACACAAAGCCACAGGATGATTCGATAGCTAGACCACTCTCACAGAATAAATCCTTATGTTTCATACATCACATCAACATCAAAGCGTTTCAAAGCTTTCAGAGCATTGCTGTCAATTGTAGTGACTATTTGTAGGCAAACATGACAGCCAGTTTGCACTCAGCAACTCCCACAAATGGTGATGAACAATAGCTTGCATTTATATAGCACCCCTCACAAAGGGTCATGTCCCAGAGCACTTGACAGTGGCGGAGCATGAGAGGTGACGGTCCAAGAGTAAGGTCTTCAGGCGTGACCTGAAGATGGAAAGGAGGGGGCAAGGCAGAGGGAATGAGGGAGTGTTCCACAGTTTAGGGCTGCAGGGGCTGAAAATGCAGCCACCAATGGAGGAATGGAGGGCACAAGTGATAAGCAGGAGGCTGGAGCCAGTTGAGCAGAGGCAGGGGGTAGTTGGGGAGTAAACAGATCAGAGGTAGGGAGGTGTCAGGGCATGAAGGAATTTAAAGACGAGTGTGAAGATCTTATGTTCTTATATGCAAATACTATTTCAGTGAGCGAATAGTGAACCTGTGAAACAGACTCCCTGGGGAGATGGTTGAAGCAGGAAGTGTTGATTCTTTCAAACATAGATTAGACAGTTTTCTTTTAAGAAATAACATTATAGGATATAGTACATAGGTAGTTCAGGGCATATGTGCATGCAACCACTAGGAAGGTGGAAGGCAAACTAGATGGACCTTGGCCTTTTTTCGTCTGGCATTTCTTATAAAGATCTTGAAATCGATCCGTTCGATGTTAGAGAGCCAGTGGAGTCTGGCCAGAACTGATATAATAGGTATGGAGTTTGGTGCGGGTGAGTATACGGGCGGCGGAGTTTTGGATTAACTGGATAGTGGAGTTGGGAAGACCAGCAAGGAGGGCATTTGAGTAGTCAAGACAGGAGGTGACGAACACATGGACAAGGGTTTTAGCAGCTTTTGTGGTAAGGTACGGCCAGAGGCTGGCAATGTGGCTGAGGTGGAGGAAACAGGTCCTGGTCAGGAACTGGATGCGGGGTTGGAAAGACAGCTGTGGGTTGAACCTGAGAGCGAAGTTGCGTACCAGCTCTGTAAGTCTGAGGAATAGGCCAAGGAGGTTGAGGAGGTCAGAGCCACAGGAGAGAAGACTTTGACGGGAGTCAAGGAGGATGGCTTCCGTCTTGACAACATTTAGTTGCAGGAAGTTTGTGCTCATCCAAGCCTGGATATCTCCCAGACAGGCTGACAGAACATCAGTGGACCTGGAGTTGCAACTGGAGGAGAAATAGATTTGGGTATCATCCGCATACTGTGGAAGTTGACATCAGGTCTGTGGATAACATCGCCAAAGAGGAAACATGTAGATGAGGAAGAGGAGGGGGCGAGATTTCACCCACACTCTCAGGGAATTCTCTCCCTAAATCTCTCCATCTTGCTCCCTCCTACTCCGCATTAATATGTTCTAAAAAAATTCTGACTCCATCTCCCTCCCCCTCTCCCCCATCTCCCAGTTTGTCTCTGTGAAATATTTTAAGACGTTTTCCTACATGAAAGTCACTGTATAAGTACAAGGTGTTGTAGTTGATTGTAAATGATAAAAACAATAAAGTGAATTGACAAGCTAATGACGACGCTTGTAGAAAGATCGAAAACAAGGAAACATTAGAACAAGGTCCTTTGGAAATGAGGTCAGAAAGGGCTGTGAGAATGTGGACCGCACTACTCCAGAAGCCTATAGAGGTAGAATAGACTGAAAAGTCTGGAATGGACTGAGATAATTGGGAAATCAGAGTATTAAGGGAGACTGGGTAGAGAAATATCATTAAAAATCTGACAAAGGGGGGAACAGGTGGAGCAGGCTGCATGCTGAATGCCACAGTGGACTGACCTGTTCCATTATGTTGTTGGCTTGGAGCCGCTGCAGCTCCTCAGTGAGCCGCTGTGCGTTCTCCTCTTTCTGTCTGTCCGCCTGCGCTGTGTGCAAGTGCTGCAGGTCCCCCAGGGTCTGCTGGTGATGCTCTTCAAGGCCCAGAAGCTCATTGCGAATCACATGCAGGCCAGACTGCTGCTCCAGCACAGTGCGTTGCTCTCCCAGTGCCTGCTCTATAGCTACCTGTCAGGGCAATGCAAAAGTCAGCAGCCTTCCAGCAACAGCCCTGTGCTGAACACAAACAGTCCCATTCAAAACCATTCAGCGCTTGTCCCATGAGCAATGGAAACTCAATAGAAACTGCACGATTGGGCTGCTCATGGGAAAAGTCGAAAAGTCAAAGTACACTACAGAAGGGGGCCATTCGACCCATCGTGTCTGTGCGGGCTCTTTGAAAAGAGCTATCCAAATCAATCCCACTCCCCAGCTCTCTCCCTATAGCCCTGCAAACTTGTCCTCCCCAAATAATTATTTACTTCTCTCTTAAAAGTTGTCATTGAATCAGCTTCCACCACCCTTTCACTCAATGCATTCCATATCTGAACAACTCACTGTGTGAAAACATTTCTCCTCACCTCCCCTCTGTTTCTTTTAACAACTATTTTAAATCCGTGTCCTCGGGTTACCGACCAACCCGCCAGTGGAAATAGTTTCTCCTTGTTCACCCTATCGAATCCCCTCATAATTTTGAAAACTTCTATTAAGTCTCCTCTTAAACTTCTCTGCTCCAGGGAGAATAATCCTAGCTTCTCTCGCCTCTCCTGATAACTGAAGTCCCTCATTCCTGGTACCATCCTGGTAAATCTCCTTTGCACCTTCTCCAATGCGTTAACATCCTTCCTAAAGTGTGGTGCCCGGAACTGAACACAGTCTCTAGCTGAGGCCTAACCAGTGTTTTATAAAGGTTCATCATAACTTCCTGACTTTTCATTCTATGCCCCTATTTATAAAGCCTCGTATCCTGCATGCTTTCTTAACAGCTTCATCTACTTGTCCTGCCACCTTCAAAGATTTACTTATATGAACCCCCACGTCTTTCTGTTCCTTCACCTCCTTTAAAATTGTACCATCAGCTTATATTGCCTCTCCTCATTCTTCCTTCCAAAATGCATCACTTCGCATTTCTCCACATTAAACTTCATCTGCCACGTGTCTGCCCATTTTACCAGTCTGTCTATGTCCATTTGCAGTCTGATACTATCCTCCTCACTGTTTACTACTTTTCCTAGCTTCGTATCATCTGCAAACTTGGAAATTGTACTCCCTATATTCAAGTGCAGGTCATTCATATAGATCAAAAACAGCAGTGGTCGCAATACTGACCCCCGGGAGACACCACCGCACACTTCCCTCCAGTCAGAAAACAACTGCTCACCACCACTCTCTGCTTTCTGTCTCCCAGCCAGATCTGTATCCATGCTGCCACTGTCCCTTTAATGCCCCAGGCAGTGGCAGCATGGATACCATCCTGGCTGGGAGACAGAAAGCTGAGAGTGGTGGTGAGCAGTTATTATTTTGCTTACAAGTCTCTTATGTGGCATTTTATCAAACGCCTTTTGAAAATCCATATAAATTACATCAACTGCACTAACTTCATCCACCCTCTCCGTTACTTCATCAAAAAATTCTATCAGGTTTGTTAGACATGATTTGCCTTTAACAAATCCGTGTTGGCTGAACTTTATTGACCCATATTTTTCTAAGTGAAATTTATTTTTGTCCTGGATTATAGTCTCCAGAAGTTTCCCCACTACTGACGTTAGGCCGACTGACCTGTAATTCCCGGGTTTATCTTTCTGCCCCTTTTTGTACAGGGGAGTAACATTTGCAACCCTCCAGTCCTCTGGCACCATACAGGAGGATTGAAAGATTGTGGCCAGATACTCCGTTATTTCCACCCTTACTTGCCTCAGTCACCTAGGATGCATCCTGTCGGGACCAGGTGACTTATCTACCTTGAGCACCGACAACCTTTTTAGTACCTCCTCTCGGTTTATCCTTATCTTATCCAATTTCTCTATCCTCTCCTCTAATACTGTGGCATTGGCTGCATCCTCTTCTTTTGTGAAGACAGATGCAAAGTACCTTTGTGGAGTCCTGTAACACAGTGGTTCGAGCACTAGCCTTGCAAGCGAAGACACCTGGGCTCGATTCCTGGCAGGGTGAAACCTTGGGCAAGTTTCCTTACTCTACATGCCTAATAATAATCCCTCAAGAAAAAAAAGCAATAATAATTTGGAAACTGAATCCACGACTGTTAATTTGTTAATTTGGTCACTCAATATATGACTGCTGTGTACAATTGGCTGCTGCGTTTCGCCCACAAATATACAGTCAATTCACTTTACTGTATTTTCTGGGAAGCGCTTTGCGACATCTAGAAAACGTGAAAAGCCCTATACCAAATGCAAGGATTATTATTATTAAGTACTCATTGAGTACGTCAGCCACAAGCAGATTTCCTCTTTGGTCCCCAGTACCTTTGACTAACCTTTTATTCTCTATATGCTTAAAAATACCTTTTATGTCACCCGCTAATCTTTTCTCATACAATCTCTTTGCCACTCTTATTTCCCTTTTCAGTTCTCCTCTGGTCTATTTTTTATTTGATTATCTTCTGTATTTTGGACCTAACATTTATCGTAAGCCTCCTTTTCCTGTTTTATTTTTGTCCCAATATCCATATTCATCCAGGGAGGTTTGGATGCCCTACCTTTCTCCTTTGTGGGAATGTATTTGTTCTGTCCTCGAATTATCTCCTCCTTGAAGGTTTCCCATTGCTCGTTAGCTGTTTTACCTGCCAATCTTTCTTTCCAGTCCACCTTGGCTAGGTCCCTTTTTAACTCACTGAAATTAGCCCTCTTCCAGTTGAGTATCTTCACCTTTGATTGCTCCTTGTCCCTTCCCATAAGTACGCTAAACCTAATGAGGTTGTGATCACTGTTGTCTCCTACTGAAACCTGCTCCACTTACCCCACTTCATTCCCCAGAAGTAGATCCAGCACTGCTTCCTGATCCAGAAAGTTATCCTGAACACATTTCAGGAATCCTTCCCCGTCCTTGCCCTTTACACTGCTATTTTGCCAGTCTATGTTAGGATAATTGAAGTTCCCCCATTATCACTACTCTATTGGCTTTGCATCTTTCTGAAATCTGCTTGCAGATTTGCTCGTCTATCTTCTTTCCATTATTTGGTGGTTTATAGTATACACTATTAATGGACTGTTAATCAAAAGCTACACTTAACCACAAGAATGAGTGATACAACACTCATCATATAGTTAAATACCTCAAAGCATTTACATAGGTAGAGTGGGAGCTCGAGTAGGTGGAGGTGAGGGCGATGGCAGTTAGATAGGTTTTTATTTTGCAAGATTTTGAAGCAAAGGGAGGGTTTTACACACAGAGATTTGGAAGAATTCCAGAGAGTGGAGTGACATGGCTGAAGGCTTGCCACCAATGGTAGGATGGATAGGCAGTGATGTGGAGCTTTCATTTTATAATTGTTTTAAAGCTTTATATCACAAGGTCCGTGAGAAAGGATTAGGCATTGCCACTGGCTCATGCACCAATTGTTGGTAGTCTTAGGTTGCTTCCTCACTGGTTGGGAGTAGAGAATCAGAACTTCTGATCACATGATCCCATCCAAATGATCACTGGGAGGAGCTACCTTGCAGCATCCATGGCAAGCAGCAGGGCAGGGAGTTGATGCAGTTGCAGCATTGTGCTGCACTGAATGAGCAGCTGCCTGCTGCTGTCCAGGAAGCACCCTGTCTGAAGCCTGGGTGGTGTGGATGGATACTTGTCTACATCCAAAGCCTCTGGGAGTGGGCTGGTTACTGACGGTGGGTCTCAGAGTTAGGTATTAACAGAACATGTGACAGGTATTGGGGGGGTATTTCATCCAAGCTTCACAACTACATGGTGCAAAAGGAGCAAACGTGCCAATAAAATGATACTCATAGAAACTATTGCTTTCCCCAGCCCAGCCCTGTGACAGAGAGTCAGATGCCCCAGGGACTACCTTGTGTGCATCCTCCAATTCTGCAGCCATGGCTTGGAATTGTCTTCTTTGAAGAGTGGCCATCTCAGTGCGGATGCTGTCCTGGGCGCAGCTCAGCTCAAATTGATGTGCAGCTCGCAGCTGGTGGGCTTGTTTCATTGTGCTGTGACTGATGGCCACCTCTCGGTCTCGCTGCTGTCTGCTCTCGGCCTCCAGCAGCAGCTGCTGGTGCTCCTGCTGCAATGCTTGGAGAGCAGCCTGGTGACGCAGCTCACCTTCCTCCAACTCTGCCTTGTGCTCCAGGGCGGCAGCTTTTAGCTTCGTCTCCAGCTCAGCTTGGTGCTGCATTTTGAGCTTTACCTCCACACCAGCCAGGCGATCCTGGTGACTTGCATTCAGATGCTGGCTGTGAGATTCCAGCTCCGCCTCATGTTTCTGCTTCAGCTCCAGGAGGAGGATCTCTTGGTCAGACAAAAAGGTCTCCATCATCTGCCGGTGCTCTTCCATGAACCTAACAAGGCAGTATAAAAGTTAAGATTCAGCATGTCCTGAACATATCAAGCGTTAAATCACCGACTGTGCTGGTAATCGCTCCCCACTCTAATCCCATTCCCTGCTCTCTCCCCCATCGTGTCTGTGTTGGTGCTCGCTCCCCACTGGAGCTCTCTAATTTCATTCCTTGCTCTCTCCCCCATCGTGTCTGTGCTGATGTTCACTCCCAACTGGAGCTCTCTAGTCTAATTCCATTCCCGTCTTTTTTTTTGTACGCATAAATTCTTCACAAAACTTGGGAACTTCCTCCCAAAATGCAGCACCTCACAATTCTCTGCATTAAACTTCATACCTCCTATTTCACCAGTCTGTCTATGTCCTCCTGCAGTCTGCTACCATCCTCTTCACTGTTAACCAATATACAATAAATATATAGGTTTAGGAAGGATATCAATGCCATGGAGAGGGTGCAGAGGAGATTTACCAGAATGGATATGGGACTTTAGCTCTTTGGAGACGAGAGAGCTGGGATTGTTCTTATAGCAGAGAAGGTTAAGGGGAGATTTAACAACAACAACAAAATTACATTTATAGAGCGCCTTTCATGTCGGGAGGACGTCCCAAAGCGCTGAACAGTCAGGTGTCGGGGCCCAAGCATGGGGGAGGGGTGGTGTAGGGGTGAGGGAAGGCAACAGTGGTGTTCACAATTGTGAGGGGGTTTTGATAATGTAGATAGGGAGAAACTGTTTCCACTGGCAGTTGGGTCAGTAATCAGGGCACATAAATTCAAGATAGTTGGCAAAAGAACCAGAGGGGAGATGAGGAGAATTTTTAACATATTTTTGTTATGGTCTGGAATGCCTGAAAAGGTGGCGGAAACAGATTCGATAACTTTCAAAAGGGAATCAGATGGGTACTTGAAAAGGAACAATTTGCAAGGATATGGGTAAAGAGTGGGACTGATGGGATAGCTCTTCTAAAGAGCCAGCACAGGCACGATGGGCCGAATGGCCTCCTTCTGTGCTGAAATATTTTATGATTCTTCCTTGTCAAAGGTTTATCTAAGAACAGTTATCAATCTGTTTCAAACATTTTTCGTTTAAAGAGGAAAAAATCTTCTCATCATCTGAATCACAGCCAGACAAGGCCTAGTTACAAACGGGGGCTAATTAATAACTGAAATGAAAAAGGATCTAGAGACTATGAGTTATGAGTCTCCTGAGTTATTTTGGGGAGTGAACTTGGATCTGGATGAAATACTGATGCTATAATTATCATGGTCTCAGCCTCAGTAGCCACTTGTTAGTAAGGCTTATTTACACAACTCCCTGTAAGGAAAACACGACTCAAGGCTGCCACCTCACCTCTTCCAGTGAGATTCCCGAGTCCAGGGCCTTATGGCTGCAGTTGTGGAAACTCAACTGGAACCTGAGTAAGTCTCTTCAGCACCATTACTTTCTGGGGACCCAATTTACAACATTCACAAAGTGGAGCAGACAGCACAAGAGGCCATCAGCCCATTGTGACTGTGCCATCTCGCTGACACAGCTCTCGGTTTAGTCCGATTCCTCTACGGATGGCCTCTTTACCCCCTCCCCCCAACACCTTTTAATATTTCTCATTTTCAGACATTTGATAATTGTTAAATACAATTGCTAATTGTTAAATGTTAAATAATTTTGTGAAATTGTTTCACAATCCAGTTTGTGAAAATTTCCAGTTTGACTCCGCTGGTCCTGCAGGTGTTCGTGAGATCGCAAGCACCAGCCACCAAGAACGTAGCCAAGGACTAACCTGCTCTGTGCTTCCAGCAGTTTGCCAGCCGACTGCTCCTGGAGAACGGGAGCAAGCTGAGGAGACTGTTCGTCCTCCTGACTGTCACGCAGCAATTGCAGCTGGTTCTGCTCCTCTTTCAGCTGCTTCTCCAGATCTGCAATTGTGGCCGTCTGCTCATCCTTCAGCAATTTCTGCTCCGCTGCACTGTGTTCAGCCTGCTCCAGCAGAGCCCGTCTCTCTCTGTCAAACTGATTGCTTAGCTCTTGGCGGAGTGCTGAGAGTTTCTCCTGGGTGCTGGCTTGCAGCTCCTCGCGTACACGCTGCAACTTAGACTTACACACCAGCCCTTTAGCTTCATCCATTTGTCGCCTGACCTCTTCCACTTTCTCCTTCTGCTCCTCCAGCAACTGGGTTTTAATCTATAGCAAACATACATGGAGGTTGCACAATGCTTCTAAACTGCCCTATAAAGGAGGAATGCATCTGAAGCATAGAGAAAATCTCTTGTTTGGATAAACAAACGAAAATTGGTCATTATCTTCATGGCTGTTTATGGGACAATTGCTGTGTGCAAATCAGGAGGCCATGTTCACCTACAAAACACACAGTCACTCCATTTCACTCTATATCCTGTCAAGCATTTGGGGACTTTGTCCTGACATGAAAGGCGGTGTACCAAATATAAGGATCATTATTTAATTATTATCATTATTAATAATAAACACCTATAATAATAATAATAATAATCCTTGCATTTGATATAGCGCTTTTCACGTCGAGAGGACATCCCAAAGCGCTTCACAGAACACACTGTAAAGTGAATTGACTGTATATTTGTGGGCAAACGCGGCAGCCAATTGCGCACAGCAATGTCCCACAAACAGCCGTAGATTGAAGATGACCAATTTATTATTGTTTTTGGTTTTGGAGGGATTATTATTAGGCGTGTGGAGTAAGGAAACTTGCCCAAGGTTTCGCCCTGACCTGCCTGGAATTGAACTCAGGTCTCTCTCTTGCAAAACGAGTGCTCTAACCACTGAGCAAGCTACAGGATTGTCGGCCAAGAGTCCTGAAGAACCTCCCTTCTCTTTTTTTGAACGTCCAGTTGAACAGACACAGATGGGACATGAGTTTAACATCTTATCTAGAGGATAGCATTTCTAATAATGCAGCGCTCACCAAAACACTGCAATTTGATTGTCATCCTGGACTGTGAGTTCAAAACCTCAACTCAGAGCTTCAACCCACAAGACTTGTTTAGTCTAGGGACAGTACTGGGTGAGCTTTTTGTCATCCTTTCAAACGAGTTGTTAAAACCAAGGTTAGGTCCAGCGGCCTGTTCCTCTGGTGGACGTCAAAGATTCCAATGAGGTTTTATTTTCAGCACGTGAAGGAGAAAGGCAGGCTAATACTGAGTCTGAATAACCCCGGACAGCAAAGCGAGGAGCCACTTTACCTCCTGTAGAACCATTGATTCCCACCCACTGAGGACACCAGCTCAGCTAGTCCTGCTACATGGTCCATCAGGGGGAACAAAGTGGGTGAGTTACCTGCTCCACCTGCAATTGGGTTGTGTGGCAGTGCTGTGCAGTGAGCTGGTTGACAGCTGTAGCATGCTCTTCCTTTAACCGCACCAGCTCCTCCTGTAGATCAGCTGCTCTGTGCCTTTCAGCCTTGCTCACAGTCCTCTCCTCCTCCATGGCTCGGAGCCGCTCAGCCACCTCTGCCTCAACCTGCCGGGCGCTTTCCTGCGCACACTGTAGCCGTAGTCTGGTCACCTCTACAAAACACCCTCACACACTTAGAAACAGACAACCTCAGACTCTGCTCAACCAGTCTCACAATGAACTAGGGTCATACCTGTACAGCTCTTTAAGCCCCCCGCACCCCGCGCTCCCAAGACATTTTTCAAGGATGAGGTGTCCGAGCTTGTCTAATCATTCCTCATATCTCATTCCTCTTACACTGGAGATGATCCTTTTAGCCCTCCTCTGTACCATCCCTGTGGCCTGGAAAGCCCTCTTGTTGGAGTGTCTACAGTATTCATGATGCGATCTGACCAGAGCGCTGAGTATGACGTCCAAGGATCTACACTCAACAGATTTAGTAATGTAGCCCAGTATCCTGTTTGCCTTATTCATTGTCTCCTCACAACATTTTGAAATTGTGAGCGACAAGTCAGCGAACAACCCTACATCTCTTTAGCTTTCCCCTAAGCAGCTTCCATCCTGTCCATGGAGTAAGCACACGCATGTCCAGCTTGGATTTTCTAAATGCAGTTTTTTGTTTCGAACGTTGTCAGTAATCCTCCCACTCAAACCTTGTCCTCACCTGATTTCCGTCCGCACACACACGCAGTGCCCGACGTCTGTCCACACACACGTACAGTGCCCAACATTTGTCCACACACACGCACAGTGCCCGACATCTGTCCACACACACAGTGACCTATATCTTTCCACACACCCAGTGCCCCATGTCTGTCCACACACACACAGTGTCCTATGTCTGTTCACGCACACACAGTGTCCTGTCTGTCCACACACACAGTGCCCTATGTCTGTACACACACACACACACACAGAGCCCGATGTCTATCCACACGCACACAGTGCCCCATGTCTGTCCACACGCACACAGTGCCCGACGTCTGTCTACACACAGTGCCCCATGTCCGTCCACACACACAAACAGTGGCCCCGCAGCGGCGCGCAGCGACCAGCGTCCGTCCACACACCGGCGCGCAGCGACCAGCGTCCGTCCGCGCACGCGCAGCGACCAGCGTCCGTCCGCGCACGCGCAGCGACCAGCGTCCGTCCGCGCACGCGCAGCGACCAGCGTCCGTCCGCGCACGCGCAGCGACCAGCGTCCGTCCGCGCACGCGCAGCGACCAGCGTCCGTCCGCGCACGCAGCGACCAGCGTCCGTCCGCGCACGCAGCGACCAGCGTCCGTCCGCGCACACAGCGACCAGCGTCCGTCCGCGCACACAGCGACCGTCCGCGCACACAGCGACCGTCCGCGCACACAGCGACCAGCGTCCGTCCGCGCACACAGCGACCAGCGTCCGTCCGCGCACACAGCGACCAGCGTCCGTCCGCGCACACAGCGACCAGCGTCCGTCCGCGCACACAGCGACCAGCGTCCGTCCGCGCACACAGCGACCAGCGTCCGTCCGCGCACACAGCGACCAGCGTCCGTCCGCGCACACAGCGACCAGCGTCCGTCCGCGCACACAGCGACCAGCGTCCGTCCGCGCACACAGCGACCAGCGTCCGCCCGCGCACACAGCGACCAGCGTCCGCCCGCGCACACAGCGACCAGCGTCCGCCCGCGCACACAGCGACCAGCGTCCGCCCGCGCGCACAGCGACCAGCGTCCGCCCGCGCGCACAGCGACCAGCGTCCGCCCGCGCGCACAGCGACCAGCGTCCGCCCGCGCGCACAGCGACCAGCGTCTGTCCACGCGCGCACAGCGACCAGCGTCTGTCCACGCGCGCACAGCGACCAGCGTCTGTCCACGCGCGCACAGCGACCAGCGTCTGTCCGCGCGCACAGCGACCTGCGTCTGTCCGCGCGCACAGCGACCTGTGTCTGTCCGCGCGCACAGCGACCTGTGTCTGTCCGCGCGCGCAGCGACCTGTGTCTGTCCGCGCGCGCAGCGACCTGTCTGTCCGCGCGCACAGCGACCTGTGTCTGTCCGCACGCACAGCGACCTGTGTCTGTCCGCGCGCACAGCGACCTGTGTCTGTCCGCGCGCACAGCGACCTGTGTCTGTCCGCGCGCACAGCGACCTGTGTCTGTCCGCGCGCACAGCGACCTGTGTCTGTCCACACGCACAGCGACCTGTGTCTGTCCACACGCACAGCGACCTGTGTCTGTCCACACGCATAGCGACCTGTGTCTGTCCACACGCACAGCGACCTGTGTCTGTCCACACACACAGCGACCTGTGTCTGTCCACACACAGTGACCTGTGTCTGTCCACACATACACACACACACACACAGTGACCTGTGTCTGTCCATAGACACACAGTGGTCTATGTCTGTCCACACACACACACACACACACACAAACACAGTACCCCATGTCTGAAACAAAAACAGAGAGAGTTGGGAAAACTAGAAGCTGTGCTGCTGGAGATGACGTCTCTTCTGAACACCTCAGTGACATAGGGCAAGGACTGATAACAGATGCTTAGTCTCAGCCCAGCATTCAGCAATCGGAGGCTCACGGCCCTTTGTCCACAAGAAGTTGAGGCTTGCGCTGGAAGCTAGTGATAGGATCACATTCAGCCTGTCGGAGGGTTCCTTACCTTTCAGGTGGTCTTCTGAGTGGTTGGTGTGTAAGTCCTGTAACTCCAAGCAGTGCTTGACCTGCAAGTCCTGCCACTCTCTTAGGAAGCTTTCCTTCAGCTGCTGCAACTGCTGCTTGTGCAAATGCGAGGAGGCGGCCTGCTGTTTGCGTGTCCCCTCCAGCTCCTCTTGCAGCCCCCTTATCTCCTCCTAAAGCAAACAGCACAGCAGGATCAAACATAAGATTTCCCAGTTTCTATATGCTGCAGGACAACTGGATTTAAAATCGCCAAACTTTCTAATTCAAACATGCTGAACATTTTTTAATTAGAAAGTTTCTAATTTCCCCGCCACAACTTTTGTGCCATTTCAAAGTATGCCGCTGCACCCAAGTGCCGACCAGATCATTAATATAAAGAGAAACACAATGGTCCAAGTCCTGAGGACCCCACTGTTTACACCCTCGTGTGAGAAACACCCATTTACTCCCCCACTCTCTGATTTCTGACCTTCAGCCACCTATCTACATTCCTTTCAATATTGTGTACATGAAGCCTCCAAAGTGGCACTTTATCAAATATCTTTTGAACAGACATTCTGAGGCAGACTTGCACAGCTCACGTCGACTGTCAGGAACGCCTGCAGGCCTCTCTCAACCATCAGAATTATCATGCTGGATTATAGCTCCTAATGTCAGACTGACTGCTCTGGACGTACCTGGCTGATTCCCTATGTAAACGCAGTCAGCACATCAGCAAGTTAGACCTCCAGGACAAGCCTCACACTAAGCCACGTGTGAAAGATAGTGTTCAGAACCTCTACTCCTCCCTCTCAGATGTCCTGCCTGACCCCAACACTGCCCTGTCCTCCTGTCAAATCTCCACTTTCACTTCAGTCAGTTTTTCACTTTCCTTTCTCACATTCCTTCCGTCGCCTCCTCTCTCACATTCCTCTCTCACTCTGTTGCCTTCTCTCCCACATTCCCTTTGTCACCTCCTCTCCCTCATAGTCCTTCCATCACCTTCTACCTCCTAACATTCCCACTACACTTCTGGGAGTAATAAACACCAGTATTCCTGCAATTTCTTTATTCTCTCATGTTGTTTCCAAAAGGAGGGAAAGCTCTAGAAACACTGCAAGCTTCCTGATTTAAGCAGACAGTGACTGGCTCAGGAGTTGCCAGGCAGTGCTCCGCAAGTACCTTTTGCTGTTCTAGCTTGTGTGCTAAGTCCTCCAGCAGCTGGATTCTGTGCTGGAAATAGTTCTTCTCAGCATGATCAGTAAACGACAGCAAAGACAAACTGGTGAGGAAGAAACACAGCATTAGTAACTCCCACCCAGCTCAGGGAGTGACCAGAACAAACGCAGAGCAGTGAACCCCAACCACCAACGCAGTCACCCCCCCCCCCCCAACCCAGCAACGCCCCCCCCACCCAGAATAGTGCCACCCCAGCATTGTACCCTCCAGTGGGGCCCACTCCGAGAAGTGACCCCCCCAGCACAGTGCCCCACCCCCAGCATAGGACAGTGCCCCACCCCCCCCCCACCCAGTACAGGGCAGTGCCCCCCTCCACCCAGCAGAGGACAGAGTCCCACCAGCCCCCACCCAGCACAGGGCAGGGACCAGAATAAATTGACAATTGTTAAATTCCCATCTTTACTTTTAAAACTTCTCACAAATTACAATTCAAAACAACATCACAAGATTGCCTTAAAGCATGGCCGACTGTAGTGACAGGAGGAAGCCATCCAGCCCACTCTTCCATTTTACTATTCATCACGGCTCTTTGGATAGGAGGGAGATTGGGCCCAGGTTAAGTGCTGGTACTTCCCTCTTTAGCATACGTGAACAATGTGGAAGTGGATCGATTCCAGATAAGGTGGGTGGGTTGCTAGTAACAGTGCACAAGTGAACATAATGCAGTGATCTGGATTGGCTGGGTGTATGGATTGGTAGAAGAGGCAGGTGTTTAATAGGGATAAATGCAAGTATTGAGCTTGGGATGGGGAAATTTAAATATAAGTCATCCATAGATACTTATAGAACACAGTCCAGAAGGAGCTAGGGTACTGGCAGGGAGTTCTTTAAATCCATTAACAGTGATCGGCAGCGGCAAGGAAGGCAAAGGTTCAGGATTTATGGTTAATAGGATTAAGCGGCAGTGCTAGGACAGGCAGCATGAATCCCACAGCACTGTTGAGAGCTTAGGACAGACTGAAAGCTGCAGATATTTACACTGAAGAGACAACTCAGAAAGAAAGATCTTGTTGACTTTTAAGATTAGAAAGAAAAGCGAGATCCGAGATTCCACAGAGTGCACAGGGTCACGTATCAGATGAGACAGAGGGTGAACATAATTCAGATTAACCTCTTCACTAACAGGTTGATAGAGATGGTGAACATCTTGTAGGGACCGGGATAGTGGTGGATAATACACAATGTGGTGTCCAATAATGGATTGTTTTGTCTGTTATCTTATAGTAGCGTGGTCCAACAGATTTAGGGGTTAGAGGGGGGAGAGAGAGTATGTGTATGAGAGAGGTAAGAAAGGGGAGTGAGAGAGACTGTGAGAGTGACTGAGAAAGGGAGAGAGATTGAGAGTGGGAGATAGTGCGCATGTGAGGGGGGAGGGAGTGAATGTGAGGGAGAAAGGGGAGAGAAACAGAGGGGGGAGATTAAGAGAGTTTGAGAGGTAATAGAGAAAACATGTGTGAAAGCGGAGACGGGGGAAGAGAGTGGTTGAGAGGGAGAGGTGGAGTGTGAGAGGGAAGGGAAAGTGTGAGAAGTGGAGTGAGAGTAATTGAGTGAGAGAGGGGGAGAGAAGGAGAATGTGCCCCCCTCTCTCAACCAATCAGCCGTGCAGGTCACTATCTGCAGCGGCAGGACTAAGCTGCTGAGGACGCGGTTGGTAAGAGACACGCTTGCCTTCCTGACAGACTGCAATAAAGGCCGATATTATTTGCTGTATGGAGAGTGAATAATATTAAATAACAATTTTTTGGAGAAAAAATGGCGGCAGGCTGAAATCGTGAGGAGGTCACCAAGCATGATTGCAAAAACAGAGGGAAAAATCCTGTTTTTTTGCAATCCTGGCAAAAGGAGCTCAATAGGAGTCCCATTGGAGTGGAGCAGGGGAGGGCAGGAGTTCTTGGACTTGAAGCGATTTCACACGTGCGACACCTGGAGCGAGGCCTAAACCGTCGCCTGGAGCGAGGTCTCAACTCGACACCTGGAGCAGGACCACTGGCCTACACACGAGCAGGGCTCGGGGGCCACACCGACATGGGGCCCGATGCCCCAAATGGCGTCCAGATCCAACTTAGGCACCGAGGTCCACCTACCTGAGCCTGAGCTGTGCGGAGCCAACATGGGATTCACCGCCTCAACCATCGCTGACTCTCCTGGTCAACATCCAACTGGAGACCGGCTGCCACGTGATGTCACATCCACCCACCACCTTTGAATCTCTCAGCTTGGACTCACTGGGACTATAATATTGGCACACCCTCCCCATGATGATCCACACCACCAGGCTAACCATGCCTCGCTGACCCTCCCAAACCCACCTTTTGCTCTTAGTCTCAGTGTGCGCATTTTGGCTGCTACCACCGATCCAAGCTGCTTTCCCAAAATGCTCCCACTCCTGTCCTCTAACCTCTATTACTCCCGTTCGGTCCTCCTCTCCCACCGCCTTCCCCGACTCCTGGATCACTCCAGGCGACAACTTCCCCCTAATAGAGGCCACACCACCCGGCTATACCTTCTATCATATCCGTCGACTTAACCACCATGGTGGCGTTGTGGCTCTCATCTCCCAGCCTCTGTTAGGCCTATCCCCTTATTCCTCTGGAACCTTCCCCTCCTTTGAGCACCTTACCCTTTATCACTCCTCTAACCGTTCCCTCAAAATTCTCCTCATCAATCGCCCACCCCCAGCCCTCCCCCACCTTCATCCCTGACATCTCCACTATATCTTCCCTGTCCCTCTGCTCCGAACGTCTCCTCATTCAAGGCAACTTCAACTTCACTTCACCCACTCCTACTCTACCTCTGCTGACTTCTCCTCCCTCAACCTCTCCCTCCACATCCACTCGGCCACCCACATCTGCGGTCATCCCCTTGACCTGGTGATCACTTGAGGGCTCACCGCCTCGGACCTCACCATCATCAACAAAGCAATCGTGGACCATCACTTCATCTCCTTTAACTCCTCAATCCCTCTCTGCACTGCCACACAACCCACCTCCATTTCCTACCAGCCCTGGAAAAAAATCTCCCCCCCCACTACATCTCGGCTGCCATCGGAACTCCTTCCCCTCTGGGCTTCTTCCCGCAATGAACTATCCTCCTCGGTCACTCCACAGCTCTCTCTCCTCCACTCTTGATTCCCTTGCTCCCCTCTCTTCCCGAACCGTCTCCTATTCACGTAAGTCACCATGGTACACCAGCTATCTCCACTCCCTTAAAAGCACAGTTGTGTGCCGCTGAACCCATCTGGCTTAATTCGAACTTAGCGGTCCATCAGCAGATCTGGCTGAACCCAAATAAATCCTACCACTCTGACCTCGCCTCCGCTAAATCCTCATTCTACTCCAAGACAATCTTGGAGGCCAAGGACAACCCCAGGCTCCTTTTCTCCGCCCACCCCTTCATGCCTCACCCATCCTCGCCTCCAATGCCAACTGCAAGGCAATGCTGGACTTCCTCAAATCCAAAGTCGAGGTGATCCGTTCAACTGCCTCTGCCCTTCCATCTACTACACCTCTCCAATCTCCCCCTCCCAGCCCAGCCCCTACCCATCCCTCCCTTCACACCTTTGAACCTGTCTCCCACTCCTCTCTCACCACCACTATAACCTGCCTGAAACGACCACCTGCTCCCTCGACCCCATCCCCTACTCCTCTCCTTAGCTCCCAGCTCCACCTCCTTACCCCCCTATTCACAGGCATCATAAACCTCTCCCTGTCCACTGGTTCTGTTCCCACCCCAATAAAAACGGCTTTCATCACTCCTATCCTTAAAAACCCGTCCCTGGACCCATCTCTACTCAAACTACTACCCCATCTCCAACCTCCCTTTCCTCTCCAAGGTCCTGGAACGAGCTGTTGTTTCCCAGCTTCGCTCCTTCCTCTCCCGCCACTCCCTTCACGAACCCCTTCAATCAGGTTTCCGTGCCGCCCACAGCACAGAAACAGCCCAGGTCAAAGTGACAAATGACATTCTGTCCATCTACAACCAGGGATCCCTCTGCTTCCCTGACATCCTTGACCTCTCTGCTGCCTTCGATACCGTCGACCACTCTATCCTCATCCACCGCCTCTCCTCTCACCCCAAGCTTCACAGCTGTCCTTGACTGGTTCAGATCATACGTCTCAGACCGCCTCCACTTTATCTACACAAACAGTTTCCCCTCGAGCCCCTGCGTTGTCTTGTGCAGCGTTCCTCAGAATCCTTGGTCCCCTCCTCTTCAATAACTGGAGGGGTCATTCGCAGACACGGACGGGGTCAACGTCCACATGTATGCGGATGACACCCAACTACACCTCTCTGCCTCCATCCTCGACTCCGGACCACTGTCCTGTCAGTCATCAAGTCCTGGATGAGAGCTAATTTTCTTCAGTTGAATGTCAACAAGACTGAGGCTCTCCTGATTGGCTCCCATCAGCACCTCCACACCTCAGGCGCTGACAGCATCGCCATCCATGGTTGCACACTCCACCTTGCTAAACCAGTCTGGAAACTTGGCGTCTTGTTTGACCCTCAACTATCCTTTCCACCCCACATCTGTGCCATGATTCACTCTGCCTTCCACCAGCTCCGCAACGTCGCCCGGCTCGGCCACTGTCTCACACCACCAAAACCCTTGTACACACACACCAAGGCTTGACTATGCAAACTCCTTGCTTGTCGGCCTCCCCAACTCCTCCCTCTATAGACTGCATATCATCCAGAACCCTGCAGCCCGTGTCCTCTCCCGCACCAGGCTCCGTGATCCTCACCCGACTCCACTGGCTTCCCATCACACAGAGGATACAGTTCAAGATGCTGGTTCTCACCTTCAAAGCTCTCCATGGTCTTGCTCCCCCTTACCACTGCGACCTCCTAACCCCCTACCATCCTGCCTGCTCCCTCCGTTCAGCGGGCTCCAACCTGTTTCACGTCCCCGGCCTCTGACTGTCCAGCGCCTTGGGGCGTCCTCCCGACGTGAAAGGAGTTATACAAATGTAATTTTGTTGTTGTTTCTCAACTGCCTGCTCCTGCTGCTGCCCTGGGAGGATGTTCACTAGGGAGGGAATGGAAGTTGGAATGTTTGAAATGGTCTTGTGCTGCATTCAATCATCGGCCGCATAAAATCACGGGCCATGCCGGATGTGGCCAGTGGGCCACCAGCTGGCCCACGCTGGATGAGGCCCATGGACCTTTCTCAAATAGGGAATCCGGCCCATGGCAGCAAATAGGTTGGACCACCCTGATTAAAGAATCACAATGAACTCTTGTGAACAGTTGCAATTTAAACTGAAGTTCCCAGTCACAAACAGTGAATCATATCCAGTCTGGACATTATAGCCAAATGTGGACAGCTTAGAAGAGAATGGAAATGGTTTTCGGGTGGACTTGAGAGGCATGACAGACAGACACAGAGGGTTTCAAAAACTGGAACTACTTGCTGAATGACAATGTAAACTAAGGTTCCACCAAGTGGGCCAAAGCTAGATGCTGAGTTACTTCCCTCAGGAGAGGAAGCCTCTAAGGCACAGCTGGCCTCAGCACTGAGATTAGAGAAGGGAAAACTCAGGCAGAGTTTGTGTTCCTGAAAGAATGGTATGTACACATGGGGTAGGGACAACATCAGCTGTGACACTGCCTACCACTCCCTGTCTAAACTCATACATCAACAACAGCTACATGGGTCAGCTACCAGTGGGCAGAGCGGTCAACTTTAGGAGAGGAGGGAAAAACACAAGACATGGAACAGTAAGAGACAGATTACGGTCTTCTCCAATTACACGTGGTTTTATAGAAACCAGCTGTTACCTAAGCTCTGGGGTCTGGTTGAGACTGACATCGGGCTTCAGTGTGAACGGTGGCTTCAGCTCCTCTTGGATCTGCTTTTCCACTTCCGTAATTTCCCGACTATGTTCCTCCTTCATCTCTGAGATTTGTTTCTCAAAGAAAGTCTTCAGCTGCTGCAGCTGAGCATGCTGCTCAGCCTGCAGGTGCTCTCGCTGCTCAGCAAAGTCCTGCTTCAGATGCTCCACCTCATCCATGTGTGCCGTGCGAGCGAGCAAGTGTTCCCTGAACTCTACACGAGCAAGTAAAATTACAGGATTCCTGACTCAATCCAGTACCCACGCAGCTCAGACCAACCCAGCACCCGCAAACTCAGCGCAGTCCAACCAGCACACGCGCAGCTCAGCGCAGTCCAACCCAGCACCCGCCCACCTCATCCCATCCCAGCACCCACGCAGCACAACCCAGCTCAGCAACCGCACCACTCAGCACAGACCAACTCACTTCTTGTCCTAAGCACCGGAGCTAGTGAAAAATATTGAAGCTGGAAATATCTGAGTGTGAGAGGCCTCAACTGCCAAATGTGCTCACAATCTCACAATTATGTAAGCAGGATGCATCCCTCCAGGGAGAGTGCGTGCATTCCCTCCCAAGATCTCTGGAATTTGCATGTGTAGGTGGGATGCACGGAGCTCAGTTTAATTGGATACTCTTAAGCAAGGTAGTGGGGTTCCGCATGTATCAAACACCTGACTGACCAAAACCAAAAAGGACACGAGTGGCTAAGCAGTTGAGGCCAACTTTTCACTCGTATTTCAGGCCTCAACATTTTTGACAATGTTTCTTTCATCAGTTCAAGTGCTTAGGGCCACTCTACTTTCACTCAAAAAACAAGTATTTACCATTCAGCTCCTGGCGACTAGTCCTCATACATTCCATCTGGGACCACAGGTGTTCGAGCTCCTGTTTGGATTGTGACTTCATGTCATCATAATTGCTCTGCAATATCTCGATCTGTCAAAAAGAAGCGTTCAAATCTCAATCATTGATGGGATCAGACATGAGGAGTTCATAGCTCCCACTATCCTGAAAACCAAGAGCCATTGGTCCAGTCACCAGGACTGAGGTGGAAAGAGAGGCTGAGGCAGGTGCAACAAGTCTAAAAGTGAAAGTATCAGCGCCAGCTAAGAAATGCTCCAAGAATGAAGCAAAACGTGATCAAAATCCAGGAACACAACTTTGCAGAATCACAATGATCCAACCTGTCCTGGTGAGCAGCACAGCTGGAGTTCTTCGTCCCTGCCCTCCACCACATGAGAGCTCAATCCTGAGTTTGTCAGTTGTTAAATGAGTAATTAGTGACCAAGGTCAGTCACTAGGTAACTAAGGTCGGCAAGAAGAGAGAAGTAAGCAGGGATGCCTTACAACAGAGCAGGCACCAACGTAACACTTGGCAACAGAATATCAGAATCGAATCCACCCTCTGTGCTGAGTTCCTGAGGCCGATTCCCAGTACTCCAAGGCACTGCTAGTAACAGCCCAGCCCATTAGCAGGACTTGGGAGAGGCAGACCAGTCACTGGGGGCAGGGATTCTTTCCATTCAGCCACTGTTAACTCTGGTTAGATTCCAGCAGTTACCCCAACACATATTCTGCGGTGCCTGATCTCCATTCTTTCCCCGCACTTCTACTCTAACCACACTCTCCTCTTACTCCCTAGTCAAATGGAAGTCTCCCCTTCACTCCACTCATACCTTAAATATTCTTCCTCTTCAAGCATCTCACATTCGCTTTGCAAAGAATTGTCATTCTGCTTATGCTCATTTATGAATTCCATGTCCCCAGCATCCTCTGGTTTCCAAAATCCCCTTTTGTGATTTTAAATGCATCTTCTCACGGTCTGGAGCTTCATGCATCACCCTTCACGTTTCTCTACCCTGACCTCTCTCACTGACCTGGGCACGGTGTCCCTCCGCCCTAGGCTCTCATTGACCTGGGTACGGTGTCCCTCTGCCCTAATCTCTCACTGACCTGGTGTCGCTCCGCCCTAATCTCTCACTGACCTGGGCACGGTGTCCCTCCGCCCTAATCTCTCACTGACCTGGGCACGGTGTCCCTCCGCCCTAATCTCTCACTGACCAGGGCACGGTGTCCCTCCGCCCTAATCTCTCACTGACCTGGGCACGGTGTCCCTCCGCCCTAATCTCTCACTGACCTGGGCACGGTGTCCCTCCGCCCTAATCTCTCACTGACCTGGGCACGGTGTCCCTCCGCCCTAATCTCTCACTGACCTGGGCACGGTGTCCCTCCGCCCTAATCTCTCACTGACCTGGGCACGGTGTCCCTCTGCCCTAATCTCTCACTGACCTGGGCACGGTGTCCCTCTGCCCTAATCTCTCACTGACCTGGGCACGGTGTCCCTCTGCCCTAATCTCTCACTGACCTGGGCACGGTGTCCCTCTGCCCTAATCTCTCACTGACCTGGGCACGGTGTCCCTCCGCCCTAATCTCTCACTGACCTGGGCACGGTGTCCCTCCGCCCTAATCTCTCACTGACCTGGGCACGGTGTCCCTCCGCCCTAATCTCTCACTGACCTGGGCACGGTGTCCCTCCGTCCTAATCTCTCACTGACCTGGGCACGGTGTCCCTCTGCCCTAATCTCTCACTGACCTGGGCACGGTGTCCCTCCGCCCTAATCTCTCACTGACCTGGGCACGGTGTCCCTCCGTCCTAATCTCTCACTGACCTGGGCACGGTGTCCCTCCGCCCTAATCTCTCACTGACCTGGGCACGGTGTCCCTCCGTCCTAATGTCTCACTGACCTGGGCACGGTGTCCCTCCGTCCTAATCTCTCACTGACCTGGGCACGGTGTCCCTCTGCCCTAATCTCTCACTGACCTGGGCACGGTGTCCCTCTGCCCTAATCTCTCACTGACCTGGGTACGGTGTCCCTCTGCTCTCATCTCTCCCTGGCCTGGGCACGTTGTCCCTCTGCCCTAATCTCTCACTGTCAAGATGTCCCTCCGTCCTAATCTCTCACTGACCTGGGCACGGTCTCCCTCCGTCCTAATCTCTCACTGACTTGGGCATGGTATCCCTCTGCCCTAATCTCTCACTGACCTGGGCACAGTGTTCCTCCGTCCGAATCTCTCATTGACCTGGGCACTGTGTCGCTACGCCCTGACCTCTCACTGACCTGCGCATGGTGTCCCTTCACCCTGTTCTCTAACTGACCTGGGCACGGTACTCCTTCTCCTGGTCTTCAAGCTCTGTCTGCAGATCGTGTCGCTGTTGGGCACATTCCTCTTTAAGTTGGGTCAAACTGCACTGGTGCAGTCGCTCCAGGTTCTGCCGAGTCACTGTAAAGTATTTGAGGGGAAATTTATAGAAGTGGCAAAAAACTGATACATTACAACTTTGTACACTGCTACAAGCTCCATGAGCCGGTCACCCCCATTCTCGCCCAGCTTCACTGGCTCCCCGTACCCTAGAAGATCAAGTTCAAGATCCTCATGCTTACCTTGAAAGCCCTCCATGGTCTTGTTCCTCTCTATCTCTGTGGCCGACTAAACCTTTCACCAACTTGTGCACGCAGCAGGCAATGGCCTGTTCCACGTCTTCCCATCCTGCCCATTCCACCATTGACACTCGGGCTGTCAGCCCTTCTGATCTCACCCTCTGCAACTCCATCCTGGAGCCCCTCCGCCTCGCTCCCTCCATTGCCTCCTTCAAGGCCTGTCTCAAGACCTTCCTCTTCAACTGGTCATTTTCCCACCCCCACCTCACCTTGATTCCAACCCGTAGTTCCAGTGCAAACCCTTCACTGTCCAGTGCCTTGGGATCTCTTGCTGACGTGAAAGCAATCTGTTGCATTTATACAGCACCCCTCATAGCGGGTAACATCTGAGTGAAACAGTATGTTGCTGAGCCAGGGAAAAACAAGAGATGGAACAGTCGAAGAGGAAAGTTTTCAGGTGTGATCTAAACCTTACTGAAATGATCGGATGGGGAGGGAGGTTGAAAAATTTACCTGGTGCTCCTCACAAAATTCGAGTAAAAGGGGCATAGCACATGATGAGACTCAGGTGAGGCCCCCATTCTAACATACCACAACAAGGCAGCTAGATCGAGCCATATCTACCTGTTCTGACCCACACTTACAAAAATTTATGTAGCACCCATCACACAGGAAGGGTCTTAAAAGTGCTGAAACCTAGAGAAAGTTCACACTGCTACCAGGAGTGGTACTGAAGGGTGCGAGTGGGAATGAGATGCTTAAAGAAGTTATGGACACCAATAAGGTAAATAATCACTCCTCATTCATTTGCTATAGCTTGTACAGTCTTGAGACTGAGCAGTGACCCTGACCGGATGAGCTGAGCAATTCAATCTCAAGAACTGATGTACCAAACACAAAAACTGGCACACTGGCTCCCACAGTGTATTAGCAATTGCTCAGGTGGTAATGTGGCTCTCACCTTCATCCTTCTCCTGCTGCTGTCGCTCTTTGGCATATGCAGCCTCCACTTCACTCTGCAGCCTCTCCACCGTCTGCCGCCACTTCTCCAGTTCCACCTGGTGTTGGGTTCGTCCAAACTGCTCAAACACTTCCCTCTGCTTCTGGGACTCCTCCTCCCATGCCTCCCGCGCGCTCTGTCAAACAGCAACAAATGCCAAACAATCCACAAACACAGAGTTTCCTCTCAAAACCCCACATCTCAAAGTGGGTGGTTTAAATTCCTGTAAATCACACACAATAGCATGACTCAGTCTGATACACTCTGGCCTCTGAGCAGTGTAAGGGTCAAGACTGAGAAGACTGTGGCTTCAAGCCCCATATCAGGACATTGAGATCAATATAGGCTGACACTTCAGCGCAATGTAGGGAAAGCACTGACTGTCAGAGGTGCGTCCTTCAAGTAAGACAATAAACCAAGGTCTCTTTTGCCTGTTCAGGTGGACATTGAAGATCCCATGGTGTTATTGGAAAAGTGAAGGGAGTTTCTCCCAGTGTCCTGGCCAACATTCCCATGATAAAACTGGTCATTCAACTGGTCAATTGGTCAACATGGTTGTTTGTTGTTTGTAATTCATTGCTGTGTGCAAATCGGCTATCACATTCTCACAAGGCATGCAGTCACTGCCCTTTAGAGTAAAACCTGTGAGGCACTTTGAAACACTGACATAATAATAATATAATAATAATCCTTGCATTTGATATAGCGCTTTTCACGTCGGGAGGACGTCCCAAAGCGCTTCACAGAACACACTGTAAAGTGAATTGACTGTATATTTGTGGGCGAACGCGGCAGCCAATTGCACACAGCAATGTCCCACAAACAGTCGTAGATTGAAAATGACCAATTTATTATTGTTTTTGGTTTTGGAGGGATTATTATTAGGCTCTGTGTGGAGTAAGGAAACTTGCCCAAGGTTTCGCCCTCTGCCTGGAATTGAACTCAGGTCTCTTGCTTGCAAAGCGAGTGCTCTAACCACTGAGTTACAGGATATGTGATAAGGCGCTCTACCATATAGAAGAATTACTGTGCATAGTTACTGGAAATCACAAGAAAGACTCAATCAAACAATTTGGACCAAAATTCAACCTGTATCATCCTCAACACTGATCTTAATATTTCAGATTGTGCAGAAATTTGGCAAAGTCTTAAATCTGAGTTTTGTAAGTACTCCAGTAAAACTCACATAAGTCGTATCAGTCGGGACCATAACAATGAATGCGAGTTACACAAAGTTCGAATTGCAGGCGAACTTGCATAAATCGTATAAAATCTGATTTAATCAATAATCTACACTGCAAATTTGTAATTCAATGCTGCTGGTAAATGCACATGCGATTAAGGGTCAAGACGACATTTTCCGCGAATGAATTTGTCTTGACCTGGCATCACACGCACACTTAGTGGCAATCGTTGGAATCACAGGAAATTAGCTTCTTCTGCATATGTGCGATGGATCAAATTCATATTTCCCGGTATTGAATGCAGCCGGTAAGTGCGGGAGTAATGGAGGGTAGGGGAGCGCGCTACAAGTTAGATGTTTAATATGATTAGTGCAACGAAATCCAATTGGTTTTGATAGTAAACTAATTGGGACTCAGATAAATATACTTGGATGTATATAGACTTCTGTAAGTTTTACTGTATACAAGACTAGCTTCAGCGCAGAAATAAATTTATGAATTTGTCCAAATTCTGCACAATCTGTAATGTTATGTGAATAATCTTTAGGCTAAAAAGCAAGTGCAATTTCAGGTCTTCGACTCTAATCTGACCAATTCCAGGTGCGTGTTTGGGGACAGATCTGTTGTGATGTACTGATGGTGAAGAGGAGCCATCCCCACCAAAAGCCAGGACACTGCCTCTCCCTTCCCCGAGACCTAGAGTGGATGTGGGAGGGGTGGTGCAGCCCTGGGATCCCATTGATCTGAGACCACAGCTGCTCAGGGAATGTTCTGGCTACTGTTTGGGATTTGTTGAGGTCATCAATACTTATTAAAGGCGGCCACACAGGCCTGGGTACCTGCATCCTCTCTGCTTCCACCACATCCACCTTGGCCTTCAGAGCAGCTGCTTCTTCCTCCATGACCTTCTGCAAGTTCTCTGAAAACACGTCAGAAAAGAAAGCCGTCAATCAGTCCCTCATTCCAGCCACATTATAAAGTATGCATTATATGTGAACAAAATCAGAACACAGCAATAATAATAATCCTTGAATTTGATAAAGCAGTTTATTACATATTTGAGATGTCTCAAAGCACTTCAATGTACAAGAGCTCAGTACTGTAGCCAGTCACCAGGACCAGGTGGCTAGAGTAACCTTCAGAATTTGACAGCTGGATTAAGTATAAGGTTATCATCATTATTAAGATGTAATTATAATAATGTAATAATCAAATGCAAAGACTGCATTACACCCACAAAACATACAGTCAATTCACTTTACAGTATATTCTGTGAAGCAGTTTGAGATGTTTAGAAGACATCAAATGCAAGGATTATTATATATATGATATGGACTTTCGGAAGGCGTTTGATAAGATGCCACATAATAAACTAGCAAAATTGAAGCCCATGGGATAAAAGGGATAGTGGCAGGTGGATACAAAATTAGAAAGGAGACAGAAAGCAGAGGGTAGTAGTGAATGGTTGTTTTTCAGACTGGAGGGAAGTATACAGTGGTCCACTGCTCTTTTTGATATAAGTGATGAGGGACCTTAGTTATGTGGAGAGATTAGAGAAGCTGGGATTGGTCTCCTTAGAGCAGAGAAGGTTAAGGGGAGATTTAATAGAAGTGCTCAAGATTATGAGTTTTGATAGAGAAGATAGGGAGAAACGGTTTCCACTGGCGGTTGGGTTGGTAACCAGTGGACACAGATTTAAGATAATTGGCAAAAGACCCAGAGGGAAAGATGAGTTTTTAAAAACTTTTTTTTACACAAAGAGAGTTGTTATGGTCTAGGAAACACTGCCTGAAAGCGTGGTGGAAACAGATTCAATAACAACTTCCAAAGGGTAGGTAAATGAAAAGGAAACACTTGCAAGGATATGGGGAAAGAGCTGTAAGTAGGATTGGGTTGCTCTTCCAAAGAGCCAGCACAAACACAACAAGCCACAATGTGTTATAATATTCTGAGTCTATGATTCTATGAAACTGCAATTGTGTGCCATAGGTCGACAGCCAGATTAGTTTAGTACCAATGTGAGTTGGCAGCTGAAAAGGTCCCTGTGCTGACCCAGCGTACCTCGTTCCTGTCGGTGTTGTTCCTGGCATTCTTCTATGTGCTGACGTGTCTGCTCCCTCAGGCGCTCGGACTCCAGATGCTGTTGGCTCTGCAGCACGGCCAGCTCCTGGCAGCGTTTCTCATTCAGCACCTTTTGCAGCTCAGCCAGCGCCTCCTCCTTCTCGCGCTGCAGGTTGCACTGCACCAGCTCCAGCTGGGCCCTATGCATGTTGTTCAGACTCAGCCGCAGTGACTCCAGCTCCAGCTTGTGCTCGGTCTATTGGGAAACAGAATAAAATTGGAATATAAACAAAACTGTACTCAACTGTAGGACATGACACAAGAGTTGAGAATCTGATGAACAACACTAAAATATCAGAGCATTGGTAACATTATTGCCAATGTCACAGTAAAGGAGGAGGAGGTAGAGAAATGGATAGGATAAAAATAGATACGTAAAAGGTTAGCAGCGCTCAAAGTAGAAAAGTCATGGGATACATCCTAGGTTGCTGAGGAAAATAAGGATGGAAATAGCAGAGGCTCTGACCACAATTTTTCAATTCTTCTTAGATATCGAAGTAGTGGCTGAGAACTGGAGGGTTGCAAATTTTACTCCTCTGTTCAAAAAGGGGAAAGGGATAAACCTGGTAACTACAGGCCCAGTCACCTAATGTCAATGGTGGGGAAGCGTCTAGAGACCATAATCTGGGCAAAATTAATTTTCACTTAGAAAAACACAAGTTAATTAATGACAGTCAACACGGATTTGTTAATGGCAAATCGTGTCTTACAAACTGAATTGAGTTCTTTGATATAATGCGAGAAGATTGATCAAGGTAGTGCAGTTGATGTAGTGTATATGGACTTTCAGATGGCATTTGATAAGGTACCACATAAAGGCTAGTTATCAAAATTGAAGCCAATGGGATAAAAGGAACAGGACAGCATGGATATGAAATTGGCTGCGAGTCAGAAAGTAGAGTAGTAGTGAATGGTTGTTTTTCAGACTGGAGGGAAGTATACAGTGTGTCCCCCAGGAGCCGGTATTAGGTCCATTGCTCTTACTGATACGTGAATAATTTGGACTTGGGTATAGAAAGCAACATTTTAAAGTTTGCAGATGACGCACAATTTGGGAACGTGGTAAACAGTGAGGAGGATGGTGGCAGACTGCAGGAGGACATAGACTGGTGAAATGGGCAGACACATGACTGATTAAGTTTAAGGCAGAGAAGTGCGAGGTGATGCATTTTTGGAGGAAGAATAAGTAGAGGCAATATACAATAAATGGTAGTTTTGAAGGGGGCTCAGGAGCAGAAAGACATGGGAGTTTACATACACAGGTCATTGAAGGTGGCAGGACTGGTTGATAGAGCTGTTAAAAAAGCATATGGGATCCTTGGGAGGGAGCGAGGAGGGGGAAGAGAGTCGAGAGGCTGCCCAGCTGACCTCACTCCCCGGCCGACCTCACTCCCCGGGCTGGCCGGCCGGCCGACCTCACTCCCCGGGCTGGCCGGCTGTCCGGCCGACCTCACTCCCCGGGCCGGCCGGCTGTCCGGCCGACCTCACTCCCCGGGCCGGCCGGCTGTCCGACCGACCTCACTCCCCGGGCTGGCTGGCCGGCTGACCTCACTCCCCGGGCTGGCTGGCCGGCTGACCTCACTCCCCGGGCTGGCTGGCCGGCTGACCTCACTCCCCGGGCTGGCTGGCCGGCTGACCTCACTCCCCGGGCTGGCTGGCCGGCTGACCTCACTCCCCGGGCTGGCTGGCCGGCTGACCTCACTCCCCGGGCTGGCTGGCTGGCTGACCTCACTCCCGGGCTGGCTGGCCGGCTGACCTCACTCCCCGGGCTGGCTGGCTGGCTGACCTCACTCCCGGGCTGACTGGCTGGCTGACCTCACTCCCCGGGCTGGCTGGCTGGCTGACCTCACTCCCCGGGCTGGCTGGCTGGCTGACCTCACTCCCCGGGCTGGCTGGCTGGCTGACCTCACTCCCCGGGCTGGCTGGCTGACCTCACTCCCCGGGCTGGCTGGCTGGCTGACCTCACTCCCCGGGCTGGCTGGCTGACCTCACTCCCCGGGCTGGCTGGCTGACCTCGGTGTGAAGCTGAGCTTGTTGCAGCTCGGTCTCCCTCGCTGAGTCCCAGTGAGCCCGTAGACCATCAAACAGCTGCTGCTGCTCCCGAGTCAGCTTGGCTCGCAGCTCCTGCACCTCTTGCTCATGCTCAGTCATCAGCCGGCTCAGTTCCCGCTCCCTCTCCCGCTCGTGCACCTGTGAATGAGAACGGCAGTACGTAACTCAGCTCAGTCAATGGTCTCTCAGATTCACGCACTGGAAGGTCAGAATATTCACACCCGAATCCAGAGTTTGCTGATCTCAGGCTGATCAACACAGGGGTCAATGCAACAGGCATCTGTTCCCATGGGAAAAGGTCATATTAGGTCCTTGCTCTAGATCAGGGTGGTCGAATATTTTGGCTGCCGAGGGCTGATTGCTTCTTTTGAGAAATATCTGCTCTCCGCATAAGCAATATTCTTGCCTCCTTCGAGGCACGTCTCAAAACCCTCCTCTTCAACCCTCCAGTCACCCTTCCTACAGCTTGGTTCGAAATCCCTGACTGTCCAGCGCCTTGGGATGTCCTCCCGACGTGAAAGGTACTGTACAAATATAATTTGTTGTTGGGTGTTTCCCTTCCAAAGACATAACATTTACACAGCACCTTTTTCATGTCGGAGGGACGTCTCAAACCGCTCAACGCTACTGGCTGGATTACCCGAGCTGGGTGTGGGAGCCGAGGGAAGATGACTGAAAGCGCGGTGACGGAGTTAGGTCTTGAAGTGCCTTCTTGAAAGAGAGCAGTGAGTGAGTCGAAGAGACTCCAGAAATGGAGCTCCAGAGAGCGGGTGATGGTTGGTAGGGCAGATGGGGTGTGGGGACATGAAGCAAGCCAGTGTTTATTAGGCAAAGGGAACAGCAAAGCGAATAAAGGACGTAGAGAGGTTTCTTACTGGAGAAAGAGGGAGCTTTCTGTGAAGAAACTGTATGTCATGTCGCTCAGTATCTGTCCTCGGTCCCCCTCGCAGTGGTCGAGAGAGGCTCCGATCGTCTGTCCTGACAACGAACCACTGCCATCACTCTTTTTATTTCTCTTCCCCGGCCTCTCCCCTCCCTCAATCACTTTCTTCTTTCTCTCTCCCTTCTCCCTCATGCACTTTCTTGCACATTGTCTAGCCCCCTCGCTTCCCTGTCCACCCCCCTTGCTCCTGTCTACCACCCTTGCTTCTCTGTCTATTGCCCCTTGCTCCCTATGTATCCCGTTAATATTCCTCCTCTTTAAGCATCTCTGATTCTCTTGTAAAAGGGTTGACAGCCTCAGTGATAGTTTCACATGCCCACTATCCTCTATGTAGACTTGTTCTCTAACCTCACTTTCCATTCTTTTTGTGATTATGTTCAAATTTTTTGACTCTGGTGACTGACTCGCTGACTAGTGGAAATAATCTGTTACTATTTATCCCTTCATAAGCCATCAATTGTGAAGAGCTCCAGCTGGTCACCCTCAGCTCTGGTCAAAAAGCTTCAACTTCTCAAACCTTTGTAACTGAACCTCTTGTCCCTGGAAACATCCCAACAATCTATGCTGCTCCTTTGTCGGTTACTTTATATCATTGCAGTGATAAGGTACCCAAAACTATACACAATACTCTCAACTGTGGGCCAACCAAAGCCCTGTAATACTTGATTCATCAGCGTCAGCACTTAGGGACGTCCTCCAGACGTGAAAGTCACGTACAAATGTAATTTTATTGTTGTTATAAGAGGTTCTCACTATTGTAATCTGTGTCTCTGGATAGAAAACCAATCTTTTACTTTATTTACGGCCTTCTCTCTGTGCGCTGCCTCCTTTAATAACCTGTATATCTGAACTCTGCTTCTCTACTGATTAAAATCTCATCATTTAATGTATAATTCCTGACAAAATGTCCTACTTCACAGTTTTGGTATTAAACTACATTCATCACCTCTCAGCCCACCCGCACCCACCAATCCAGCAAACCTTCCAGTTTAGTGTCCGCGGAATGTTGATATCGTTCCTTCTATTCTTGGGTTCCAAATAAGAGCGGCCTGAACACGTGAGTAATATCATCCTTACATTTCATACAGTGCCTTTCACAACAGAAGGAGTCCCAAAGCACTTCACAGGATTTATAGTAAAGTATCTGAACTTTGTGGGTGAACTTGGCAGCCAATTTGGACATAGCAATGTCCTACAAACAGCACAAAGTGAATAATCCAATTTTATTGGGGGTTTGTTGGCCAGGACAAACTCCCTTCTCTTTTTGATTAATGCTATGGAATCTTTAACACATGACTGAACAAACAGATGGGACTTCAGTTTAATGAATCACCACTCACTGCATCTTCCAAGTCTTCATTTTATCCAGACTCTGCTTTCTGTCCTCCAAATATATAATAAAATTATTACATTTCATATAATATATTTATCATGTCTTCGAGATGTCTCAAAGCGCTTCACAGAATATACTGTAAAGTGAATTGACTTTGGGGGTCAATTCCGCACTCCTCGGCTCCTGCCAATGTCTGATCAATTATGACTCTGACCTCCTCAACCTCACGGCCTCTCTCTCTAACTTACTGAACCAGTGTACAACATTAGCATTTGGTTCAATTCTTAGCTTTCCTTTCTTCCTCACATTCTTTGGTATATTTGGGGGAGAAACTCTGCAGCCAATTGCGCAAACAGTGTTCCACAAACAGTCGTGGATTGAGTGACCAATTATTTACTTGTTTTGAAGGAATTATTACCCCTGGAAAAGCGACCTGCCAATTGACTGACAACCAGGTTCCTAATTACTGCTAGGTAAACAGAAGCGCGTGGAATAAGGAAATTTAACCAACGTTTCGCCCTGCTGGAAATACAAACGAGGTCTCTCGCTTGCGAGGTGAGTGCGCTAACTACAAGACTCCAATGTCTTGCTTTGTGCAGTCCACTTCGCCATCAAACATCAAGGCCTGGATGAGCCAAATTTTTCTGTAGCTAAACATGGACATGACAGAAGCCGCACTCCTCGGCTCCTGCCAATGTCTGATCAATTATGACTCTGACCTCCTCAACCTCCCGGCCTCTCTCTCTAACTTACTGAACCAGTGTACAACATTAGCATTTGGTTCAATTCTTAGCTTTCCTTTCTTCCTCACATTCTATCTCTGACCAACATTGATTCTCTTCACCTCCACCCCAGTTCTCTGCGCCGGTCTCAGTAGTTCGGTTCCTGAGCCAGGTGGGTCTGCAGAACTCCAGGGCACAGTTGATAACAGCCGAGCCAGCCTGGATCACCTGCCTCGACTCCTGCCAATCTGCATAATACTAATACTTTCTAAAATTAGGTAAGCAGTGTGTGTCACTCCCAGGAGAGTTTGCATTGCATTTCAATAAATATCTGTAGAATTTCCATGATTAGTTGGTAAGCATGGAACCGTTTGGTTTGGATACTCTTAAGCATGGTGATGGGTTTCTGCAGGTGTCAGGCACCTGGGTGACCCCAAAAAAATCATTAAATGCCACCAGAACCCTTACATGTGCCTTCGTCACCTCCCAGCTGGAATTGTCTAATACACTCTTCGCTGATCTCCCTCACTCCACCAGCCATAAACTTCAACTTAATCCAAAACTCCACACCCACATCTTCACCCACACCAGACTCTGTAAGTCACTCACCCCAGTCCTCACCAAGCTCCACTGGCTCCTGGTCTCTCCATTTCTACTCACCTGCTTAATGTAGCCAATCTGCTTTCTGCTCTCACCCTCCTGTCTCTGCTGCGCATCCCGCACCGCCCTGTGAGTCTCGTCTTTTAATTCATCCAACTGAAAACAGTGTTCACAGTGAGCAAACAAACCACACATTAACCAGACTGTACTGCACAGCTCTCCATTTCACTGCACCAAACTCCACAGTAAAGATGTACAAACCAAGCCTCTGCACTATTCAGTAGTGATTTTAGTAAAACACTCTGGCCCTATCACCCACTCATATTCTCACAGTAACCTCTCTGCTTTTAATGCTGCAATTCCTCTGTGGCACTGCTGCCTCTCAAAGCACAGAGAGCTTTCTCTGCAGTTTTCTCAGACCACTGCAAGGGGCCGAGGTGAGGTCCCATAGTCTGCTAGCTGCTTTACCCATACTCTTAAGATTTATAATTGCAGCAAACCTCTTTCTGATGCTTTGCTCTCAAGTTTTGCGTATCAGAGGCATGCAGCTCCTTGCTTTTCTTCATGGCTTCCTGGTACTGGATGGTAACCTGCTCCTGGGCCTCCTGCACAGCCCGGCACAGCCTTTCCTCCTGTTGCAGCATCTCTGCAGCACGTCTCTGCTCCAACTCCCGCTGCGCTGTCCTGTGGCTGCTCAGCTGCAACTCCAGAGTTGCCATTCTCTGAAGGTACTCACACTCTTGGTCCTTCAGCACTACCTCCAGTTGTTGCAATTCAAGAATCTTTCTTTTCAATTCATCTCTCAGTAGCAGCCTCTCAGCCTCCTCACCGAGAAGGAGACGCCTCAACTCCTCGCTGTTTTTCTTCAGGAAGTTATTCTCAGCTCTGACCTGACGAAGGGTTTCTTCTATCCTGAACAGGTCCTGTCCTGCCCCCGACAAGTTACCCTCCAGCTGCACTCTCTCTCTCTGGAGTTGTTTCTCCTGCTCTTGGCTCTCTCTCAGCACAGAGTGAAGGGCAGCCAGCTCTGCGGACAGGGATTCTTCCTGCATGGTTTTATGTCCCAGCAGTTCAGATGTGGTTTGATTCCTTGAAATCTGAGTGTCGAGCTGAGTCTGCAGCTGATCACGCTGGTTCTGGAGGGTCGCCAGCTGCCGGCCAAATAAGGCTTGAACCTCACTGGTCACCGAATCGGCCGCCAGCTTCTGCTCCTGTACCTCCTGGACCAGCTGCTCCTGCTCGCGAAGCTGGGTGAGCAACCGTGCCTTTTCCTGCTTCAGATCCTTCACCATCTCCTTCAAAGTCACCAGCTCCTTCAAAGTCACCAGTTCACTGTTCGCGGGACCTTCCAGACTGGCTTGTTCACATTGCTCAGTCTGGCCCTTCACGGTCAGCTCCTGCCCAGCTTGGAGTCTGGTCTGTTCCTCATGGTGCTTCCTGCTTTCATTGTCTAACTCTGAACACACAGTCGATAGCTCATCAGTGACAGCCTGACATTTCTTCAGAGCCTCCGCTGGTTGGCTCCTCGCGGTCTCTAACTCACTCTCTTTTTGATGCAAGGACATTGCCAGCTCTCGACACCGCTCAACCAGGTTCACCTCATCTGGTCTCTTACCCATGGCATTCTGTGAATCATCATCGTACACGGTCTTCACACCAGCCAGCTCACTGCTGAGAGGCACTGCTTTCATGCACTGCTGCTCCCTCAGCTCCTCCCGGAGATGGCACATCTCTGCTTCATGGCTGAACAGCAGCTCATTTCGAAGCTTCTCCAGCTCAGCTTCCTGAGATTCGGCCAGGCGGCTCAGGACCTGGTCTTTTTCACGCTCCATCATCTGCAGCTTGATCTGATAGTTGGTTATTTCATGCTGGTGATTGTGCCTCAGCTCCTCACTGAGCTTCACTTCCTCAGCCAGGCGGGCATTCAGCTCATGAATATCCCTCGTCAAGCACTCGTGCTCGCATTTATACACCTTTAACTCTTCCTCCAGATTCCGGACTGAACTCCTGCACTTCTCCTCCATTCCAGCTTTCTCTTCCTGAGCCTCCATTACACTGTGGTGGGGGAGCTGCTCCTGCTCCTTGTTCAGCTCTGCGATGTTCGCATTTAAAGGCTGGGCCTGCTCATTCATCATCTGTTTATCCAGCTGATTTTGCAAGTGCTCTAGATCGGCTTTATGCATGGCATTTAGATCATCCATCTCCTGCATGATGTGCTTACGCATCTCTTGTTTTATTCGCACAATCTCCTGGCTGTGCACAGCTTCCAGCTGAGCCCTGAGCTGCTCCCCTTGGTCTGGACTATAAGCAGCAGCTTTGTGTGGGATCACCACACCCTCCTCCAGGGATGGCTCACAATGTTCAATTTGCTCCCTCAAATTCTGGTCTCCAAGTGAAAGCTGCATTAAGGCAGCATCTTTAAGGTCCAGCATTTCCCTCAGTTCCTTCATGGCTTCCTCCTTCTCCTCTATCCACTGGTTTAGCTGTTGTATTGTGTTCTCTGTATTTTTCTGCTGGTCGACAATCTGAACAAGGAGATTCTCTTTGTCTTTCACATTCTTTATAGAGAAAGAAAATATATATGGTTAGTAACGTGCCTAATACCTCTCCGGTGGGTGTCACTACATGAGTTTCTCACCTAATGGCGCGCTGCTTTTCAATATAAATTTGAAGTTTTTTCTACATTTCAACAGAAAAACATTATGAGCTGTAAACATGAATTTCTGACCACAACACTGCTGTGGGGTGGCGAATGAGCAGAGCAAATACTCAGCGTCCAAAATAAAGAGAATTGTAAGAGAGACATATAGCAGCAACCACCTCTCCCACACCCCCGTCCTGAAAACGCAGTATTCAGCCATGCTGCTAACTGACACAGATTTGTTCTGCCATCGCACACAAAGCTAAAGGAAAACAAGTCTCAGAGCTCTGTGTGGACTCCAGACTTTACTCACTTGCTCAGAATCCTCCAGCTGTAATTGCAGCTGATGTGCTCGCTGTTCCACACTCTCCAAGTGTTTGCTCTGCTCCTTCAGGCTCTGCTGGAAAACAGAGATTTGTTCTTGGGCCTGAAGCAGCTCCAGGATCCCAGGGCTTCTGCTCCTCAGGATCTCACTGGCCTGCACAGCAAGAGCATTCACAGGTACGCATAAAGATAGACAACCACCCCATTTATTTTACACTGCGTTTAAGCTGTGCATTAACAACTTGCATTTATAAAGCACCCTCAAGCAGAGGCACTTAACAATGGCGGAGCAAGATACCAACCAGGGGGAGGTGACTGGAAGCACAGTCGAGGATGAAGGTCTTCTGGCGCAACCTGAATTTGGGGAAGGAGGGGGCAAGGCAGACAGATTGAGGGAGGGTATTCCAGAGTTTCATAATGGCTGAAAGCACAGCTACCGATGGTGGAACTGAGGGCACAAGGGACATGCAGGAGGCCGGGAGTCAGTTGAGTGGAGGCAGCGGGTAATGAGCTGGGGAGAATTCAATTCAATTCCAGGCAGGGCGAAACCTTGGGCAAGTTTCCTCACTGCACACACCTGATAATAATCCCTCCAAAACAAAAAATAATAATAAATTGGTCATTTTCAATCCACAACTGTTTGTGGGACACTGCTGTGCGCAATTGGCTGCCATGTTTCGCCCACTTTACAGCATATTCTGTGAAACGCTTTGAGACATCTAGAAGACGTGAAAAGTGCTATATCAAATGCAAGGATCTATTTATTTATTATTTATTTATTTAAAGCAGGTCGGAGAGGTAGGGAGTTGTCAGGGTATGAAGCGATTTTAAGAGGAGTGTGAGAATCTTGAAATCGATCAGTTCGGTGATAGGGAGCCAGTAGAGCCTGGCAAGAACTGGCGTGATAAGTGTATGGAGTTTAGTGTGGGTGAGTATGCGGGTGGTGGAGCTTTACATTAACTGGATTTTGGATAGTGGAGTTGGGGAGAACGGCAAGGAAGGCGCCAGGCTGTGGAGTCCTGCAGCTCAGTGGTTAGAGCACTTGCCTTACCAGCGAAAGACCTGGGTTTGATTCCTGGCAGGGTGAAACCTTGGGCAAGTTTCCTTATTCCACACACCTGATAATAATCCCTCAAGAAAAAAAATACTAAAATTCGTCACTTCAATCCACGACTGTTTGTGGCTGAGGAAGAGGAGGCGGCCAAGAATGGAGCCCTGGGGTACTTCAAAGGTAACTGGGCAGGGGCAGGAAACAAATTAAGCCATAGGCTAGTGAGTGGTGTGCAGGTGTAGGCAGTTTGCGGGACAGTACCTGGTGTAACTGGTGCTGCAGAGACTGAATCTGGTCAGTGAGCTCCACCGTTTCCTGCTGCACCTGGTCTCGGTTCTGAATAGCCAGCTGCAGGTTCTCAGTCAGTTGGCCAATTATGTCATTCCTCTTCTGTACAGCCATCTCCAACTCCTGTTGAGACAGCACAAAGCACATATAATTCAAAGCACACAAACATTATCTTCTGATGAATGGAATGGGGAAAGGGCAGGTATCATAGAATCATACAGCACAGAAAGATGCCATTCAGCCCATTGTGTCTGCGCCAGCTCCGAAAAGAGCATTCCAACTCAATCCCACTGGCCCGCTTTCTCTCCATAGCCCTGCAACCCTGTCCTCCCCAAATATCCATCTACTTCTCTCTTAAAAGTTGTTAACGAATTGGCTTCCACTACCCTTTCAGGTAATGCATTCCAGATCCAAACAACTCGCTGGGTGAAAAATGTTTTCCTAACCTCCCCTCTGTTTCTTTTAACAACTAACTTAAATCGGTGTCCTTGGGTTACTGACCCACTTGCCAGTGGAAACAGTTTTTCCCGGTTCAACCTATCAAAATGTCTCATGATCTTGAACACCTCTATTAAATCCCCTCTTAATCTTCTCTGCTCTAGGGAGAATAATCCTAGTTTTGCTAACCTCTCCTCATAACTAAGGTCCTGGTACCATCCTGGTAAACCTCCTTTGCATCCTCTCCAATGCACTAACATCTTTCCTAAAGTGCAGTGCCCAGAACTGAATGCAGTATTTTATAAATATTCAACATAACCTTCTGACTTTTGAATTCTGTGCCCCTATTTATAAAACCTAGTATCCCGTATGCTTTTTAAACAGCTTTATCGACCTGTCCTGCCACCTTCAGAGATTTGCTTATGTGGACCCCCAGGTCTCTCTATTCATTTGCCCCCTTTAAGATTGTACCATCATCTTATACTGCCTTTCCTCATTCTTCCTACCAAAATGCAATACTTTGCATTTCTCCACATTAAACCTCATCTGCCACGTTTCTATCCATTTTATCAATCTGTCTAAGTCCTCTTCGAGTCTGGTGCTGTCCTCCTCACCATTAACTACCTTTCCTAGCTTAGTATCATTTGCAAATTTGGAAATTGTGCTCCCTATATCCAGGTCCAGATCATTAATATAGATCAGAAAGAGCAGTGGTGCCAATATCGACCCCTGAGGGACACCACTACACACCTCCTTCCAGTCTGAAAAGCAACTATTTACTACCACTCTCTGCTTTCTGTCTCCTAGCCAGTTGTGAATCCATGTTGCCACAGTCCCTTTATGTTGCCACAGTCCCTTTAATACCGTGGGCTTCTATTTTGTTTATAAGTGTCTTATGTGGCACTTTGTCAAATGCCTTTTGAAAATCTAGATAAACTACGTCTACTGCACTATCTTCATCCACCCTCTCAGTCACTTCATCAAAAAATTCTATTAGGTTGTCAGACACGATCTGCCTTTAACAAATCCGTGTTGACTGTCCTTTATTAAACCATATTTTTCTAAATGAGAATTTATAGTGTCCCGGATTATAGTCTCCAGAAGTTTCCCTACTACTTCTCAGGTTTATCCTTCTGCCCCTTTTTGTACAAGGGAGTAAGTAACATTTGCAACCTTCCAGTCCTCTGGCACCACTCCAGTGTCCAAAGAGGATTGAAAGATTGTGGCCAGAGACTCTGCTATTTCCACCCTTGCTTCCCTCAGTAACCTAGGATGCATCCCGTCCGGACCGGGTGACTTATCTATGTTGTGCATCGACAGCCTTTTTAGTACCTCTGTTGATTTTTATCATATCCAATTTCTGTTCCCACGCCTGTGATATTGTGGGATTGGTTGCATTTTTTGTGAAGACAGTTGCAAAGTACTTATTTAGTACATCAGCCATGCCCTATGCCTCAACAAAAAGATTTCCACTTGGGTCCCCAATTGGACCCACCCTACCTTTGACTAACGTTTTACTCTTGATATGCTTATAAAATACCTTAGGGTTCCCTTTTATGTTTCCTGCTAATCTTTTCTCGTACAATCTCTTCACCCCTCTTACTTTCCTTTTCAGTTAGGGAAGTATAAAATTAAAAGAGACCTATAATATTGCCAAAAAGAGCAGTGAACCCGAGGATTGGGAGGGCTTCAGAAACCAAGAAAAACTAAGAAACTGATTAGGAGGGAGAAAATGGATTATGAGGGCAAACTAGCTAGGAACATAAAGACAGACTGCAAGAGATTTTACAAATACATTAAGAGGAAGAGACTAGCAAAAGTGAATGTGCGTCTATTACAGGCAAAGACGGGAGGAATTATAATGGAGGATAAAGATATTGCAGAGTCATTAAACAAATACTTTTCTTCTGTCTACACGTTAGAAGACACAGAAAACTTACCAAAATAGAGGGGAACTAAGAAGCTAATGTTAGAGCACATGATTAAAGGCAATATATTAGCGTGGATTGAAGAGTGTCTAACGGGAAGGAGAGAGTAGGGATAAACGGGTCCTTCTCAGATTGGCAAGATGTGACTAATGGAGTGCCAGAAGGTTGGGCCTCAACTGTTTACAATCTACATCAATGATCTAGACGAGGACATGGAACTTAAAATATCTAAATTTGCGGATGATACTAAGCTACGTGGGAGAGTAAGCTCTGAGGATGACACAAAAAGATTGCAAAGGGATATAGATAGGCTGGGTGAGTGGGCAAGAAGGTGGCAGATGGAATATAATGTGGGGAAGTGTGAAGTTATTCACCAGGTAGTAAAAATAGAAAAGCAGATTATCTTCCAGAAAGGGAAAGACTAGATAGTGTTAGTGTTCAGAGGGATTTGGGTGTCCCTGTACACCAGTCACAAAAAGTTAGTATGCAGGTACAGCAAGCAACTAGGAAGGCTAATGGCATGTTGGCGTTTATTGAAAAAGGGTTAGAATACAAGAGTAGGGAAGTCTTGCTGCAACTGCATAGGGCCTTGGTGAGACCGCACCTAGAATATTATGTGCAGTTTTGGTCTCCTTATTTAAGAAAGGACATACTCACCTTAGAGGGGTTGCAGCATAGATTCACTAGGTTAGTTCCTGGGATGAGGGGGTTGACCTATGAGGATAGGTTGAGTAAACTATATTCTCTAGAATATAGAAGAATTAGGGGTGATCTTATAGAAACATATAAGATTCTTATGGGGCTTGACAGACTAGACAGTGTGAGACTTTTTCCTCTGGTGGGAGAATCTAGAACTAGAGGTCACAGTCTTAAGATTAAGGGACAGCCCTTTCGAACAGAGTTGAAATACTTCTTCACTCAGAGGGTAGTGAATTTATGGAATCCTCTACCCCAGAAGGCTGTAGATGCTGAGTCCTTGAACATATTCAAGACTGAGATTGATAGGTTTCTAAAGGATAAATGGATTAAGGGATATGGAGATAAGGTGAGCAGATGGAGTTAGGTTAGAAGCTCAGCCATGATCGTATTGAATGGTGGGGTAGGCTCGAGGAGCTGAATGGCCTTCTCCCGCTCCTCATTCCTACGTTTTTGCTGGACTATTACTTGTTTCATTTCGATTTGTCTCTCTTCGTATGTAACTCGTTTCCCCTCCCTGATGCTACATTCTGATTCCCATCCTCTCTCGAAATCAGTTTAAACGCTTCCCCACAGCATTTGTTATCCTTGTTGCAATGACATTGGTCCCAGCCCCACTCAGGTGTAATCCATCCCTCGTGTACAGGTCCCATCTGCCCCAGAAGTGGTCCCAGTGGTTTAGAGACCTGGAGCCCTCTTTCCTGCACAATTTCTCCAGCCAGGCATTCTGTAGGGTCTCAGCCCTTTTATTACCTACATGGATCCCAACATGGACCACAACTTCCGGATTTTCCTCCTCCCCCTATAGTATATTTTGCATCTGTTCTGTGACGTCATGCACCCTGGCCCCAGGGAGGCAGCATCCCATGCGCGAGTCCCGTCTTTTATGTCAGAAACGCCTGTCTATCCCTTTAACTGTTGTATCTCCGATAACAATAGCATTGGTGTTTTTCCCCTTATCCTCCTGAACATCTATTACCTTTTGACTCTGCTCGCCAGAGGCGTCCTCACCGGTATCCAGTAACAAGGACCGGTTTGTGAGTGCCACATTCATAGGGGATTTCTGTATTGCCTGTTCTTTTTTTACACCACATCGGATGGTCACCCATTCACCCTTCTTCTGAGCCCTCTGTGTAGCTGGGGTGACCACCTCCTGAACTCTCTCTGGCTGTGGGGTGACCACCTCCTGAAAAGTTCGATCCTTAAATTCTGCAGCCGCTCGTATCCTATGTAGTGACTGTAGCCTCTCCTGAAGCTCAGTGACTCTGAGCTCAAGCTCAAGCAGCCGGAGGCACTTCCTACGCACGTGTTTGTCCAGAACACATGAACCATCCTGGAGTTCCCACATGGCACACAGTGTGCATGGAATGGGTCTCAACTGCCCTGCCAGGTTTTCCAACAGTATCAGGCTAAATAGGTAAAAACAAGTAATTTCACACCTTTTATTCCCTTGCTCACACTCCTTATATACTAAACGCCTACTCAACACCTACCGCCACAGGAATGTGACCTTTTGTGCAGGCTCTTGGGGGTTTTGTTTCTCCTTTACAAGTTCTCACCTGCACCGAATTCTCCCTAGGCACCGAAGTCCCACTTTCACCTAATTTCCAAACAGAATTCTCACTCTGTTTCTCCTCACTTCGTTTCCCTCCGCACGCTCCTGGGCTCTCTGCTCAAAATGGTAAATGGGACTGAAATGATTGCTCTTAAGAGCCGGTACAGACACGATGTGCCAAATGGCCACATTCTGCACTGTAAATTTCTGTGGTTCTTTAGACGTTGGATTTCATAAAAAGGATCAGGAAATGCTCTTCCAGTGACGAAGTGCTGGTCAGACCTCATTCATGCAGTTTTGGACAGCCAATCTTAAGAAGGATAAACTAGGCTTTGTTTGTGTCCAGTGATGAATCACTAGATTAACGACAGGGATGAAAAAGGCTAGGTAGATGTGCTATTTTCTTGCCCCTCCTCTCTCCATCAGCACAGAGAGTAACTATGAGAGCCTCCTGTGCCAGTCTATCTCAGCACGGGGTGTAACGGTGAGAGCCACCTCTGCCAATCTCTCAGGACAGGGAGTGACAGAGCAGCAGGATTTGTTTCACCAGTGATGTGCTGAGGATTCTCATCACAGTGGAAACATGTATTGACCCACTCTCAGGACAGGCAATGGCACAGAAGCATTAGCACCCAGTATACAGAAGTAAAATAAAACCAGCTGCTTTTGCCACAATTTACTGCCTGGAATAGAGCATTGTCACCTGTAATTGCTCAGTGCTCTGGCAAGCAGTTAGCTGCTCCTGCAGGTACTCCACCTCCCCCGTCAGCTGCTCCATCACCAATTCTTTGCCATTCAATTGCTCTTCCAGCTCAGTGATCCGGAGCTGCTGCACTGCCAGCTCCACTCGGGCACATTTCAGATGATCGTCCTGGAACACATCGTCTGCTGTCAAACTCTTTATCCAGTGGAACACTGGACATCCAGACTTCTGAGGACCATCCAAGCGCGGGTGTCATCAATGTTATGCCTTGAGATGCCTAGGGCACCTTATCCATATTCAACAACTGAATTTTTTTAGCGACCTTCATGCAGGGTACCATCCCGGAGGGCTTAATTCAGACTCAGAGGCACAATGGGACCTCTGCTTTACTTCAGGCCAACATTTTAGCAACTTCTATGTGGTCACTGCATTCAATGGTGCCTTGCCCCACCTGCATCCCTGGCCTCACACATGCCCTGGGTGCGGCAGAGAAACACATGCAATACATATTATTAGCTCCAGTTTGTGACAATAAGTCAGCATAGCCGGATGAGTATGGGGGTGATCGGCTCATAGAGTCTTGTGCGGGACAGGACACAAGCTGCAGAATTTGCATCTTGTGGAGGGAAGAGTTGTGAAGACCAGCAAGCAGAGTTAGCATAGTCAAGCCTGGAGTTGATGAAAGGTTGGATAAGGATAAGGATCTCGACAGCCCAAGGTTCCATATTGGCTTAGTAAGTTGCATTCATGCAGAGTGATGCTGCCAACGCCTGAGGTGAGAAGGCGCTGATGAGAGCCAAGCAAGAGAACCACTGTTTTGTTGACATTCAACTAGAAGAAGTTAGTTCTCATCCAGGACTTGACAACTTAGAATTGAGGGTGAAGGCAGAGAGATAAGAGGTGGGTGTCATCCACATACATGTAGAAGCAACGAATTATACAGCACAAAAGGAGGTGACTCAGCCCATCGTGTCTTTGAAAAGAGCTATCCAATTCAATCTCACTCCCCCACTCTCTCCCCATAGTCCTGCAGAATTGTCCTCCCCAAATAATTATCTACTTCTCTCTTAAAAGTTGTCATTGAATCGGCTTCCACCACCCTTTCAGGCAATGCATTCCAGATCCAAACAACTCGCTGTGTGAAAATATTTCTCCTCACCTCCCCACTGTTTTGTTTAACAACTATTTTAAATCAGTGTCCTCGGATTACCGACCCACCCGCCCGTGGAAATAGTTTCTCCTTCTTCACCCTATCGAATCCCCTCAATTTTAAAAACTTCTATTAAGTCTCCTCTTAACCTTCTCTGCTCCAAGGAGAATAATCCTAGCTTCTCTAGCCTCTCCTGATAACTGAAGTCCCTCATTCCTTGTACCATCCTGGTAAATCTCCTTTGCACCCTCTTCGATGCCTTGACATCCTTCCTAAAGTGTGGTGGCAAGAACTGAACATAGTAATTTAGCTGAGGCCTAACCAGTGTTCTGTAAAGGACGTTAACCTGATGCTTGCAGGTGACATCACCAAGTGGTTGCATATAAACGTTAAAGAAAAGGACCAAGAGCTCTAAGGAACACCGCACATAACAGATAGATAACAATGTCAGTCAGGATAGATCACACCCTGGGTAGATCACAGTCATGGTTACGATGGAGACTGCCAGTGCCCGACTTCTGGAGCAGAGAGATTTCCATTGAACCAGGTTCCAACTAGCATGGAAACAGGACCAAAATCTCACCACAGTTGCAATGTCTGGTGTTAGATAGGTCACCATCAGTCTGAAGAAAGGAAGATTGCAGCATTACAAGGAAAATTCAGGTCGTTTCTCAAAACATTTAACAGTCTCAACACTCTTCACACTGTAATGTTGTAGTGACCTTGTGTTTGAAGGCCAACAGGACAGCCAATTTGCACACACAAGGTCCCACAAACTGTGTGAAGTGAATGACCAATTTCATTTCCTAGATACTATTGGAATGGAATATGCACCTCACACTCTCCCTAGAGAGACGCATCTTGCTTCCCTAATTTTGGAGTGCAGGGTGGCAAAAGCCAAGGCTTGGGAGTCCACAGATTGTGTTGGGGTAACTGCTGAAGTCTAACCAGCTAAAACCCATCCCAAATCCAATACCCAGCTCAGGGCAAACCCGCGACTATCCAGCTCCTTGGGATGTTCTCCTGATGTGAGAGATGCTATATGAATACAGCTTGTTGTTGTGGATGGCAGGTACCAGGAACTCCCTGCAAGCTTCCTGGCAGGCATGAAATGAGTGAGTGCATTGTTACCATCTTCCAGTCCACAGTTCAGACACACACCTAACCACTGAGCCATGGCTTCACTCATTGGAGGTGTGGATTTTGAGCTGCAGCTGATTAACTCCATGCAACCAATCAAGGTGGATTCCAAACCCTGAATACACAAACATGCATTCACAGACTCCAGTGAACGCTTTCTAACAACTGCTGCCGGAAGCCTCAGTTTCCTCAGCTATCTGATGCACATCTGCCTTCATCCCGTCTCTTATACAACTGAGGCCCTGAGATATGAGGTCTAAGACAAGTTTCTCATTCTTGTCTGCTCCTCTTGCCCCTTTGAGGATCATTCCGCAACCTCATAACTGGACTCCTGGTTTAACCAGTTTTTAAAGAGTTTCCCTTTCTTTGTCAACTCTTCACTGCTCAGGGGTTCAGTCTTTTTTCGGAATTTTCTCCCTTGGGATTCTCAACTCCTCTCCCTTTGGAAATCTCTCAATGTGATACTTGCAAACCAGAAACTGTAGTTGACACAATCAATTCAGTTTCAAACTTTGCCTTTTAGGCTCTATTTTGAACACTTCACCAGGTAGCTCTGCCATTCACCTCACCCACCTTCACCTCACTGCTCTGCTCCACTCCGGAGGGCCCCAGGACCACTAGTGAGTGCTCTTGCGGTGGAAGGTCATCCGGGTAGACAGCCGCGCTCTTCTTCTTCCTCTTCTTCTTTTGCGCCGTATCCGTGCCGTCACCTTTTGCTTTTCGTTGTCGGAAGTCAGCAAGCTGCGAAGGAACGTGAAGAGCAGGTAAAGGGAGAGGTACGCCAGGAAGAGGTAGCAGGAGCACAGCACCAGCATGCTGCCCAGGCGCTGCACGGTGAGAACACATACAGGCTGCTATGTCCTCCTGTGGTGAGCAAAATCAAAATGTGAGTCCAGACAGTTCTTTTAACAGGGGCGTCCCTGGTAAACAAATCTCTGCAATAACTTCTCTCAAGATACCTTTTTGCACAAAGCAATCCTGCGTTTGTTGGCTGGAGAGCTGCATTCTCTTCTACCACCGTTTAAGCAGCTTACAGAGATTACAGCTTTGTCACACAGCCTTCACATTCAGTGTCTGCAAAATATTATCTAACCGTTGGATCCATAAAGGAGGATGAAGTAAAAGGGAAGCAGAACCCCGAGTGCTGGATATATACAGGTAGAGTCATGTAGATCAGTGATTAGAGCACTCGCCTTGTAAGCGAGAGACCTGGGTTCTATTCCCGGCAGGGCGAAATGTTGGGCAAGTTTCCTTACTTCACACACCTCCGTTTACCTAACAGTAAGTAGGAACCCGGTTGTTAGTTGATTGGCAAACCGCTTTCCTGGGGATAATAATCCTTCAAAAAAAATAATAATTTGGTCACTCAATCCACGACTGCTTGTGTGGCGCTGCTGTGCGCAATTGGCTGCCACATTGCACCCACAAAATACAATCAATTCACTTTACAGTATATTCTGTGAAGCGCTTTGAGGCGTCTAGAAGACGTGAAAAGCTCTACATCAAATGCAAGAATTATTATTTTATTATTTACTAAGTAAGATTGCATCCTGGAAAGTAAATTGATACAATGGTCACAGCCACTCACATTATCTACCTTTCTGATGAAAAAAAGTTTTAGCACAGTGTCGACCTCAAAATGGTGCACCATTATTAGTAATCTATACTAATAAAGTAAAGCAATAACCGATTGACGTAGAGACATGATTTTTACCTCATCGGAAAGGTCTTGCATTTGGCAGTGTCATTGTTTTTTTTTGGGTAGGATCTCCTATCACTGATGAGCTATATTAAAAAGTGCTTTAATTAAGCCACAAAATATGAAGTATGCATCGTATTCTGCAACTACATAGCGACAGAGGAAAGTACGCACCGTTCAGAGATACTTTGCAACAAATGTATGGCACTTTTTTCTGGTTGTCATGGTAGCTAGAGTCCTCCCATGTTGGACAGACAGAGAAAGAGACAGAGAGAAAGACTGAGATAGTGAGAGAGACTGAGCTAGCCAGAGAGACACTGTGAGAGAAAATATATTATAAAATGTAGTGACTGTGTGTTTTGTGGGAGAGACAGAGAAAGACAGAGACAGACAGAGAGAAAATATATTAAAGGAGTCCTCCCAGCTGAGTATAATTTCTAAACAAAATGTCTGTCTGTGTGTCAATCTAGATTCCACATTGGATCCTTTGGTTGCAAGCGAAGCTGCAATGGGTACAGCTAGTTTAATATAAAGGCTGAAGGTCTCCACTGACATCAATTGTATTTGACAAAGGACAAGAGTGCTGCAGTGAATATCTAATATGTGCAATCTGTTCAATGACAAACACCTGTTAGGTGCTCCATTTCCTACAAGCCTCCTCCAACACCATCACTAAAGTGTCACTTCTTCCGTCAATAAGAAGCTCCTGGTTGAGCAGGCCCAGCACACGGGAATCGCCCATGCTCAGCACAGGAACACCAGACTTACAGTGAGGAATTCTGAATCAATTGGGAGTTGGAGGAAGATTTGTTGCAATTAAAAATTACAGTAGGAACTTGGCTCAGCTGATAACACTTACCTCCCATTTCCCCAAACCCTGTAGTTTACTCCTTTTTAGGTTTATTTCCCTTTTGAAAGTCAGCATAGATTCTCTGTCTCACTAGAATCACCCTTCTTGCAGATTATAAACCACAATCAGTTTGGATACATGGGTTTCCACGTGTCAGATACCTGACACCAAAAAAAATTGGTTGCGTGAAAACATTTCCCCGAACCTTCCCCATTTAATGATTTACTGACTATCCTACAGTCACGTGCAGGGGTTATATATTTATATGCACCTAATCGGTGATATCATCCGCAGACACTGGATTAACTTTTACAGGATGACATATAATTCTCTCTGCCTCGACTCCAGCACCACTGCTGTCCTGGTGGACTGTCTTGCCTGTCAGCTTCAGTCTTGTCAACATTCAACTTCAGAAAGTTGACTTTTGAGACAAAACTGAAGCTTTCCTGCTTGGCTACTGTCAGCGCCTCCTCACTTCATGGATGCACTCTTGCACCTCATCCAGCCAGTACTTTGGTGTCCTGTTCGATGCTCAGCTATCCTTTAAAACCCCACTTCCTTGCCATGACATGTTCTGCCTTCCCTCATCTCTGGAACATTGTTCACCTCCACCACTCTGTAGTGGCGAAAGCGGGCAAAACCCCTCGGGCCGCTGAGATCCTCACCCACGCTTTCATCACATCCAGCCTTGATATGCTAACTTCCTGTTTGCCGTAATTCCCAGCTCTTCCCTCCACAAGTTACAGATTATTCAGAACTCTGCAGGGCATATCCTTTCTCGCATTAAGCTGCTTGAGCCGATCACTCCCATCCTCGCCCAACTTACTTTGGCTATCCCCCAGAGGATCAAGTTTAAGATCCTCGTTCTCACTTTCAAATCCTTCTACTATCTTGCTCCTCCCTACCTTTGCAATCTCTTAATACCTGACTAACCTTCCCTCTCCCATGTTCGGTGGGCACTGTCCTCCACCATTTCATCTTCACATTACACCTGAAGACTTTCCTCTTTGATCGTGCTTATAGTTACCTCCCTCCTCATCCTTGCTCAGCATCAAGCTCCGCCAATGTTAAGGTTTCAGAGATGCATTCCTATATGAAAGGCGGTATAGAAATGCAAATTTTTTGGTGGGGTCAGATATGTCTGACACATGTGGAAATCCATTACCATGCTTATGAGTATCCAAACCAAACTGAGAATTCAATGCACCCCACCTACACATGGAAATTCCAGAGATAGACTGTTGGAATGGAGTGCACTCTCTCCCTGGAGCGACACATCCAGCTTACCTAATTCTGGATATCAAGGTCAATTTCTCTGCATGAAGGGTGCTATTTATATTAAATATTATTTGTATTAAATGCAAGTTGAGCATTGTTGGACATCCTCCATATGTGAAAGGCGCTCCTCACATTTGTCTGGACTAAATTCCATTTGCCATTTCTCTGTCCAATCCAAGTCCTTCTGAAGCTGCTTAGAAATCTTCTTCACTATTAGCTATTTTCTCTATTTTTCTATGTAGCTCTACTTTCGTGTCACCTTGAAATTTAGAAATTGAGCACCTTATACCAGAATCCAGATCATTTATATAGAGAAAAGCAGTGGTTCTAACACTGCTCCCTGGGGGACACCACTAGTTACATCTCTCTATGCGAATAACAAACCTGTACTCCCACCATGTTGTCATCATTTAACCAACTTTCTATCCATGCTGCTACTTTTCCATTAATACCATTTTTAACAAGCCTCCAATGCACCACTGTAACAAAAGCTTTCTGGATTCCACATATACCACATCAATACCTTCATCTATTCTCAATTATTTCATCAAAAAACTCTTTCAGAATTGTCAAGGAAGTCTTGCCTTTAGACTGTCATGTCCTCCTGATGAGAAAGGTGCTATACAAATGTAATTTTGTTGTTGTTGTTAATGTATAAACCCACACTGACTATCTTTAATTAACCCATGTCTGCCAAGTGCTTTGAGCCATCCTCCCAATGTGAAAGGCAATGTGCAAATACATTTTATTCTGGGTTCACATCAAGTTTATAGTTTATGGCCTGATCCAGTGACACGTAGGATGGGCCCACAACTGCTTGAATATAAGAAATGCTAAACAAAAAACAGACCTTCCTGACGGTTGCATGCACAATACAACTACTTATGTATTGTATTCTATAATGTTATTTCCTAAAAGAGAACTATCTAATCTGTGTTTGAAGGAATCAACACTTCCTGCTTCAACTCCCCCTACCAACCTGCCTGCTCCCTCCGTTCAGCGGGCTTCGGCCTGCTCCATGTCTCCTGCCCGACACGCCCTACCATCGGTGGCCAGACTTTCAGCCTCTCTGCCCCCACACTGGAACTCCACGATCCCTTCGCCTCATTTCCTCCCTTATCTCCTTCAAGGCTGGTCTCAAGACCCTTCTCTTCAACCGTGCCTTTGTTCGCTCTCCCACCTCTCTGCCTTCTTCCACCCCTACAACCCCCCTCCCCCATGCTCGGGCCCCGACACCTGACTGTTCAGCACTTTGGGACGTCCTCCCGACGTGAAAGGCGCTCTATAAATGTAATTTTGTTGTTGTTTCCCTTAGAGAGTATGTTCCTCAGGTTTACTATTCGCTTCACATCCCTCACTACAGCGCCTTCGGTTTCCCCTCCCCAATTCCTGGCCCCTTCCTTCTCCTATCTGTTGACACTCAACATCCACTCGGTTATAAATCACATCCACCTGAAAAGGGAAGAAGTGGGAGGGTGAATGAGCCACGTGTAACCTATACCTGTGTGTCAACCTGCCTCATTGGTAGCACTTTCACCTCTGAGGCAGAAGCCTTTTTGGTTGGTCCACAAAATAATCATAGCGACTGTGCATTTTGCAGATGAATGCAGCAGCCAATCTGTACAAGCAATGCCTCATGAACAGTCACGAAATGAACGACCAATTTTATTTGATTATGTCACGGTCACCTTGTTTAGATTAATGATCCACTTCTTCTGTTGGGGTTATTAATATAGATGTTCTGTATATATTGAGATTTTGTGCAGAGCGGGACGCTTTCACCTTAAGTGGATTTATGGTCCAGGAACCAAAATATAATTTAAGAGCGGCAAGGACAGCCTTGGAGACAGCCTGTGACCTCGGTAAGTTACTGAAACAAAGAATGGAAAGGATCACGTGGTCCTGAAGGGGGAAACCTACTGATACATAAAAAGGGAAGAAGATTTAAAATGGAGGAGAAAAGTATCAATGTGATACACTGAAAGGATTTAGGACAATATAATTGGAAGAGATTCGCTGAACTTGTGATCGCTCTTCGCCTTGTGTGTCATCAAGGAGGTACATGCCTGATCTGAGAGCCTTGCCATAATACATGCTGCTTCTGGTTATGGATCAGACAGCTCCAACAGCTCACTTGTACCAAATCAGCATATCAAGTTCAATAAATTGGGCAACTGCTTTGCCATTTCAGATCAAAAGATGCTACAAGTTGATTTAGAATTACAATATGAACACACTGAACAAAAGTACTTGATTTTAATAAAAATAATCCTTGCATTTGATACACTGCAAAGTGGTTTGATTATGTATTTTATGGATGAAATAATAAGGTCTTATATGCAGGGTAACCAAAACGTTGTTACTATCACAATGTCTAATACGTCTTAAAGAAATTATTTATTGTAGATAATAGGGTAATTATCACAACTTTTTGGTCACACTGTAGATTGTATGTAACATCTCAAAATGCTTCATATACAATTACTGTCAAGTGTAGTGACGATTTGTAGGCCTTCACACACAAGATCCCACACTCATCCACGGGGTAGATCAGTGGTCCAAACTTTTGGCTGCTGTGAACCGGATCCCTATTTGAGAAACATCTGCAGGTCGCATAAGCAATAGGTTTCCCTTCGAGAAACACTAAATTTATCTTTTTTTAAAAAACACAGTACCTTTTTCACGTTGGAAGGATGTCTCAAAGCACACGACACTGGCAGCTACCTACCTGAGCTGAGAGGTGGGATGGGAAGGTAAGTCTCTGGCCCGGGCAGCTCCTCTACCTCTCTTTCTTGCGTGCAATTGCCCCCTGTCACTCTCATAGTACACAAGCCTGTACCTCTCTCTCCGCACACCCTCCACCTCCTCTCCCCCCCCCCCCTCTTGTTGTGTTTCTCTCACACACAATCACTTTCTCTCTCTCTCTCAATCAGCTGTGGTAGTGGGAACAGCCGCTCTCCCGGCCATATCACACACTGCAGTAACGGCCGGCACTATTTTCACTCCTTACAACTGTGTCATCCCAACCATGAAGACTCCCATGGTCTCAGGCCAAATGACCCGCCTGAGGTAAATGATCAATTAATCTGAAGGAACAGGTCCAGAACATGTGGCATGATTTGAATTTGAACAGGGTGGGCCTGAAGACGAATGGATAGTAGCAATGATTGCCATGGTCTGGGGCATGACCACCCAATTTCTCAACATAACCTAGGCTCCAAGACAATGATCCATATACCAGCAACATTGTCTGATACCAGAAAGGTTCAGCCACATCTGGAACAGTGCTAAGTCAAATCGACAGCAATCAATGAAAGCACCTGACGGAAAAGTTTAGAAGCGTACACTGGGTTGCATCGCAGTAACCACAAATATAAAATGAACAGAACTTGACGATTTTCCTTGTTTGTTAATACAATTATAGCATCACCAATAAAAAGTCCTCAATGATAAGACAAAGACCCTGAACACAGAAACTGAAAGAGAACAAATCCAATAATTGTAGCTAACTGTAAGTAACCTTGCTCAGGCTCCAACTCCACCTATGAGAAGTCCTTCAAAATGTAATCGTATAAGATTTTAAATAAGTAAACTTGCCCAATTTGAATCGGTTTTTATTCCAGACAGATGCTTATTTTATCTTGAATGTTTTTAGCAAACTGACTAGAAATGAAACCGAGTCCCAGGTCGTAAGATCGCCACAGAAAATAAGCCCACAGTGAAAAAGTGACAATCAGTGCTGCCTCACACAGAGACATGGTAAGGAAATTTTCAGGAATGAGGCCAATTTATGGTAAGTAAATCTCTAAGTAAATCTCACCCTTATCTCTCTGGACGAGAGACAACTTTCTTCAGCTCAACGTACGCAAAACTGAGGCCCTCCTGATTGGCTCATCTCAGCGCCTCTGCACTTCAGGCGCTGACAGCATCAGCATCCAAGGCTGCACTCTCCACCTCTCAAAGCCAGTCAGGAACCTCGGCGTTCTGTTCGACCCTGAGCTGTCCTTTCTCCCCCATATCCGCACCACAACTGGCACCGCCTTCCATCACCTCCGGAATGTCGCCAGACTACGGCACTACCTCACCCCTCACGCTGCTGAAACTCTGGTCCACACCTTTATCACCTCAAGGCTGGACTATGGGAACTCTCTCCTCGCCGGCCTTCCCGGCACCTCCCTCCACAAGCTGCAGGTCATTCAGAACTCTGCAGCTCGTGTACTGTCCCGCACCAGGCTTCGGGACCACATCACTCCCACCCTCGCTCGCCTCCACTGGCTCCCCATCCCCCAGAGGATTGATTTCAAGATCCTCATCCTCACCTACAAGGCCATTCACGGCCTTGCTCCCTCCTACCTCTCCAACCTACTATCCCCCTACCTACCTGCCCGTACCCTCCGTTCCTCTGGCTCTGGTCTGCTCCACATCCCCCGCCCCAACCGCCCTACCATCGGTGGTCGGGCCTTCAGCCTCTCAGCCCCGAGGCTCTGGAACTCTATCCCCCAGTGCCTTCGCCGCCTCCTCCCTTTCCTCCTTCAAGGCCGGTCTCAAGACCTTTCTCTTTGACCGTACCTTCAGCTCCCCTCTCGACTCTCTACCCCCTCCTCCTCCCTCCCTTCCCTCCCCGTGACCATTTCCCCCCAATGCTCGGGTCCTGACCCAACTGTACAGAGCCTTGGGACGTCCTCCCGACGTGAAAGGCGCTCAATAAATGGAATCTTGTTGTTGTTGTTGTTGTAAGTATAGTAAAACTCGCATACATCTTCCTCATAAAGCATACAATCGCCTAAATCAGCATGGTCCAACAGGGGGAATAATACCAGCCAATACTGCAGTCTGTCAGGAAGGCAGGCGCTTCTCCTCCCAACCATGGTCTGAGCAACCACGTCAGCTGCTGTTACTGCAGACAGTGGCTGTGGGAGAGAGAGGGGTATTGAGAGGGGGCGGGGAGGTGGGGAGCGCGAGAGGAGGGGAGAGAGTTAAGAAAGGGGGAGCAAGAGAGAGATTGAAAGACGGAGAAGGGGGAGATACAGGAATGAGTGAATGTGAGGTAGAAGCAGAGAGCGAGTGGGGGGAGCGAGAGACACACACGCGCGCTCCGCCCCCCCCTCGCGCGCGCGCACTCCGCCTCTCCCCCTAACACACAGATTGAGCCCATCTGCCCCGGTACACACCCACTCACTCAGCCCCTCTCCCCCACACACATACCACTCAGCCCCACCTCAGACACACACACTCCCTTCCCCTCCTTTGAGACGACCCTCGAGTGTTGAACATAAAAGTCATTGTATAAACAGACTTGCCTGATATCGACCCCTCACTCACTCTCTTTCTTTCGTTACCTTTTCTCGTCCAACCTCCACTTTCTTCCTTCTCTCTTCGTCCTCCATGACCGAGGTCGGTGCGGAGTCCGATGCCCAAGGCTTCACGAACCGTCACTAACGGCTCCTCTTCAGAGGAACAACATGGCCGCTGACCGGAGTGATTAACGGCCGCTCCGACCAATAAGCTGCTCTCACCAAAGGACCCTGAACCACGTGATAGCACCAGGCCCCGCCTGTCGCTTAACCAATGAAAGAGCGCATCTGAGGCCAACCAATCGCAGAGTGCGTGGTGTACCTGTCACCCAATCAATTTGGTGCAAGCTGCCGAGCCCATGTTATGATTGGCGAAGCTCACCAGCCAATTACATGAGGAACACGGCGCGGGGAAACTTAACCAGACCAATGCCAGCAACTCCGAATCGTCATCAGTGTGGCAGTTGGGTGCGCGTGCACTCTCCCGCCACAGAACAAGCGCGTCCCTCCACACACACCCACCCCTCCCCGCCACACACCAACGCACACAGCTGTACACCATCCCTCCCTCACAGCCTCACACCATCTCCCCCATTCCTCACAGCTCCTCATTTACCACTCAATGCACCTCGTGCAGCCTTACCTCCTGTCACCACAGTGATCCTGAATTACTTGTATCTTTGACCAGCTCTTCAATCCCATCAAGAAGGGTGCAACAACAACAACAACAAAATTACATTTGTAAAGTGCCTTTCACATCAGGAAAATGTCCTAAGGCGCTGGACAGACAGAATTACGAACCCGAGCTGGGGTTGGGGTGGGGGAGGGTGGAGGGCAGTGGGGGGGAAGCACGGAGATCGAAAGCATGGTCGAACAGGAGGGTTTTGAGATGGGTCTTGCAGGTGGCAAGGCAGGGGATGAGGCGGAGAAACCTGTGGATGGAGTTCCAGAGGGTGGGGGCAGAGTGGCTTGAGGCCCGCCCACCAAAAGTGGGGCAAACAAGATGGGACGTGAAGCAGTCCGCTGAGCGGAGGGAGCGAGCAGGATAGTAGTAGGTGAGGAGGTCGCAGAGGTAATGGGGAGCAAGACCATGCAGGACTTTGAAGACAAGGACCAGGATCTTGAGCTGTATCCTGTTTGATGGGAAGCCAGTGGAATCGAGCGAGGATCGGGGTGATAGAATCGCGGAGCCTAATGCAGGAGAGGACACGGGCTGCAGTTCTAGATGATCTGCAGACTGGAGGGATGAGTTGGGGAGGCCAACAAACAATGACCTTGCATAAGCCTCGATGTAATATTGAGCTTCAGAAAGCATGTCTGAGGGTTTCAGCTGGGACAATCTACAACAACAAGGTTACATTTGTATAGCGCCTTTCACGTCAGGACATCCCAAGGCACTGGATAGTGTACAGCATTTCAGCACACACCCCCTATCATGGTGCTCTGCAGCCCGTGTCCTCTCCCGCATTAGGCTCCACGACCCTATCACCTCCATCCTCGCTCGACTCCACTGGCTTCCCATTAAACAGGATACAGCTCAAGATCCTGGTCCTCGTCGTCAAAGCCCTCCATGGTCTTGCTCCCCCCTACCTCTCTAATCAACAGCACGCACACCCTGACTGGCTCCTATAAAATGGATGCTGCTTTGGCAATGTCCTTTTTTTTGGTCAGCCAGGTGTCGGACATCACCATGAGTATCCAAACCAAACCGAGAATTGCATATATTCCACCTACACATGGAAATCCCAGAGATAGATTGTTGGAATGGAATGCACACTCTCGCTGGAGGGGTGCATCCCGCTTACCTAATTCTGGAAAGTATTAGGAGCAGATTGGCAAGAGCCAAGGCTTGGGAATCCTACCACGTGTGTTGGGGTAACTGCTGAAGTCTAACCAGCTAAAACCACATAGCTTACGATTGATATCTTGTCTGGCAAGCTTTCCCACTGCTTGTCCAACTGGGACCAACATTAGGGTTTGGCTTACAGGGTTAACAGGAGCTGAGTGGGAGGAGTCCCTGCTCCAAGTGACTGGTCTGCAATTCCAAGTCCTGCTGTGCTGTCGGCAGTGCCCTGGAATACTGCGGACCTGCCTGGCTCAGGAACCGCACTACCGAGATTGGCTTGATTTCAACATTCCATTGCCAAACGTGTCACCTTGAAGTCAGTTGAGCTCGAAGGAGAACCCGCTTACTTTCTCCCAACTCCCCCCAGGAGTCAATCGTTAGTCGTTTGACATCCAACAAAAGGTTTGAGTTCTCACTACGTGGACGGTACATAATAGGAACTCTCTGTGAGCTTCCCGCTCCAAAGCTCAGTATGAAATACATGAAAGCATTGACACCATCTTCCTGTCTGAAGCTTGAGCACATATCCCTTCCCATTGAGCGATAGTTCAACCAATTGGAGATGCGGAGCTTGAGCTGCAGCTGCTTATCTCTGCAAGCCAATCAGTGGATTGTAGGTGCTGGACGCACAAACTCGTGTCACAAACTCGGACTCCAGGTAAAGCCTTCCAGTAATTGTCACCCCGATCCTCAGAGTTTCTTCATCAGCTATCTGCGGACATCTGCCTTCAGCGTGGGTGGGAGGACATTTACAGTATAGCTTGTGATGTCTAGCCACCTTGATGTTTTTGAGGTCAAAGTCAAATGCTGCATACCAGGCTTACTCAGCACTTAATCCAGGTACTCGAGCGAGGGGCCTTGGCAAATAAGACTCTGTAAAGCCACCTCCACCTCCATATATATATATATATATATATATATATGTACCATCAGTTTGTTCACTCGACACCATGAGTTGGTCTGGTGAGGAGCCATGTCCCTTACTTGGTGGCAATTTGTCAATTTAATAAATCCATCGATCGCCTTACCCTGTCCTGGATCCAAGGCTTCAATATTCTGTGTACAATCCAGAGACTCAATTCATTACAGCCAGAATCTGCCTTCTTGCCATAAGTGCTCCTAAAATGAGGAGCTGTTTCTCTCAATCACTGATTTCAATCTAAATTGAACACCCTATGATCCCCAGCCATTCAGATCACCAATACACTACACGCTCACTTAGATATTTAGCTAACAACTATTGTATTCTCATTTACAAATAAACATTTAACTGCAGCTTCCAAATGCATCTTTAATACAGAAAAATAACGTGCCAGATTTTAAAAACAAATTCTGCATTTAACAGATTTCCCAAGCCAGTGACCATGATGCATGCAGCTCCGGTATAAACTAAATTACTGTGTGCCCTGTATACATCATACAGATCATACTGTATACATCATACATCATATCATACATCATACAGAATATTCTCTAGGTCACACACATCACACACATGTTGGAAAAGAAAGACACTCATGCCGACTGGGTATGTGTGGGATGCATCTACCGGTATTAAGCACTCAACAGATCTTGAGCATCCAATAGGTTTGTATGAATGAATGGACAGCTCCTCAGCTCATACACAAACTCCTCACTGCCTTGCGTCACTTGTCAGGATCCCAAGTACACATTAGATTTCTTTGCTTCCACGTGTTCAAATTAATGTCAGGCACGGTTTGTTTAACCAGAGTTCATTTCTAAAATTATAAACATGAAAATCATAAGAAACAATGGAGCCGCCAACACACAGCACAGTATGAGCTTCAGCGGAGTTCTGCCTTAGGCACAGGTTCCAGGTCTCTGCTGTCTGCTTCACGTGTCTGTAAGGTCCAGGAGAGTGGCCAGGTGCCGCTCACATGCCATCTCTTCCTCCTGACTGGCCCGGATTAAACGGTTAAACTTGTTCATCTTATCCGATAGCGTCAGGGTGGAATCTTTCAGCCACCCACAGTCATTCACAGCCACTTGTTGGTTGTGACCACCCGCAGCAGCCATCTACAAAAGTAACACACAAAAATCAGCACTTGGCCACACAAGATTTTCAGACAATCCCAGGAGCAGGAACAGGTTACCTGTGGTGAGACTGGAGTTGTGACCCTGTCCAAGGGCAAGATCCCTTCGGCAGCCCAGACCACAGTTTGTGGCAGGCAGAGCGGGAGCATGAACGCCTGATCGGAGCCCTCATCCAGCCAGCGATACAGCTGATCCTCACACCTGCAGCAACAAACACACAGTTCGGTCATGTTTCATTCAACACACTTAGACTTCAGACACGCTGTACGGTAACTTGGTAACTTCAGAGTCAGTAGAATATGGAACACCCACAATCAGCAGTGAAGACTGAAGAAATCTGCTGAAGATAGAAGGTATCTTGTAGATCCTGTTTCTGGAGAAAACCTTACAAATGATTGCAAAAGTGACCTTGTTTTACTCAAGCAGTCCCCAAACCTTGTTTTTTGCCATCCTGCACCTAATTAGGTAAGCAGGATCCATGGAGAGAGTGCGCATTCCATTCCAATACATGGGAATTGTCATCTCAAGGTGGCATACATATGTGTCTGGTTTGGATATTCCATGCATACTGCCAGGTTTCAGCATAGTGCATTCCGCATCCAGCTGACCAGAAAAATCCCTTTCAAACACACCCTTTGAAAGATGAGAATGTGCTAGAAACAACGTCGAAAGAGAAAATCACGCATTCATCACATCTAGACTCGACTACGCCAACTCCCTGCTTGTCGGCTTTCCCAACTCTTCCCTCCATAAGCTGCGAATCATCCAGAACCCATGTCCTCTTCCGTATCAAGACTCCTTGATCCTATCAACACCAGCATCACCACCGTCATCCGGCTCCATTGGTCCCCATCTCCCAGAGGATAGAGTTCAAAATCCTTGTCCTCACCTTCAAGGCCCTCCACGGCCTTGCCCCCTCTTACCTCTCCGACCTGCTAACCCCATATCAACCTGACCACTCCCTGTGGTCTGCTCCACGTCCCGCCCCACCATCGGCGATCGATTCTTCAGCTTCTCTGGCCCCACTTTTTGGAACACCATCCCACATTCCCTTGGTCTTGTTCCCTCGCTCTCTTCAAGGCACATCTCAAGAACCTCCTCCTCAACCGCGATTTCAGCCACCCTCCAACCCTCCACCCTGCCTGATCACAACCCCCAGCTCGGGTCCAAATCCCTGACCGTCCTGCACCTTGGGACATACTCCCGTGAGTGGGAGAGCTCTGAAGAGCTCTGTAAGCAGCCGACTCAGTTTATAACACAAACTCCATACAGCTTTTGGGAGGCAGGTATTGCCTTAAACAACAGCAGATAATGACCACCCTCCCTCTAGCAAAAAAGTCAATACAAGGTCAAATGTACAACAACAAGATTCCATTTATAGAGCGCCTTTCACGTCGGGAGGACGTCCCAAGGCACTGTACAGTTGGGTCAGGACCCGAGTAGGGGGGAAATGATCAGGGTGAGGGGAGGGAAGGGAGGGAGCGAGGAGGGGGTAGAGAGTCGAGAGGGGAGCTGAAGGCACGGTCAAAGAGAAAGGTCTTGAGACCGGCCTTGAAGGAGGAAAGGGAGGAGGCGGCGAAGGCACTGGGGGATGGAGTTCCAAAGCCTCGGGGCTGAGAGGCTGAAGGCCCGGCCACCGATGGTAGGGCAGTTGGGGCGGGGGATGTGGAGCAGACCGGAGTCAGAGGAACGGAGGGTACGGGCAGGTGGGTAGGGGGATAGTAGGTCGGAGAGGTAGGAGGGAGCAAGGCCGTGAATGGCCTTGTAGGTGAGGATGAGGATCTTGAATTCGATCCTCTGGGGGATGGGGAGCCAGTGGAGGCGAGCGAGGGTGGGAGTGATGTGGTCGCGAAATGTAAAGTATTTCTAAACTAGCGCACACACTGCTGACGTATGCAGAGGTATGAAGCCCCATGAGATATGGTGCCCATTGAGACTCACTTACCTTCGATTCTCCACGAGTTCTGATTCAATCCCTGAAAGCAGTTGTTCTGGTAGAAGCTCTGCTGCTGATGGGATGCTGGTGATATCCATGGCGGAGGCACCCCTGCTCGCAAGGCTATCATTAGAGACGCAGGCTGGAGGGACAGACCGGCGCTTCCTCAAACACACAGTCTGCTTGTGTGGCATCCTGGGGCAGAACCAGAGTCAGTGCCTTCCCTTCCCAGGCCTGAGCCTCCCACCACACCAGCCTGAGCTCCCCATCCCGCACCGCCCCCGCCCCCGGGCTCGAGACTCCCCCTGCTCATCCTGGGCCTGAGACACCCCTGGCCTGAGCCACTCTGTAGGAAGGGCTGTGCTCGAGGGCCTCAGTACCTGGCAGACAGTTGCTGAATGTCCCTCTGGGTGCGAGTCCGGGCCTGATGCCACAGTGCTGGGGGCGAATACTTTGTGACGTCCTCCGGGAAGTAATAGAGAAGAATCTGTCCATCTTCACTCACAGCTTCCCAGAAACAAGCAAAGAGCATAAATGTGAGGGGCTTCTTAGAGTCAACACATTGCCCCCTCCCTCAGCAACATCCCCTTCCCTCAGCCAGGATACAAGTTTTGTGTCACACCAACACCACCCAGCCACGGGATAGGTGGGGTGGGGGGGGTGGGAGTTGAGTTGACTGTAGTAATGGTTGAACAGCAAGATACAGTTGCTCATAAAAAGCTGGTACTGAGAATAAGGAAAGCAGGAATCAGTGGAATGGAAACTTAATTCCCTGTACCACCACCAATAGAACTCAGAGGGAATGTCATCAGGCTGGGAGAATGTTACCAGTGGAGTTTTACAGGGATCTCTTTTATTTAACATTTTAGGGCCTCTTTTATTTAACATCTTATTAAACAACCTTGAGCAAGGAGTAACAAACACAGTGCCTACATTTGCAGATGACACAAAGCTAATGAAGGTGGTAGACTGCAAAGATGAATAGGATTGGTTTCAGAAGGACTTGAACGTACTTGGGAATTGGGCAGATTGATGGGAAATGTAATTCAATACAGAGAATAGCTAAATGCTTCACATGGGGACAGATAATAATCTGTACGGAAAATGAAAAGGACCTGGGTGTCCCGATTGACAATAAATTTAAGCTATCACAAAAACCTTACAGTGAGTAAGGCAAACCGGATGCTGGGTTGTATTAAAAGGTCAATGTTAAGTCAAAATCCAAGAATCATAGAATTATACAGCACAGAAGTAGGCCATTCAGCCCATTGTGTCTGTGCTGGCTATTTGAAAAGAGCTATCCAATTCAATCCCATTCCCCTGCTCTTTCCCCATAGCCCTGCAAACTTGTCCTCCCAAATAATTATTTACTTCTCTCTTAAAAGCTGTTATCAAATCGGCTTTCACCACCATTTCAGGCTATACGTTTCAGATCTGAACAACTCGCTGTGTAAAAACAATCCTCCTCTCTGTTTCTTTTAACAACTATTTTGAATAGTGAGGTAATCCTGCCACTTTCCAAATCACTGGTGCGACTGCACTAGGAACATTGTGTGCAGTTCTGATCACCGCAATATAAAAAGGATATTGCAGCAATTCAGAGGATAGAGAGGGCAACCAAAATGCTGGAGGGGATGGAGGGAGTGGACTAGATGGAGGGAGTGGACTAGGAGCAATTAGACAAACTGAGTATGTTCACTTTGGAGAAGAGAGGATTGAAGGGAGACATGATTACAGTTTTTAAGATTCTGAAGGGACTAGATAATGTAGACCATGATAATCTGTTTTATCTTGTATTCAACAGTAGAACCAGAGGACACAGTCTGCGATTGAAGGGGGATAAATTCATGACAAATCTGTGGAAACACCACTTCAGTGAACGAGTAGTAAACGTATGGAAAAGGTTCTCCAAGGAGACGGTGGAAGCAGAAAGTGTTGTTTGTTTTGACAACAAATTAGATAGATTTCTGTTAGAAAATAATGTATCAGGATACAATATAGTTTGGGACATGACATGTCAAGCAACTGCCAGGATGGTAAAAGGCGAACTGGATGGACCTTGGTCTTCATTTGTCTAGCAAATTCTTATGTTTCTATGTTCTTAGGACCATGCTACCCATTCGGGCTTTGGCTTGCAGGGTTAACAGGAGCTGAATGGAATGACTCCCTGCCCCTATTGATTTGCCCTTCTAGGTTCTGCCAATGAGCAGGGCCAATAGAAAATTGCGGGGTGTTTGCCACAATTTTGCGGGGAAGTGCGGAGGTTGAGATGCATTTTGTGAAACAACCCAGATTAAAACTACAGGCATATATTTCCTGAACATATAGTTATGTTCAACATACTAAGTATTCATCGCAGGAGCTCAGTTTAGACCGGGAATGCCGGGCGAAGCCAATTTTCCATTCGCACTGCTTCTGCCATCCCAACACTCCCCGCCCATCCCCATACTCCCCATGACTGGAGCCGTTCCCCCCACAGTAGCAGCAGCGAGCAGAAGCCCGGGGCCAAGCACACTGTGAATACAGGTTTGTAGCGGAGGATGTGTGTAGCGGAGGGAGAGGTCTAGCGGAAGTGGTGTGTGGAGTGGGAGGAGGAGTGCAGCGGAGAGTGTTTGTGTAGCGTATTCTGCGGTAAAAGGCCGGCCACAATTTTCTATTGGCACAGCGATGAGCCAGACTGGCTGTGCTGTCATCAGCAGTGCCCTGGAATACTACAAACCCATCTGGCTCAGAAACCAGACTACTGAGACTGCCACAGGGCTGGCTTGATTCCGGCAATCCATTTAGATTTTGTGAATGGTGGCGCTTGGGAGACTGTTGAGGAGGGCAATGGAAAATTTGAGGTGACAAACACTGGGGACAGTTTCAACAGCGTTCAGTGTGAGGTATGGTCGCAGACAGGCGAAGTGGCAGGGCCTGGGTACCACCCAGTCACTCACCGGTAGGGCACAGCTTGCTGGGCAGGCTGCAGTCTCTCAGCCGATGATCAATACAGAGTGCAATAATCTCATCCCAGGGTACATGGCAAGCGGCCAGCTCCAAGCCTGCGGTGACACTGTTTCCCTCCTTCCACTCATCGGACACTCTGTTCAGCACCCGCACGACCCTGGAGAGCAGCAGTGGCCAGGTCTGCTGCGAGGCTGGTATCTGAGATACGTAAGCTAGGATCATGTCATAAAGCTCCGGCCACGAAGCTGGGGAACAGAAAACAAGTTCAATACAGCAGCGACCGACACTCAACACAGCGTGACGCGACTGACACTCAACACAGCGTGACGCGACTGACCCTCAACACAGCGTGACGCGACTGACACTCAACACAGCGTGACGTGACTGACACTGAACACAGCGTGACGTGACTGACACTGAACACAGCGTGACGTGACTGACACCGAACACAGCGTGATGTGACTGACACCGAACACAGCGTGACACGACTGACACTGAACACAGCGTGACACGACTGACACTGAACACAGCGTGACACGACTGACACTGAACACAGCGTGACACGACTGACACTCAACAGAGTGTGACGCGACTGACACTCAACAGAGTGTGACGCGACTGACACTCAACACAGCATGACGCGACTGACACTCAACACAGCGTGACGCGACTGACACTGAACACAGCGTGACGTGACTGACACTGAACACAGTGTGACGTGACTGACACTGAACACAGCGTGACGTGACTGACCCTGAACACAGCGTGACGCGACTGACACTGAACACAGCGTGATGCGACTGACACTGAACGCAGCGTGACGCAACTGACACTCAACACAGCGTGACATGACTACACTCACCACAGCGTGACATGACTGACCACCCGCACCAGGCTTCAGGACCACATCACTCCCACCCTCGCTCGCCTCCACTGGCTCCCCATCCCCCAGAGGATCGATTTCAAGATCCTCATCCTCACCTACAAGGCCATTCACGGCCTTGCTCCCTCCTACCTCTCCGACCTACTATCCCCTACCTACCTGCCCGTACCCTCCGTTCCTCTGGCTCCGGTCTGCTCCACATCCCCCGCCCCAACCGCCCTACCATCGGTGGTCGGGCCTTCAGCCTCTCAGCCCCGAGGCTCTGGAACTCTATCCCCCAGTGCCTTCGCCGCCTCCTCCCTTTCCTCCTTCAAGGCCGGTCTCAAGACCTTTCTCTTTGACCGTGCCTTCAGCTCCCCTCTCGACTCTCTACCCCCTCCTCGCTCCCTCCCTTCCCTCCCCTCACCCTGACCATTTCCCCCTTCCTCGCTCCCTCCCTTCCCTCCCCTCACCCTGACCATTTCCCCCCAATGCTCGGGTCCTGACCCAACTGTCCAGCGCCTTGGGACGTCCCCCCGACGTGAAAGGCGCTCTATAAATGGAATCTTGTTGTTGTTGACACTGAACACAGTGTGACGTGACTGACACTCAACACAGCGTGACACGACTGACACTCAACACAGGGTGACATGACTGACACTCAACACAGCGTGACGCGAATGACACTCAACACAGAGTGGCGCGACTGACACTCAACACAGCGTGACTCGACTGACACTCAACACAGCGTGACGCGACTGACACTCAACACAGAGTGGCGTGACTGACTCTCAACACAGCGTGATGCGACTGACACTCAACACAGCGTGACGCGACTGACACTCAACACAGAGTGGCGCGACTGACTCTCAACACAGCGTGACGCGACTGACACTCAACACAGCGTGACGTGACTGACACTGAACACAGTGTGACACGACTGACACTGAACACAGTGTGACGCGACTGACACTGAACACAGTGTGACGCGACTGACACTGAACACAGCGTGACGCGACTGACACTGAACAGAGCGTGATGTGGCTGACACTGAACACAGCATGACGTGACTGACACTCAACACAGCGTCGACGCGACTGACACTGAACACAGCGTGACGTGACTGACACTCAACACAGCGTCGACGCGACTGACACTGAACACAGCGTGACGTGACTGACACTGAACACAGCGTGACGCGACTGACACTGAACACAGCGTGACGCGACTGACACTGAACACAGCGTGATGCGACTGACACTCAACACAGCGTGATGCGACTGACACTCAACACAGCGTGATGCGACTGACACTCAACACAGCGTGACGCGACTGACACTGAACAAAGCGTGACGTGACTACACTCAACACAGTGTGCAGCAACTGACACTCTACACAGCATGACGTGACTGACAAGATTACAGCATGTGACAATGCTTGTACCAGTCTCTGCAGGCAGCTCCATGTCTGGAATCTGAAAGGACAGCACAGCGTCCCGCAGCCAGGCCAGGTGGCTGCCGGAGTTCCACTCCGTGTGTGCCAGGATGGGATGGGCCGCATGGCCGGTGAACTCAGCCAGGGGCCAGGAGAGGTGGCCCAAGCGCTCCGAGGAGACTGCACATGACAAGAAGTGCAGCACGTGATTGTAGAGTTGAATGATGGGCCGGGGTTCCTGGGAGGGCAGGCCTGACACCTGCCTCTCACACTGGTCACTGTAGAAATGGTCACTGAAGTCTCGACACAGCCCATCTTCCACATACTGCTGCAGAGTCTGGCAGCAGAGATTCGGGGGTGAGGGACAGTACAAGGCAAGCCACCCGACGGCCTCCGACACCTACACACAAACATCACCAGGTCAGGCAAGTTCTCCACAAATGAACAATTCACAGTTACACAGTGCCCTTCACCCATAATTACAGAGTCAGAAATATCAAGGGACAGGAGAGAAGGGGAAAGTGACCATAAGCACAATCAAAGAAGAAGGAATTTTGGTGAGACTCGAAGAAATATAAAGGTGAATGAGACGGAGGGGAAGTTGCCATAATGACTAATGGCTTGGCCAGTGATGGTGGCAAGGAGAGCGTGAGGGATGTGCAGCAACATGGAGTTCTGTAGCTCAGTGGTCAGAGCGCTCGCCTTGCAAGCGAGGGACCTGGGTTTGATTCCCAGCAGGGCAAAACCTTGGGCAAGTTTCCTTACTCCATATGCCTGAAAAAGTCCTTCAAGAAAAAAATAAATAAACTGGTGACTTCAATCCACAACTGTTTGTGGGACATTGCTGTGCGCAATTGGCTGCCGCGTTTCGCCCACATATTCACTTTACGGTATATTCTGTGAAGTGCTTTGGGACATCTAGAAGACACGAAAAGAGCTATATCAATTGTAAGAATTATTATTATTATAACCCTGAGTTAGCTGAGCAGAGGTGTAGGATCAAAGAAATAGGGAGGGGCTGGAGTGTGAAGGACTTAGCAGTGAGGTTGAGGTCCTTGCAATGGGTTCACTGGGAGACAGTGAGGTCTGGCGACAACTGGGGTGATGAGCATGCAGATGAGGATGCCGGCCATGGCATTTTGGGTTTTATAGATGGTGGAGCTCGAGATAGGAGCGAGCCTGGAGATAGACGAGGACAATGGGGCAGGCGATGAGGCGAGGGTGAAGAAAAACAGTGTTGGTCAAGGCGCAGCGTGAGGGAGAAAGCAAAGCTGAGGATTGAACCATGCAGCAGAGAGGTGAGAAGGTTGGAGCAGAGGATAATAGAAAAACTGATGAGAATCCAGAGAATGAAGTCACAAGCAAAGGAAAGAGAGCGTGGGAACGATTATGGAAATGGATGGCATATGGTGGGTGAGGGGTAAGACGGGGGTGAGGGTGGCCCAGGTCCATGCTGAGCAGACGTGCTGCATCACTTACCCGGTTGGTGTCCTGCAGGTCACTGGTTGAGCCAGAAATGGAAACAATCAAGTATTCGGATACCAGCCCACCAGTCACCAACTCCTCCAACTTCAGCCCTTCACGCACAAGACATGACTAAGCTCCACTCCAAGCTCCAAACCCCCTCACATTTCCCCACCCCACACATTCCACCCCCTTTCACACTCCCCACCCCCACTCTCCACACACATACCCCCACATACTTCCCCCCCCACACACATCGTCCCCTCACACAGATCCTCCCCTCGCACATAGGAACAGAAGTAGACCATTCAGCCCTTTGAGCCTGTTCCACCATTTAATCAGATCTGTACCTCAACTAATCCTTTCAATTCTAATTTCCCGCTTTCTCCCCATATCTCTTAAAACCCTGACCTATCAAAAATCTCTCAACCTCACTCTTGATGGTGTGGATGGATCCAGTATCCATGACCTTTTGGGGGAGAGAATTTCAAAATTCTACCACCCTTTGAGTGAAAAAATGCTTTCTGATTTCACTCTTAAATGGCCTGGTTTGAATTTTAAGACTATGCCCCCTTGTTTTGGATTCACCCACCAAAGGAAATAGCTTCTCTGTATCTACCTTACCGAATCCCTCTATCTTAAATACCCCAATCAAATCACCCCTCAACCTTCTAAACTCAAGGGAATGCAATCCAAGTTTACGCAGCCTTTCCTCGTAACTTAACCCTTTTAGGCCTGGTAACATTCTGGTAAACCTATGCTGCACCCCCTCCAGGGCCAATATATCTTTTGTGAGGTGTGATGCCTAAAACTGAACGCAGTACTCCAGATGGGGTCTGACTAACGCTCTATACAGCTCAGCGCACAGCTGCATAGATCATTTCTTCCCCGTTGTATTCCAGGCCCCTTGAGATAAAGGCCAACATTCCATTCGCCTTTTTGATTACTTTTTGCACCCAGGAACTAGTTTTTAGTGATTTGTGGATATGGACACCCAAACCTCTTTGCTCCTCCAGTTCTTAATTACTCCCCATTAAGAAAATATTCCACTTTATCTTTTATTGGTCCACAGTGGATAACCTCACACTTTCCTATGTTGAACTCCATCTGCCACAGTTTAGCCCACTTGCTTAACCTGTCTAAGCCCCTTTGTAGCTTCCATCTACACAACTTATTGAGCCTCCTAGCTCAGTGTCATCTGCACACATTACCCCCACCCACAATCCACCCCAATCGCCCATCCACCCCCTTCCCCCCTCACATCCACCCCACACCGCCTTACGTGGGTTTGTAGAGATCAGCCTCACCTTGCTGCACCTCCTCCAGGATGAGTGGAGAGTGGGGCTTGGGCACAAGGATGACAAGGGGCAAGGCAGGGTGCAGGGGTTTGGCCTGCAGGACCTGCCTGACCTGGAGCATGGCTGACAGCCAGTACACCTCCTCCTCAGCCGGGTCGCCAGGCTGCGTGCGGGCCCGCAGCAGCAGTAGTAGCCCCGTTGTTCCCAGCAGCTCCTTCCCCTGCTCTGCCTGCTCCAGGCCGGCCTCAGTCAGCGGGCCCTGAGTCGCCTGCACAATAGAGTAGTGCTTACAACACAAAACAACAACTTGTTGCACTTATATAGCACCCTCCATGCAGAGTAGCATCTCAGAGCACTTAACAGTGGCGGAGCCTGACTCCAAGCTGCGGGGGGGGGGGAGAGAGCCACCCCCACACCCGTCACAGGCACCTCACAAACGTGTGGACAATGCGGGGACAGGACTCACCTTTATACAGATATGCACAGGGCGAGGCCGGCTAGGAGAAGGGGCAGAGCTCACTGCGCTGCACAGTGAGAGGGTGGAGATGCCATTCAACGAGTGAATCACTCCACCGTCTCCACGAAACTTGTTTTTCAACCAATCAGCTAGAGCTCTGAACAGAGAAAAATATTAGATCCCACACGGGGAGTGGGGGGTAGGGGTCGCTGGGGTGGGAGGGGGTGGGGAACAGGTCAGGCGGTGGTGGGGACGTGGGCGGGAGGAGGCAGCCCAGGCTCTGTATGTTTTCTCACTTATTGATGTCACTGAGCCCATCATCCTCGTCACTTGGTAACAGCAGCACCAGCTTCCAGAAGATCCTATCACTCTGAGTCGGGACGCTCAGAGCCACCAGCGAGGCAAGATCTAGGGGGTTACAGGCAGCATCCCTGCAACAGGAAATCCATCATTTGTGGGCCAAAAGGCATCATCCAGGCCACCCTCCCTCCACACACACAGCCCTACATATATGCACATAGCAACCTACTTCACCGAGAGATGACAGTGCTCCCTCGACAGAGCATTCTCTGACACAACAGTGTAACAGTGCCTGATGTGCCCCTATATTGTATGTATTTTCCTACCAGAGCAGCTGTTGGTGAAAGTTCTGGATTCTCATCTGATAGTCTGTCTCCTTTCTCACCCACAGCAATCTGAAACCCCAACACACAAAACACTCAGGGTCTGCATTTGGCTGTGCCCACCCCACCTGAGCCCCGCTCACCACCTAGGCCTTGCCCACCCCACATGAGCCTGGTCTTGCAGGCCCCACCGACAACCCATCCTCACATCCCCATCATGCCCCGACACCCCAGCCACGCACCCACACACCTCAGCCCCGCACCACCCAGCCCCGACACACAACCCCCAGCCCCGCACCCACAGCGCCGACACACACACCCCAGCACCACACCCACACTGCCCCAGCCCCAACACACACCCACCTAGCCCCACACCCACACACCCACAGACCCGACACACGCACACCCCAGCCCCGATACATGCACCCCAGCCCTGACACACGCACACCCCAGCCCCGACACACGCACACCCCAGCCCTGACACACACACCCCAGCCCCGACACACACACCTCAGCCCCGACACCCACACCCCAGCCTTGACACACACATCCCAGCCCCAACACACACACCCCAGCCCCGTCCCACACACCCCAGCCCTGGCACACACCCCCTCCAACCCCGCACCCAAACACCCCCACCCCACAGCCAAAACCCCCCACCCCATAGAGGCAGAAGGACTGCAGTACCGTGTGCAGGAGATGCCCAGACTCTCAGGCCGAGCTTGGCTTGGCAACCCTGTTTCCATCTCCTCAGGTGCTGTCAAGGAGCTGGTGAGATGGGGGCAGTGATCACTCCAAGTGTGCAAACTGCCCGGTGCCGCAGGAAAGCTCCACATCTGTCTCCTCAGCTGCATGCGGGCAGCAGCGGTCGTTCTCCACCTGCTCAGGAGGAGGATGGGTCAAAGCAGGAGACAAGGAAGAGGCCAGCAGCTCGCGGGCGAACAACACTGCTCTTCAGTCCCTGCCCTGCCCACTCTGGCTCCTCACCCTTCTAGCTCGACCCCTCCCCCGCCCGACCTGGTACCACCCCCAGCCACCCCGGCCCCTCCCCTGCCCGAACTCTCACCTCTTCAGGTACTTGCAGAAACAATGGAGTTCCTGTAACGTTTCCTTCACCACCTGAAAAATCTCGGTGTCCAGGGTCTGGTGGATGAGAGAGCTGCACTCCTGGATTGAGCAGCGGGCAACCCGAGCCTTTCTATCTTCCTCTACAGCAAGTCTACAAGAGAGAAACTCACTCAGTCACACCACAACTGACCACCCTCCCCGCCCGGTCCCTCACCCACCTCTTCCCACGCCCAGCCCGGCCCCTCTCCCACCTAGCCCAGCCCCGCCACCTAGCCCTCCCCCGCCTAGCCAGGCCCTTCCCAGATCATTACCTGAGCTCCTGAGTGGCGATGTCCTTCAGTGTGTGGGTCACCACCTGGTCTGTGAGCTCATTGCATAGCACCTGACAATAACAGCTCTTCCACAGCTCTCGCTCCTGCTTTAGCCTGTAACACACGTGCAGTCCAACACACCGATCACACACAGGTACTTGCAGAGTACACACAGTGTGTGTCCTTTAGGTCTCCTGTCTGATCTGTGACCAGGGGGATTGACACTCACCTGTCCTGCTCCATCCTGTCCTGCTCCATCCTGTCCTTCTCATCCTCTATTCTCTGCTGCTCAGCCGCCACCTCCTCACTCACTATCTGCCTCAGGATCTCCAACACCACGTCCCAAACCATCTCATCCACAGATGCCATTGATACGCTTGAAAAGGCAAGAGGCAACGGGTGAGCAGCATTCATGCAGGGCACTGCAGACAGCTGTGTGAGGCTGTATCCAGGGGCTCACCCCTGGATATCTGTACCCAACATCACACACATAAGTCGCTACAGACGAACTCCTCTCCCTTTCTAAACATCCCACAGACCCTAAGCCCGGGGGAGTCCCTGCCCCCTGACCCCAGGAGAGTCCTCAACCCCTGATCCCAGGAGTCCTCACCGCCTGACCCCAGAGGATTCCTTGATCCCAGCGGTCTCTGACCCCTTGCCCTCAAGCACCTGTTGGCTTCCGTTGCATACTTCACCCCAGCTCGTGCCAGCTCCTTGCACTCCACACGCACCACATCCTTCACCAGTTCCCTTACCACATCGGTGAGCACCTGAGAGAGAAATACAACCTATCAGTCCCCTCCCACACACACAGCCCATCACACACACAGCACTTCAGTCACCCTCTCACGCACATATACACACAGCCCGTCAGTCACCCTCCCACATACACAGAGCCCTACAAACACACACACGCAGCCAACACACTCACACACACAGGAAACGTCCGGGGCTGGCATGGAGCTTCCATTCGAGGCAGCTTCACTGTGGGCACTGGCTTTTCCTCTTCCTCTTTCCCAGATGCAGCTAGAAACATAGAACAGAGGGTGAACCCACGAGCCAACTCCTCTGCAACACAACACAGCACATCAAGCATGTGATCCAGCTAGGCCATTGTGTGCATCTCCATCCAGCCTCTATACCCAGACACCTTCCAGTCTCCAGGCTATATCTCAATCCATTTTTTATCAGACAACAGGTTTCTGATGCAATGTGGAAACTCATGTAAGAGTGTATAAGAGTCTACAAACCAAAGTTCCATGCCTGCTACCTACATGGAAATTCCTATCTAAAAATGGAATGCACACTGTCTTCCAGATGGGACATATCCTGCTCATTTTCAGAGAGTATTAGGCTCAGGTTGGTAAGAGCCAAGGCTTGGGGAGTGTTTTGTTTTACAGTAACTGCTGAAGTCTAACCAGCTAAAACCATATAGCCTGCCACTGAGTGCACTGTCCGGCAAGCTTTCCCACTTCTTGTGCAGCTAGGACCACCCTACCCATTAGGGCTTTGGCTTGCAGGGCTGAGTGGGAAGAATCCCTGCCCCTGGCCTGCCCCTCCAAATCCTGTCAATGAGCGAGGCTGACTGTGCTCTGCAGTGCTCTAGAGTACTCGGACCTGCCTGGCTCAAGAACAAGTATACCCTGACTGGCTTCTCTCCTACCACCTTCCCAGCTCCCCTACCACACCCCATCTTCCACAGCTTCCTATCCTTCCAGAACTTCCATGCTCTCCCCAAAACATTCACTGTCTACAACTTTGTCCTGGATAACAACATCTGACAACACTGACACCTGGATCACCCCCGGCAATACCTTCCCCTTAAGCGAGGGTGCCCCACCTTCCATGAGTCCACGTGCCCCAACCCTGGTGATGCTGGTATTGCTGCAGTCTCCAGCACCCTGTTCATCTTACACCTTTGCTGCTTTCATACTAACATCCAACACTTCACTATCCCTGCAATCACTTCCCTAAAAATTCTTATCTAAAGTCCCCTTAGCACTTTCCTCTCCAACACTGCCTCCCTTCTATCTTCTCTCAGCCTATGCTCCAATCCTCTCTTCATCTCCACTTCACCCCTTCTTGCTTCACCTCTGCCGGCCCTCCTCTTCCCTCCACTCCTCTCTCAATCTCTCCCTCCACATCAACTCTGCCACCGACATCCACAGCCCAACCTCCAATTGACCTGGTGATCACCGTCTCAGACTCCTCCTCCCGCCACCAAACTCAACACCATCTCCTTTCACCTCTGGAAGAAACTGATCCCCCACTCCCTCTCTACTGCCATTGAGTCCTTTGAACTCTGCCCCTCTAGTCTTCTTCCTGCCCCGATCTTACCTCCCTAGCACCCTTGCCCTACCACCTCCCACACCCCCATACGAGTGAGATTCTTGGTGAGCAGCTCAGTGTCAACTGTGTCAGAGCACCTACCTTCAGCAGGCTGGATCAGCTTCTGGGTGCTGCCAGCTGCCTCCTGGTTCTCCTCCACATATCGGTTTTGGCTGTCAAAGCTCAGGACAGGGATATGTGGCACAAAGTGTGGCAGACGCCCTCCATTCACCACCTCTCCGACTAGCGCTGGTCGCTTCTGCTCAATCAACGACGACTTCTTGGGCAGTAGCGAAATGTCCGTCTCAGTGAGCGTTAGTCGGTTCAACTCCACAGCCCTGTAAAACGCCAGAGTTCAGCCCTGCAACACGCCAGCGTTCAGCCCTGCAACACGCCAGCGTTCAGCCCTGCAACACGCCAGCGTTCAGCCCTGCAACACGCCAGCGTTCAGCCCTGCAACACGCCAGCGTTCAGCCCTGCAACACGCCAGCGTTCAGCCCTGCAACACGCCAGCGTTCAGCCCTGCAACACGCCAGCGTTCAGCCCTGCAACACGCCAGCGTTCAGCCCTGCAACACGCCAGCGTTCAGCCCTGCAACACGCCAGCGTTCAGCCCTGCAACACACCAGCGTTCAGCCCTGCAACACGCCAGCGTTCAGCCCTGCAACACGCCAGCGTTCAGCCCTGCAACAGGCCAGCGTTCAGCCCTGCAACACGCCAGCGCTCAGCCCTGTAACACGCCAGCGCTCAGCCCTGTAACACGCCAGCATTCAGCCCTGTAACACGCCAGCACTCAGCCCTGTAACACGCCAGCGCTCAGCCCTGTAACACGCCAGCGCTCAGCCCTATAACACGCCAGCGCTCAGCCCTGTAACAGACCACGCTCAGCCCTGAAACAGACCAGCGCTCAGCCCTGTAACAAGCTCAGCCTGCGCCCACACTCACCCCTCGCTCACAATCAATCCGTAGTGATTGACCAGGGTAACAGCGCTCTCCGGGTTCTCTAACAGCAGCATTCTGGCCAACGTGTGGAGCGGGAACATGGTGGAGCGCTGGGAGCTGACAGTGTGAGCCATGGTCAGAGCGCTCACCGCCTCACGTCTCACCTGTAAAAATCAGCAAGGGAAAACTGCACCATTACAGCCCAGCCGACCCCATCTCACTCTAGCTCAGCCCATCTCACTCCAGCATAGCCAACCCCACCCCAGCCTACCCCATCTTACTCCAGCCTGGCCGACCCCATGTCACTCCAGCCCAGCCAGGCCCACCTTATCTCACTCCAACCCAGCCCACCCCATCTCACTCCGGCCCGGCCCATCCCATTTCACTCTAGCCCACCCCATCTCAGCCAGTGTCACCCCAGCTCACTCCAGCTGAACCTGGCCCACCCCATCTCACTCCAGCCCAGCCCAGCAAACTCCACCTCATTCCAGCCCAGCTCAATCCACCCCAGACCAGCCCAGCCTGGTACACAACAATCCGGGCCAGCTCAGCCCACCCCAGCCGAGCAATCACTGATACGAGCAATACTGATACTGCTGGAGCTAAGGCGGGTGCTGAGGGTCAGTCCATTTCTGTAACCGTTAGTTGCAGTACAGGTTCTGTACATTTTTTACTTTCCCCCCAAAAAGCTGCATTTCACTGTTCAACCCAATCCATTTCAGCTACTGATGGTTTCTGTAACAAGTTCCTAATCTCAGCTGGGATAGCTGTCCAACTATAATTGGACTCATTTCTTCTCCCAACCCCACCCCCACCAACGCGCTGAGTTACAGAATGGGAGGGAACATCAGCCAGTGAGTACACAGGGAGATGGTGCTGATTATACAGGGAGCCGGGTGTTGCTGACCTGTTTGTAGTAACGGTGCAGGATGCAGGCATTGAGGTAGGGAGCCACTCGCACAAGCTTGAAGAACCTGACAAAGTTGTTATTGTTTAAAGCAGCGAAAGTCTGCACAGCAAACTTAACTTCTGGAGAGTTCCGAACCTCCGAGCGGAACTGCTGAGCCTCCCTGTGCAAAGATCATAACGTGAAAACCATGTCCATGTATCACCCGCATTCCCCGTCGCCACACATCTCCCCAAACCCCCACGGTTTCCGCATCCACGCGTCTCCCAGTCCCCTCGTCTCCCCGTCCCCTCGTCACCTTGTCTCCCAGTCCCCTCGTCTCATCACCTTGTCTCCCTGTCCGCTCATCTCCCGGTCTCCTCTTCTCCCCGTCCCCTCGTATCCCCATCCCCTCATCTTCCCGTCCACGCGTGTCCCTGTCCACGCGTCTCCCCGTCGGAGTCCTGTAGCTCAGTGGTTAGAGCACTCGCTTTGCAAGTGAGAGACCTGAGTTCAATTCCAGGCAGAGGGCGAAACCTTGGGCAAGTTTCCTTACTCCACACAGAGCCTAATAATAATCCCTCCAAAACCAATAACAATAATAAATTGGTCATTTTCAATCTACGACTGTTTGTGGGACATTGCTGTGCGCAATTGGCTCCCGCATTCGCCCACAAATATACAGTTAATTCACTTTACAGTGTGTTCTGTGAAGCGCTTTGGGATGTCCTCCCGACGTAAAAAGCGCTATATCAAATGCAAAGATTATTATTATTATTATTATTATGTGTTTCCCCGTCCATGAGTCTCCCATTCCTCACAACCCCTCGTCTACGAGCCTCCCCACCCCCTCGTCTCCCCGTCCACTCGTCTCCCAATGCCCGTGTCTCCCCGTCCCCGTCTCCCCGGCCACACGTCTCCCTGTCCACGCGTCTCCCCGTCCCCTCGTTCACGCATCTCCCCCAAAGTCCACCAACCGGAGAATGTCACCCTCGTTCAGATTAAGCAACACGTGATAACTCCGGAACTCGGCCTCGGTCTGGCAGTAGATGCCCTTATTGGCCAGGTCCTGGTACATCTCCTTCAGGCTCTGCAGACACTTGGTCAGGTTCTCGTCATTGATCTTAGCATCATAGGAGGACATGGGCTCCTCACACAGAGCGTGGCTGCAATGAATGTGGAAGCGGGTGCACTGCTCAATCAGCACCACCGTCTGCTCGTCACACAGGTGCTGCTGTGTGATATCCTGGTTCAGAAATAAAGAACACAGTGTGTGATGTCCCTGCACAGGTCACATGGACAATCATAGCTGGGTAGTATGTCGCTGTGTGTCACACCGTGACTCACACAGAACAAGAACAACAACAAATTACATTTGCATAGCATTTTTCATGTCAGGAGGACATCCTAAGGCACTGGACAGTCAGGGATTTGGATCCGAGCAGAGGTTTGGATCAAGAGCGGTGGAGGACTGGGAGGGTATAGGTAAGAGGGGGCTGAAGGCACGGTCGAAGAGGAGGGTCTTGAGACGCACCTTAAAGGAGGCAAGGGACGGAACGAGGTGAAGTGCTTTGAAGGCCAGGATGAGGATTTTTAGCTCTATGCTCTAGGGGATGGAGAGTCAGCAGAGATGGCCAAGTGTGGGGCTGATAGGGTCACGGAGCCTGATTCATAGATTCATAGAATGTTATAGCACAGAAGGAGGCCATTCGGCCCATCGGGTCTGTGCCGGCTATTTGACAGAGCGTCACTTTCACTAACCCCAATCACCAGCTTTCTCCCCATAACCCTGCAAACCCGTCTTCCCCAGATACTATCCAGTTCTCTCTTAAAAGCTGTTATCGAATCGGACTTCACTGCCCTTTCAGGCAGATCATTCCAAATTCGAACAACTCGCTGAGTGAAAAAATTTCTTCTAACCTCCCCTCTGCTTCTTTTGGTAGATATCTTAAGACTGTGACCACGGGTCACAGACACACCTACCAGCGAAAACAGCTTTTCCCTATCTCGCCTGCCGAAACCTTTCATGATCTTGAAGACCTCTATCAGATCCCCGCGTAACCTTCTTTGCTCTAATGGGAAAAGTCCTAACTTCTCCAGCCTGTCCTCATAGCTAAGGTTCCCCATTCCTGCTATCATTCTCGTGAATCTCCTCTGCACCCTTTCCAGTGCCTTAATGTCCTTCCTGAGGTAAGGTGCCCAGAACTGGACGCAGTATTCCAGCTGAGGCCTAACCAGTGCTTTGTATAGATTAACCATAACCTCCCTACTCTTATATTCTATGCCCCAACTAATAAAGCTGAGTACACCAAATGCCTTTTTTACTGCCTTATCTTCCTGCCCACCGCTACCTTTAATGATTTGCTTACTTGAACACCCAGATCTCTCTGTACATTCACCCCCCCCTTAAGATTGAGCTACCAAGTCTATATTGCCTCCTATCATTTTTTCTACCGAAGTGTATCACCTCACACTTATCCACATTGAAATCCATCTGCCACATGTCAGCCCATTCCGCCATTCTGTGTTTGTCTGCCTGCAGTTGGTTACAGTCCTCCTCACTATTTACTACCCTACCTAACTTTGTATCATCTGCAAACTTGGAAATAGTGCTTCCTATGCCCAAGTCCAGATCATTAATATATATAAGAAAAAGCAGTGGTCCCAATACCGATCCGATGCGGGAGAGGACACAAGTTCTGGTTGATATGTAGCCCGTGGAGAGAAGAGTTGGGAAGGCTGACAAGCAGAGAGTTTGCGTTGTCGAGCCTAGATGTGATGAATGCCTGGGTGAGGGTTTCAGTGGCCCAAGAGGAGAGGCAGTGTAGGAGCTGGGTGATATTGCTGAGGTGGGGGAAGGCAGAGTGAGTCATGGCACAGATGTGCATCCTTGGATGGTGATGCTGTCAGTGCCTGGAGACAATGACGGGAGCCAATCAGGAGAGCCTCGGTCTTGTTGACGTTCAACTGTAGAAAGTTAGCTCTCATCCAGGACTTGATATCTGACAGACATTCTGTCAGGACAGCAGTGGTCCTGGAGTCAAGGATGGAGGCAGAGAGATAGAGTTGAGCGTCATGCGCATGTATATGTGTGGAAATTGACCCCATATCTGCAGATGATGTCACCAAGAGGGAGCATGTACCTTCCTGATGCCACGAGTCCTGTTCCATACAAAGTCGTACCAGTCCCGGGAATTGCCTTCTCCCATGTCCATGATCCTGATCATCAGGTAATCCATTGTCATGGTCAGCACCGTTGCGGGTCGCAGCTCATGGGCCAGCGGCTCCTCCTGGTCCGCCGACGACCTACTATACTCTTTGATGGCAGCTTCGTGATGGACCTGTGAGGTGGCAGATAAGAGTCTGACACAGCTCGCACAGCCCAGACTAACCCACGAGACGAGAGAGAGAACGGGAGTGAGGCCGATCAGCAATGCACACCACAATCACATTCCCTGTTTTCTCATTGTGTCCGTGCTGGTACTCGCTCCCCACTGGAGCTCTCTATTCTAATCACATTCTTTGTTCTCTTCCCATTGTGTCTGTGCTGGTGCTCCCTCCCCCACTGGAGCTCTCCATTCTAATCCCATTCCCAACTCTCCACATTTGTTTCTGAGCTACTGCTTGCTCCCCATTGGAGCTCTCTAGTCTAATCCCATCCCCTACTCTCTCCACATTGTGTCTATGCTGGTGCTCGCTCCCCATTGGAGCTCTCTAGTCTAATCCCATTCCCTACCCTCTCCACATTGCGTCTGTGCTGGTGCTCGATCCCCATTGGAGCTCTCTAGTCTAATCTCACTCCCTGCTCTCCCATCGTGTCCATGTTGCTATTCGCACCCCATACATCACTCTTGGGGTGAACAGTCCAGTGTGTGTCTAAATGAAGTTTATGAAACTGACCTTGTCGGTGCCAGGAAGCAGCTCGAAGGAGCTGAGCTGATAGCGGGTCTCCCTCATGTACCGTTCCTTTTCTGGACACATATCAGGACAGGTTCCCACCATAGCTCTCGCCTTCTCCAGGTCAGTACTCTTCACCCTTGCTGAAAGCACATCCACACATCAGGCTGTGCTGATACCAGCCCCAGTCCACCCCACAAGGCTGCTCAGGATAAGCAGCCATTACCACATCCCCCACCCCCACAGGCTTTTGGGCCCTCTCCTCAACAGAGGTTTGTCAGCAGAGCAGAGTCCTGTACTTGTCCTCTATGCTTACAATTCACACAGCCTGTCAGCACATCTGAAAGGGCTTCACAGGTCATGTTGTGAAGTGCAGTGACTTGTTTCTTGGCAGAAAACACAAGTCAAATTTGCACAGTGTGGGGGGATTCTTCAAGGGCTCTTCCAACTCAGCTCCTGTTAACCCTGCAAGCCAAAGTCCTAATGGGAGTGGTTTAGTTGGACAAACTGCAGGAAAACTATGCAGTTTTAGCTGGTTGGACTCCAGCAGTTTCCCAACGCACACTCTGGGATCCCCAAGCCTTGGCTCTACCCAACCTGCACCTGATACTCTCCAAAATTAGGTAAGCAAGAAGTGTTCCTCCAGTGAGAGTGCGCATTCCATTCCAATACATGGGAATTTCCATGTGTCGGTGGGATGCACGGAACTCTGTTTGGTTTGGATACTCTTAAGCATAGTGATGGGTTTCCAGATGTGTCAAAACAACCAAAACAAAACTCCCCAACACAGCCATGATGCAAATAATTAATTGTATCTCTAGAATTGTTGGCCCAGACACCAGGAGAGAAATTCACTTCTCTTAACCCACATGCGTCTAAACAGGCAGACGGGACATCGGTTTTAAGTCTCATTCTGAAGGAAGGCAACTCCAACAATGCAATACTCCTCCAGCACTGCCTTGGAATGTCAACCTAGACTATGAGCTCAAAGTCCCCGACGTGGGTCTTAAAACTGCAGAGAACTTGTATCTGAGCCAGACCAACAACAAAATGACATTTGTATAGCAGCTTTCACATCAGGAGGATGTTCCAAGGCGCTGGACAGTCAGTGTTTCGGAGTCAGGATCGGGGAGAGTGGAGGGCGGGGAGAAAGAGGGTGATCGAAGGCACAGTCGAAGAGGAGGGTCTTGAAGGAAGCAAGGGAGGGGACGAGGCAGAGGGACTGCGGAATGGAGTTCCAGAGGGGGCAGAGTGGCAGAAGGTTCACCCACCAATGGTGGGGCGGGCGAGGTAGGGGACATGAAGCAGATCGGAGCCCACTAGTGGAGGGAGCAAGCAGGTTGGTAGCGGGTTAGGAGGTCACAGAGGTAGGGGGAGCAAGGCCACAGAGGGCTTTGAAGAAGAGGACCAGGATCTTGAACAGTATCCTCTGTGCGATAGGGTCACCGAGCCTGGTACGGGAGAGGACACGGGCTGCAGAGTTCTAGATGATCTGCAGCCTATGGAGGGAGGAATTAGGGAGGCCGATTAGCAGGGAATTTGCATAATCAAGCCTGGATATTATGAATGCGTGTATGAGGGTCTCGGCCGCCTGCGGTGTGAGACAGTGGCGGAGCCGGGCAATGTTGCGGAGGTGGGAGAAGGCAGAGCGGGTCATGAGCAGGCAGAAAAGAGTTGAGGGTCAAGCAAGATGCCAAGGTTCCAGACTAGCATAGTAAAGTGGAGTGTGCAACCTTGGATAGTGATGCTGTGTGCGCCTGAGGTGTGGAGGCGCTGACGGGAGCCAATCAGGATGTTCAACTGAAGAAAGTTGGCTCTCATCCAGGACTTGATGACTGACAGATATTCTGACAGGACAGCAGTGGTCCTGGAGTCAAGGATGGAGGCAGAGAGGTAGAGTTGGGTGTCATCAGCATACATGTGGAAATTGACCCCATGTCTGCGGTTGACATCACCAAGAGAGAGCATATAGGTATAGAAGAGGACCAAGCCAGACCCCAAGGAACGCCGCACAAGGTGGTTCAGGGGCTAGAGGAGAAACCGTTTGTGGAGATGAAGTGCAGACGGTGTGATTGGTAGATGTAGAGACCAGCATGTGGCCCTGTGGTCAGTGAGCACTGGATCTGAGATCACACAGAAGACAGTGTTGGGGGAATGGGAGAGCTAAGGCTCCGGTGTACCTTGTCTCATTAGCTTGTCCCTCTGGTCCAGGATTCTGTACTTGTCCTCGGCGCTCTCTGCCACCATCGCAACCAGGTGGCTGAGGGAAGCAGGCAGAACTCCCCCTCGCTCCCCCACCATGTCCGGGCCCTCTTCAAACTGCAGGCTCTTTGACGAGGCTGGTTTCTTGGTAGCAGACCTGCCGAACACATGGTTCAGTGACCATGTTCCCCGTTCATCATCAATCTCATACCACCCACCACCCCTTCCAGCCAGGCGCCCGCCCCTTCGCCACCCGTGCTCGCTTGGTGCTCTGCAAAAATATGCCCCCTGCATTGCTGCAGCATGTGACACTTTTACAGTGTTACACGCCTTTCTGCGCCACGGGAGTTTACCAAGTGCTGCCTGTGCCAATGACTGTGGAGGTTCTGGTCATGGTGCTGGATGGTCGGGGCGAGTACTGGAAGCTCATGGGCTCCTCACTGGATAGCTCCCCCTCCTCTTTCACCTCCTTTTCTTCTCTGGATGACGACCAGTCAGATTTCTTCACGGGACCTGGAGGGAGAGTGGTGGAAGATGACAGGACTGAAGGGCACCTTTCTCTTTGGAAGGTTACTTGCTGCTCCTGCAATGGAGGCGGAGCAAATAATCCTTAATAATTCAGAAATTTGATATTCATGTGTCAAACGCGTCACAGGATTTACTGTAAAGGTGAGTGACTATTTTGGTGATCGTGGCAGCCATTTTGCACACAGCAATGTCCCACAATCAGCCAGGAGAAACTCCCCTCTTGTCCAATCCCTTTGTCAACAGTGCTCTCCTTGAAGTTTGCTAATTCCATAGCATTGGTGTAGAGTGCAGAACAGCACACGATCAAGTGTTGTGAGTTGTTTGGCATATCCGATGCTCCACAAAGGTATTGTTTGGCATTGCTGGGAAACCTCTGACCACCTACTGTGTCAAAAGGGATACAGCCGCGTTGCTGCCCGTGACGGGGTAACTGTGAGGGAGGGGCCAGCGTAGTTCCCAGGCTCTCTCCCAGTGAGCACAAAGCCCAGGACCGAGTCTGAAGCGCGGCCTGCCAAGGTAACCAAAAACAGAAGGAGATCTATTAAGCGAAAACAGAGGCCTTTAAATCAGGTTTAGAAGCTTCTTCAGAGCTAACTGAAACCACTAAAGACAACTTACGACCAAGCACGGCATGAAGCCAGAAAGGCTTTTGGAGAAATAACGTGAGATCAATGGGTTTGTGACGGACGTGGTCTGTTACCCGCTCCGTGTGCAGCCTTTCTTTCTCCCCCTCTGAGGCGGATGCAGAGTTCACATTGACAGTAGGAGGAAGGCTGGGTGGACGGGGGTAGGAGAGGCGAGAGCATGAAGTGCAAGAAGAGTCCACGGGCACGAGGCCTTTGTGCTCTAGCTGCCCGAAAGGATTGCTTTGGCGCCAAAAGTGAGTTGGGGTCTCTTTGGTAGTGTGTGATAGGTTGGTTGCCCGCTCGTGATGGGGAGAAGCTAAAGAGGGTATAAAAATCGGGGTGCTTGGAGTCTAGTAGTCGGTAGGTGGTAAGTCAGGCAGTGGGGTCGCTTCTGGTTAGGGAGGGTTAGGAGACGTGCGTATCGGTGTTGCATTCCTTGATGAGCTAGAAGTTTTGCAGTTTGTATATTACAGAAGCAAGGTAAGTCAATTCTGGATAAAGCAAGGGTACTTGTGCTTTGAGGTTAGTATTGGGAGGTTTGTGTTACGGGTTGTTGGTGCAGAATTGCTGGGGTTAAGCTAAGAGAATATTAAAATTAAATACTTGACTTTAACCAAGTACTTTTCAGTTTATGTGAAGGTTAACAGAGGCCACCAGAGATGGCGAGAACAGTCACTGGTTGCATCAGTCCATGAAGCCACACAACTATGCATGAACAATCCCAATCTCTCCTCTACTGACTGAAGTTTGTCATCAGACATGGCAGGAGGGTCCCTCTGGCCTGGGGCCAGTGTTCTACAACAGACCCATGAGGGTCCCATGAAAGAAGCATTATGCAGAGTTGGCAGTTGACCCAACACCAGAGATAATAAGAACATAAGAAATGATAGACGATAAAAGACCAAGGTCCATTTAGTTCGCCTTCCACCTTCCTGGTGGTCGCATGCACATATGTCCCAAACTACTTATGTACTATATCCCATAATGTTATTTCCTAAAAGAAAACTATCTGATCAGTATTTGAAAGAATCAACATTTCTTGCTTCAACCGTCTCCCTAGGGAGCCTGTTCCACAAGTTCATTATTCGCTCACTGAAATAGTGTTTTCTTACATTTGTTCTGAATTTAACCCCCTTCAATCGCCGGCTGTATCCTCTGGTTCTACTATTCTGGACAAGCTGAAACAGTCTGTCATGATCTATATTGTCTAGCCCCTTTAGAATCTTAAAGACAGCAATCATGTTGCCTCTCAATCTTCTCTTTTCTAGCGTGAACATGCCCATTTACGTCATTGCTCCTCATAGTTCAGTCCCTCCATTCCCTCAATCATTTTGGTTGCCCTCTTCTGTATCTTCTCAATTTCTCCGATACGCTTTTTGCACTGCGGCTACCAGAAATGAACACAGTACTCTGTATGGTCTCTCCAATGATTTATACAGTGGCAAGATTACCCCATTATTGATCTTTTGTACATCCCAACATCTGGTTTGCTTTACTCATTGCCACAGAGCATTGTTGCGAGTTTAAATTTATTGTCAATCAGGACCCCAAATACTTTTAATTTTCCATTCATATTATTTTCCTTCCATTCAACTAGTCCCTTCCTGGATTTTTTTTGTCCCCATGTGAAGTTCTTTACATTTTTCCACATTGAATTTCATCTGCCATCGATCTGCTCAATTTCCAAGTATGTTCAAATCTTCCTGTAGCCTATCTTCAGCTTTGCAATCTACCACCTTCATTAGATTGGTGTCATCTGCAAACTTAACCACTGTGCTTGCGACTAGTTCCAGATCATTTATAAAAACATTGATCAAAAGAGGTCCTAAAACAGACCCTTGTGAAATTTCACTGGTAACATTTTCCCAGTCTGATGACATTCACTATATAGGTTCTTCCAGTCAACCAATTGTTTATCCATTTTAATATACCTCCACTGATTCCCACCGTCAAAGAAAACCAGTAAATTAGATTGGCAAGAACGTCCCTTGATGAACCCATATTGGCTAGGATTTATGATTTTATTTCTGTCCAGATGCTCCATTATTTTATCCTTAATAAAAGTCTCCATAATTTTACCCACAATGGACATCAAACTTACTGGTCTGTAGTTTCCAGGGTAATTTTTGCTAGCTTTCTTAAAAATAGGCATCTGCCTTTCTCCTGTTCCCCAGCATCTATCCAGTATTCAGTGATTTTTGAAAGATTTGTGCCAGCATTTCTGCGAGTTCCTCCCTTAGTTTCTTAAGGATCCTTGAATGCAATTTATCCGGCCCCTGAGATCTATTTACCTTAAGTTTGTACAGCTGTTTGGCAACCATGCTGGTAGTGATATGAATAGTATCGCAACTTTTCGCTGTGACATCCTTTTCTTTCCAGATCAGATAGTTTACCCGTCTCCTCCTTGGCGTAAAGGGTTAAAATATGGTCCTAGTTTTAGATACACAGAATAGTTTCATATAGTAATACCAATAAAGGAATAAGATGCTTGCCATATAAACATCACAGAAACTGGGATAGAAAACATACTCAAGTTAGGCTAAGGTATTCACTGATACTGGAACGTGGCTTCTGGACAAGAGGGCAAAGGAGCGGAGATAACAGGGCTTGTGAAAGCAGCGTTGGGAGTACCTGGGTCCTCACCTAATCGGTACAAGCCAGCACAAAAATACATTAAGAACGTGGGCAAGATAGCAACAAATGCATCATGGGTATAAAAAGCCAATTAGGCCGCACACACGCAACAGGAGGGAGATAATTGATCATCTAAGGTTGTCAAGGCCAGGAGTCAGGAGGACTGGTTGGGACAGATAGGGAAGAAAGAATGGAAAGAATGGTGAAGGATAACAGCAGTCAAGAATGCGACTAATTGGACAAGGTAACAAACCCATGGATTAGAAGGAAAGCCAGGGCAAGGGTTACAGACAAGGCCAGAGAAAGGAGAATCAGGGAGTTATGGGAGAATGAGTGTGACGTTGTCCCGATGGGTGAAAAAGGGTACAAGATTGGCAGCCAGAGCGAGGGATAGCACACACCTTCGAGGGGAGAGAAAGACGCGGGTCTAACTCTCACTGAAGGGGAATGCCAGGAGCTGAGCAAAGACTGTCCGAGTCCAGAGGCGAGAGAAAGATTGTTCGAGCCGAGAAGCAAGTTGAAGACTTTGTTCCACTGACACCTAACAGACTGGTAGTATTCTCTTCCTAAAACACGCACCCAACAACGCAACAAGCTCAGAGAGGTACACACATATACCACATAGGAAACATAATAGGTCCAAATATGTTATAGTGGTTAGATTGGTTAAAAATGAGTGTGATGATCGAGCAGAATAGAGTATAAGTAAGTTCATTGTGTATGCGTCGAATGATTAATGTGCGTCAGGTGTAATTATGTAATTTATATGTAGAGCAGGTTTATAATCATCTGTGTACTGGGACTTTGATAGTTTGGAAATAAAACATTTCAAAATATATGACTAGAGTGACTCCGTCTAGTGCTTGGTTATACCAGTAGGAATTCCTTACATTGGTAAAGACTGATTGGCAAAAAAACGTATTTAGCGCTATTGCAGCCTGCGCAGCATTATTTGTCATGTTCTCTCCCAAACCCACCTTCAGTGGCCCTATTCCACTGCTTGTTTTTCTTTTACTCATAATGTAACTTTTTGTTATCTCTTGCCATGTTCAATTCAAAGCTTTTCTTTGCCATTCTGATGCCTTTTTTGCAGTCTTGGCATGCCTTCTGGTATTGAATTAGATTTAATTCTGTGCCATTTTCCTTCATGGCGTTAAATGCCTTTTCTCCCTCTTTATGATTTGCTTTGTAGCCCCGTCCAACTAGGCAGGAGTGCCTTTAAGCTTGTTACCTATGCTTCGTATGGGTACATACTGTTCCAATTGTGCTCCCTATATCCAGGTCCAGATCATTAATATAGATCAGAAAGAGCAGTGGTGCCAATATCGACCCCTGAGGGACACCACTACACACCTCCCTCCAGTCTGAAAAGCAACCGTTTACTACCACTCTCTGCTTTCTGTCTCCTAGCCAGTTCTGGATCCATGTTGCCACAGTCCCTTTAGTACCGTGGGCTTCTATTTTGTTTATAAGTCTCTTATGTGGCACTTTTGTCAAATGCCTTTTGAAAATCTAGATAAACTACGTCTACTGCACTATCTTCATCCACCACTCAGTCACTTCATCAAAAAATTCTATTAGGTTGTCAGACACGGTCTGCCTTTAACAAATCCGTGTTGACTGTCCTTTATTAAATCATATTTTTCTAAGTGAGAATTTATATTGTTTTTTTGTGAAGACAGTTGCAAAGTACTTATTTAGTACATCAGCCTCAACAAAAAGATT